GGTCAATTGCTTAAAGGCAATTGACCGTCGACTCAGGACAAAACTGTCTATGCTTATATAAGGTTGACATCAGGTACTTGTGTCGTCCCGCAACAGAAATATAGTGTGTACAGCTGGAGTCATAGAGTTCAGTATGAATTTGAACATCAGATGAGTTTACAGTGTTGATAATAGCTGTGACTGACTCTTCAGAAGCAGATATATTCTCCAAAGTTGGCATGCCAGATGTGGCATCTAATTGCTTGTCAACAAAGGAGTTCACATCACTTCAGTCAACATCTGAGAATAACATGCTGCTCAACTCATCTGTTAGGAACGTGCCAATCGAGTAGGCTTGAGTGCACGCGCGGAGTCCGGCGGAGTGCGTGGGCGTCGACGAAGCTATTGGCAACGTCACCCTTGAGTCGAAGCCCAAGGATCTGGATGGGCGGAACGGAGTTCCGTCAGGGAAGAGAACAGGAATATCCTTTGGAGCGGAATCCGATGGACGAGATAAGAAGGAGTTGAGGCGAGTGCGAAGTGTAGATGGCTTATCCAAGTTGATATTCGAACTGAGTAGCTACGATGATATACATGGCTTTATATACTAATGGTAGCTAATTCCGAGTCGGGTTCCATTGGGTTCCGGTGTCGGTATTCGTTACCGAGTTCGGGGTCTAGATATTACAATGTGAAATACGGATGTGAAATGATACTGGTGAAATGAAATTAGTAGGTAATGGGAAGCGGTCGGAGTCCAGTGGGTGGTGTGATTGGATTCGCGGTTGGTTGAGGTGACACGGAGGCCGGCGGCATGCGCGTAACATCATCCCATGACTCATCACCAATCTCCAAAAAAAGGTTAGTACCATTGTCTTCATCCTCTGAGTCCTCTGATAAGCTCTCAACTTCAGACTCATCTGACTCAGAAACTGCAGCCAGCGATAGCATATTGCTAGCATTATCAACTCCGAATGCACCATTGGCTTCCCAGTCTGAATCCAATGATTCCTCAGCCACATTGGCTATTTCATCCTTCGATCTAGAGGCCTTGCTGTCATTGTCTGATGACTTCTTCTTGGAGCATTTGTTTTTGAAGTGTCCTTCTTTTCCACATCCCCAGCACAATTTCTTGCCAGGTTTCTTGCTCTTCTTATTGCCATCTGAGCTTGATAAAACAGACATGGCTTCATCTTGCTCTGAGTCCTTTTTCTTTCCAGACTGCTGACTACACTTGGCTCGCTCATGCTCCAGTCAGTCATATTCCTCAGAAATAGCATGGATCAGGTTCTTAGGATTGACTTTCTTGTTGGAACTAAAAAGCTTTGCTGCTGTAAGGAGAGTCGATGCATGCTTGGCAAAATAGAGAGAGATAGAGGTGAGAATCATTGAGCGGTAATCCTTCTCCTCAATGATGACACTGATAGAAGCTAATGACTCCTGTTTCATTGACAGACTGTCAAGAAACTCATGAACATTGTCTTTGGCTGGGCAATGTGACTCTATAAACTGCTGCTGAAGGTCAGTTTGTGCATAGCCACTCTTATCGGTAAACTCTTTTTCAATCTTTGACCAGGCTACAGCAACTGTGGGAAGACACTGAATCTTTATAGCGACTGAGTCAAGGATCTTCAAGAGCAGGAGGTTTTTAGCTATAGCCTCATCTTTCTCCCATTCATCTAGCTCAGCCATGAGAGCTGTTGTGGGTGTAGTGAGAGAGAGTTTGAGCTTGGATCCATCAAAGTGATCCTATTTCCCTTTGGCTTGAACACCAGTGGAAAAGTGGAGGTAGAAGATGGACCAGTTGTCACCAGACATGTTCAGTGTGAGGACGTTCGATGGTAGGCCTGTAGTCAAGGCAGTAATAATGGAAGTCATTTGAGTATGAAGAATGGGATAGAGTAATTCTCAGGGCCGTATAACCTCTAAAAAAGTGATGCACATTTGTAGCATCTAATAGAGTTTGCTGTTAGCTATAATGTAGACTACAGAATACCAATCAGTGACATAAACAAAGTAATATAAGTAGATACTCACTCTCACACAGTATAGTGATAAGCAGAAACATGGTGAGGGTGCTCGACAGACTGTATTCAATATATATAGTCCATCCTGACATAAAGGGGTATCGAGCTTGGCTGGCAGGATATGACAGAGCTCCTGCTTGCTAATCCAACAAAATTCGAGTTTCCAGGCCTCTCAACACCATATATCAATATGGCATATACTATTGTGCTTTGGCAGAGGTCTTGAGGCTCCAATAGATGCCAATCATCCACTCATCAAATTCCACAGGAGATAAAAACCCCTATAGATTGACTGCTTGAAGCAGCAAGTCACTCCACTTCTAGATCTGAGTCCCCAGGCTCCCCTCTCCATCTTTATGCCAATCTTCTGATCATTCCAGCCCCAAGATCCTTCAATGAATCCTCCTCTCTCTAATGTCTTAACACATATCTATATCATGCTCTATTACTCAGACTTTGGTCAGAGAAAATATCATTGGTCCATTGCTCTCCCTAGGCCTCCTGCCTATAGCCTTCATACAGCTCTTGATTTTTACCAAATTGGCTTCCACAACAACACCAATTCTTAGTACACAGATTACAAGCAAGGCTTGGGGTCTAGAGTGTTGAACACACAAAAGTTCTTGTCCATGATCCAGCTGCCACCTCTCAGTATTTCTTATAATGATGCCTCCTTGTTCTTGGTGCAACAAGAGCCCTCACAGGGAGTCACACCATTACTGCATGGACGAGATGATTGGTCCTGTGCTCAGTGGGTCATCTGAATGCTGCAAATGGTCATGCACAATGGCTGGTTCTTGGCAATGCCCAGCAGTCACCTTGAGGACCAAGATGCATATTATTATTATGTTTCCCACATAAAAGGACTCACTTGCGAGGTTTCTGTGTTGGCAGGCTCTACCAGCACTCAGTATGTTGGTCAGTTAGTGAATGGCATGCATATCTTGGATGAGCAGTAGCTGCGCATAACTTCTAGTCTGTCAACTTATTTTGATGTCTTCTTTCGTCAGAGTTGACATGATTTGTATAGCAGACCGCCTGAGCCAACAATTGTGTTCTCTCTGATTATTTCCCCATGCCCAAGATTTGTTTCATTTTGTTAGTTTGCTACATTATACCTTTGTGGAATATGCTGTGGTGCACATGTTGACATCTGCTTGGTTTTGCTCCAAGTTATATTTCTTATATGCCACGTAATTCATAGCTCTTGCCTAAGGCTTTGCTCCGTGTCTCAATCGAATTATATAGTGTCGCGTACTGGCATGCCACATGTAACGTGACACATACAGCATCTAATATATAATATCTACAATCACCACTCCCATCCATTAGATAGTTGACAAGGGTAAGAACTTTTGAAAGCAATGGGGAATAGACATTATGAGCTGCAATGTAAAAGGGTGGATTCTGGAACTGATATGAAATTAAGTATGCGGTGAATTGTGATTCAAGTTGGCGTCGCCATATCATTGTAATAGTTTATTCTTTATTTCGATTGGATTTCGTGCGTAGTGATTGAAAGAAGTGGGCGGATCGTGATGAATTTCAGCTTCCAAGAATCTGGTTTAGCAGAGGCGTTGCCGTCTCTCCGTTCATCGCGGCCTTCTGAATCCACTCCGACACTGGCATGTTCCCGCCATCTCATATAGATAAAATTTCATGGATAAAGATTCGCGGCAGGATGAAGTGACGTAGCACAGTGGCCAGAGACCCAAGCGGACAATTAGACTGCCTGCTGAAGGATGGATAATATGAGAGAAAATTTCTATCACAACGTTCCTAGGAAGGCGGCGGATGCGTGAGGGAACAAATTTGTATCTGATTATATGTCCGTTTTATTTACGTTGTTTACTAGCTCATCATGTATACGTCTTATTTAGATGGTTCGATGCGTCCCCAAGCGCTGGGGTAACGTCTGTGGCACGTAAACTGCGAACGACAACTGCGACCAAATGGTCCTTCAACGATAGCCATCAACCAGAACCCATCGTGCTTTATCTCCCATCAAATGAAGTACTGAAACCTTAAAAAAGACACTGAATAAACAGGAACACCGACTATCGACTACTATCAGAAGCCATGGACCCATTGAAGGGAAATCAGCCACCAGTCAGCTCGACGACGATAGGTACAGAGGACGACGCTTGGGATGCGCTGCGTGTAGTGGGAAATGAGTTGGAGGGTGGCAGGGTACGTGGGAGGGTGAACATAGTAGGAAAATCAAATGTCTGCTACAGGACATGGAACGTCGGAGGAGGTAACAGCTTTCTATCTGCCTCTGCTTCCAGGTCGAACGGCTCGAGTATTTTAGGTATCCAGCCTTCCCAATTCCAAGAACCACAGTTCGCATTTAAACAGTTCCAATTGAGTGATTTGCAGTACTCCCAATGAGAAGGAAGCCAGCCGGCACATTCCCAGTCAATGACACCAGTTACTTTCCAACCAAGAGGCGTCTCCTTCACCATGACATTGCGGGGTGCAAAATCATTATGAGTAAAAACTAGGGGATGCACGAGCCGATGACTGGCCTGAACAATTTCATCAAACTTCTCTAGGGGTCGGAGGCGTCGCAACTGGGAGTTCATGTGTTCCTCATCTTGGAAAGGCCCACACCACTCCATGTCTGCGTGCAGGCGACTGCAAATGAAAGGTCCCCCGGTGACGGAGCAGATAGTAGGGGAGGCGGAAGGTGGAATGGCACGTAGCTGATTGAAATAGCCTCTCAGCTGTGCTGCGATGGCGATTTTTCCATCTAGAGGCATGTCTCGCCAGACGTCATCAAGTTCTACACCAGGAATGCGATCCATGATTACATAGCGGTAGGAGAGCCAGCGAAAACTAAAATAGACGCGAGGAATGGGAATGTTGGTGTGTGACCTGACGAAATGCATCGTCGCAAGGTCTGTAGATATAGGACACCTATGATATGACTTGACATAAAAACGGCGTCCAATAGTCACTGAAACGTTTTGAAAGCTCATCAGGAATAGTCTCTTCAGGGAGAAAGGGCCAGGACCTACAATCCCACAGGCATGATACAGCGTTCGATAGACCAGTAGCTCCCCAGTACCAGATTTTGCATTCCCAGTAAAAGGAATAGCTTTCTAAAAAGTCGAACCGTCCCGGACGACGAGGCCAGCCTTTTGCTGCTCTTGAGTCGTCAGATGACATGTTCGAACTCCGAAGGCACGGCCCGATAATCCGTGCTTGCAACACATAAAATCCGAATTGTCCCGGAATTAATTTTCTGTTGTATGTCGCCTGCGATTCAATCATGAATACCTCAGCCTCTGCCTAATTTCCCTGTTCTAATTGGAGGTTTGCATTACTGTGCGTTGTGCAACTTTGTATCAAGAACCAGGAGATCGGACCTCAGTGAACATGTATGGGTTGTCGACATATCGGTGAGAAATGGCTCTTTCTTTGGAGGCTTCGGAATGATACCAGTCTAGATTAGACGACGGCCGAGCGAGCGATGTACTGAGAGGCTGACATATACGATTATTGTTACTTGTAAGCGTTACTCTACGAATAGGAAACCTAGGTAAACATTGGGATAACGCATGCCCACACTGTCCAGACACCCCGCACAAAATATATTCAAGGAACAGCGATTTCATCATTCGAAGGGGTCCACAACGCCCACGATGCGTGGGAGGGTGAATGAGAACAAATGGGCCACTCGATATCGATCGTGATCAGGAAGCCTAAGTATTACTCAGCCTCAGACCGCCATCTGCTCTATTAGCCCTATCTCGATACGCCTAATGGATATCAGAGTAAGTTTTCAAGAATAAAGTTGCAGCGCAGTCTCCCATTTACTGTTTTGTAGTCGGGACCTATTCACACCCTACCTGAGGAACTATTCTTTAGCGTATTTTCCACGCTGATACAATCATGGGATCCATGGCCTCTTGGACGTCTATCCTACGCGGAAAGCCCATGGATCTTGACCCTCGTATGCAAGTCGTGGAGAGATCTCTTGCTTCAGTCGCCACTGCTCTGGAAATCCTACTTTGAGCACAGGCCGATCTTTGGCACAGGAACGGCAGTCTACCCTCCTCCTTCCCAATTAAATACTTTGCTATCCTCCGAACGATTTTCTTCCGTCCCTCTATCTTTCCAGGTCAGGCTAATGGCTGCGACGCTCACCTCTGTTCCTGCAGCCTGGGCCGACCTGCTGACGGTCCTCAGTGACAATAATGCCAGCCTCGCTCGCCCAATAAATCTCATAATCAAAGGCAGGGCCGCTATGGCATCTTCCGTCGTCGATCTTTGTCGAACGGTCTTTTCGGGTAACAGGTCGGAAACAATTAGAATCGGATTCGACATTGATCACAACTGGACCTTCGAAGGGCAGGCAGGCATGGAGACTCTGAAAAATGTCTTCGCAGCGATGCCTCCGTATTTTCCCCTTGCCCGACTTTGTGGCTCGTTTTCTCTTTCCAATGAACAGGTTGCAGACTATGTCCTTTTCGCACAGATCATCAGCCACTGCGTCCATCTCACCCACCTCAAAATATCATCCCCTCTTGACAGGCGCATTGCTTATGCTATCGCTAGCGCCCGTCCCCCTCTTTCCGTATTCGATTGCAATAATTACATAGCAAGTGCACTTTCTCAGGTGCTCTGGACTGTCCGAAGGACATTGGTATGGCTTAATGCGGGGTCTGTAATACGGGTAACTCACACTGGCGGTACCATGACGTTTTCCAGCGGCAGGCAAACATTTGTGTTGCCTCCCTCCGGATTCCCCCTACTCCGCGAAATTCATATCGCCTTCGATGATAGTGATACAGGGCTCTTAGAGGCCCTAGGAAACACCAGACTACCATCTCTCTCTGCACTGCGATTACACCTCAATCGCACTAGTGACGACCTCCATGATGCCGAGCGTCACTTGCGTGATTTCCAATATGCATCAGCCTTTGCGAACAAGTATGGTCAACAGACTAGATTCCTGACCCTCGATATGCTTGGTGAAGAGACTGACGGCGCACAATCTATACTCAACCAGTTCCCCAACCTCGAAGGGTTAGCTCTGGGAAGCATTGGATTATCGTGTCCGTGCCATGCAACACTGCATAATCTGCGTATCCAGTATGCGTGGGATGACAAATGGCCACTTCTTTATCCCGAATCAGGCCGCTTCCCTGCTCTCAAGACAGTGGGAATTCCCTCCACGCAGTGGACCGAAGGTCGGGAAGACCTTGAGGCACACGGTATAGGGGTCGATCTGTGGGAAGATAATTATGCATGGGGTGACAGGAACATGTCGTTTTGGATGCAAGGTTTTTTCTCTTGATTGTCGTGGTGTCTCAAGTCTCTGCGTCGTGATACGATATTATGTTTTTTCATGTGATCGTGGGCCTCTACATGTAACTTAGTGGGTAATGTTATGAACCTTCGTTGTTTGACCTTTGACTTATCTTTCTCTGGGAAACAGTATCTGCTGTATAGCGATGGCCACAGGTTACGAGACCTCTTCTCAAGTATGAGAAGCACACATATGAAATAAATAGTCATCAAATATTAACAAATTATATATATACCGAAAAGAACTCTACATGCCAGATGCCTCCCGCGCTTTCATTTCAGTTTCGTACTTGCTGGCTGTACTGGGGTCCATAACATCAATACCCATCTCTTCAGCTATAGATGTAAAATGAGCCTCTCGTGCACTTCCATTCATAGGAAAAAGTAACAGCTTACCAGCAATCTGCTTAACGGGTCCAGTAAACCACTTTCTCGCACTGAGGAACCAGTACCCGAAACTATAGGTAATAACGATGCCAACCGCCACAATGGAGTAATTGAAAGTTTGCGAATCCACGGGCTGTTCCAACAGGAAATGAGCCTGATATTCCGTATTTCCCACGGGATATTGACACGTACATTTACTTGAGGAAGGATGAAAGCAATGGAGATGAACATGATCCACAGCACCGCGGCTATCGCCACCGGGTATGAAAATGAGCCAAGATGGAATGGACCTCGGACAAAGTTTTCTCGGTTTATGACACGAAGTGCGACAGGTATACCTGCACCAATTGATCAAGGAAGCGCCTACAATTGGAAATATAAATACGCTTACCGTAAGAGATATACAGGCCAATCGTAGCGATAGATGTAGCCGCTGAGAACGCGACTGTGCTGCCTAAACTAGGCAAGCCCAGAATGAAACTCAAGGTACAAGCAAGCCACACTAAGGAAGGATAGGCGATAAGAGCTACTTTTATGGCAGAGGCACATACCGGTTCGTATGGGCGACCTCCATTTAGAGCTGACGACCGCGAAGAACTTGGATCCTGGAATACCACCATCCCGAGCAAATGCATACATCATACGGGAATTCGACGTGATTGAGAACGTCCTTACTTTACCATCAGTAGGACGACACATGCGAGAAAAGCTATACTTACCCGCAGAAAAACATACATCCGATAATGATGACCTAGAAAATAGTAAGCCAAGAGCATGAGCGAATTTTTAGAAACATACCATAAGGACAATTGCGCCGTCGGTTCCGACGGTGTCCAAAAATATTTGAGCCACTGGTTGTCCGGTGGATGAATTCACAGTCGCATCGAGGTCTTGAATGGAGAAAAGCAACCCGAGAAGAAGATACCATCCCAAAATGGATGACACGCCGATAGCCATGACGATGCCGATACTTCCTGACATGGCGGCGTTGCGCGTTTCTTCCGTCATCTGTGATTTTCTGTTAATAAGAGGCATCGGAGGGTGCGAAGAACTCAAATCAAACGCACGTGAGCACTAGCATCAAATCCTGCGAGAACGGTCAGGGTAAGTATATAGAAAAATGACGAACATTGCACACCTGTGAGAGTATACTGGTAACATAGAGGGACGCATCAACGTATGAACAAGGTTATCCTGCGGAAACTTACTTGTGCCATAAGAGTCTACGCGATGTGCGTCAATCGCGAAATGTTTGAAAGCATTTTAGGGGACATACACCAATAACCACGACGTAGGCGTGACTAGCCCTTTCACCCCATCCACCTGTACCATCGATAAAGTGGGTAAAGACAAATTCGGCTGACTGATGCGTTGGAGCCTTCGCGAGAATGGCGATCACCAGAGAAAAGGTTCCAAGGGCGTGCCACCACACGGAGATGTTATTCAGGTAATGCAGAATGTGTACGCCAAACGTGTTGATCAAGCCTACATGGCCATCAAACGGAGACCGGATTAAACGAAGGGAGTTATGCTGACCTTGTGTGACCAAAACAGCTGCGTAGACACCAATCTGAGTTCGCGAAGTAGGTACAAAGTTGGTCTTGAACGTGCACACTGTGGACAAGAAGCTGGCACAAGCGAAACTGATACCGGTGGTGACGGCGACTTGGCCGAGAAGATTGAACCAGCCTACAAAAATCAACGATCAACGTGCCGAAATGAGCGACGGACATGCGTACCGCATATCCATGACGCCATGGCAGAGTGTTGTGGTTTTGAAAGCATGGCTGCCCAGAAATAAGGACCCCCTGACGTTGGATGCGCACTGGTCGGAAAGATGAGTAAATGTTGACGTCAAGTGATGATGAAAGCGATTTAACCTGCAGACCTCTACCGACGTGTTAGCATGCATATCAAAGAGAGAGAGAGAATTGTGACGTACCGGCCATGGATAGCCCCACGAACATAGTGAATATTGAGACAACAATCCATCCCCACACCATGACAGCAGGACCTCCGGTGTTCTTTTCAACTTAATTAGCGTATAATGGGTTTTCAGACGCGGGGCGCTCACCAGTCCAAACAGAAACAGCGACGACATACCGGTCACCACGGATATGATCGAGAAGGACACCTGAATATTGGGTTTGAACGCGCTAGATGGATAGGTCGCGAAAAAAAAGGTACCCCGAAGTTCTGTTGCAAACGGAATTAAAAGGTATCTGTTCGTGATTCGTTCCGCAAAAGCGTACCTGCATCAAACCCAATTCTCGTCTGGTACACCGGGGCTCGAATCAGTCTCGTGAGGACATTAGCGAGTGAAAACGTACCTGAGCTCCTGCCTGTATCCCATACGAGCCAAATCCTCCTCGTCGTTTTCGATGACATGGTCATGAAGTGCATCGGCCATGTTGAATGCAAGAAAGTGAAAGGTCGGAGGCTATCATAAAACGATCCATCGTACTTAAAAATGGATCTGGTTGTGGATACACGATAAGAGCACATGCACGAATTGCCCGAAAAGGACGTACCCGTGGTGTTAAGTCGCGACTCGGGGATTGGCATTTGATGGATCACTGGCATTCTGCAACGTTATCTCTGAGCACGGCCAGGGGTCGAGCCCGCACCACTGAATGGCTTACCCGCGGCGTCGATTGTTCAGGTGTAGAGCCGGCTCATCTTGGGAAAAATATTGACCAGGACTTTCGAACGGGCCCAGAGACAGACGAATCTTGGTAAATGCAATAATTAAAGTGGATCGGGGAAATAGGTCATGGTACCAAATTTCCGTATACCTTTCTGGCTGCCAAGTCGATAGCACACGAGGAGTCACGACCACGACCAATGGACGCTGGCGGCAAGAGGTGCAACTCTAGGTAGAAACACAGACAAAGAGTGGGTGGGCTTCCAATAATGGACTGCGATTTTATTTTTACAAGTTGTATGTGAAGGGATTAGCCATGGCAGAGTGACACTGACAAGTGGCTGCACATAGGAGACTTGCATAGATACAATTGAACACTATACCTAATACATAACATTGAACATTGAATGCGCCCAGGTACGTGCTAGAAATCAACAGTATCAGGGACGGCGATATGATTCCTGCGCTGGATGAAGACCATCAGTACAATGATAGATAGACTCCGACATCTGTAATGTCCCGAACGGAGGAATCGCATCCGAGGTCAATCAACAAAGGTATAGTTAATGCCAAAGGGCCAAGAGCCGGCGATGTAGACGGTATATCGGGCGACAGAGATCAGTGTTCGAGGCAAGAGTCGATGCGTTGGGTCACGGTCCTGTCGCAGCGGAGTATATTCTTGCAGTGGCGGTGCTGACGTGTTCTCCGCCGGCATCTTCATCGACGCGTCCATCCGGCTTGTTCATCATTCAGGTATAAATATCCCTTCTCGCTCTCAACCATGATTCACTATACTGGCACTGAAGAAACATGAATTTATCACGGACGTCCTTGCGCTCGGCTATTCGTTTCCCAAATCGACGGCTACCGTCATGGTTGGCTGTTCCGAGACGAAGTCTTTTTACCATAATAGACCAAGGGCATGAAGGCTGGAGGTTGAGGTGAGTTCTCAACTGTTTTTCCTTTCAACTTAGGCTTCTAACTTCGTCAGTTTTGGTCGGAACCCGGTGCAGCTAAACCCTGGAATCCGTTTGCATATGCCAATCTACCATACTATTCATAAAGTCGACTTGCGGGAATCTTCCATCTCAATACCGAACGTACGCTACTACTACTTGAGCTTTCTTCCTCAAGGATGCTGATTACATTGATGTAGCTCCCTGGCTATACTCTTGACAACGTAAACCAGATTCCTCCTGACATTTGCTGCTGCTCAACCGCTCGAAACAGGTCCCCGTAACTTGCTCAGGATCTCTATTTTATCGCATCGTCGACGGATACAAGGCTTGCTTTGAAGTTAGTGATGTGCAGAATAATATCAGGAATGCCGGAACCTCAGCTATGCGAGCGGTTCTCGGGACGTTTAGCTACGACCAGGTGCGTCGAACTCAACTCTGCGCGCAATCTTTTCCCCCCCCCTCTCATCAAGGGAACCTGTGCAGGTAATAGGTGACCGAAACGGCCTCAACACCAAACTGAATTCCGTGATCGGTAATTCTATCAAAGTATGTATGTCGTTTTGACAGCCGGAAAACGATTCAAGTGACATTGCCATAGAATTGGGGAGTCGAGGGCACTCGTTTCGAGATCCAGTCATTCCAGCCTGCGAATCGCGAAGTCGAGAGGCAACTTGAACTCCAGATGGAGGCTGAGCGTAATCGGCGAAAACAGCTCCTCGATACGCAAGCACAAGTCAATGTCGCAGAAGGCCATAAGCAACGCGTAATTTTGGAAAGTGAGGGCCATGTAAGAACCTATATTTCTCTTGCCCTATCATTCTCGAACAATCTAACCCATTCCATAGCTCCGGGCTAAAGCGAATGAAGCTGACGCCAGTTACAAGACTGTTGTTCGTGAAGCCGAGGCACGGTCCGTGTTCATTTCCTTGTCCTGTCCCGGGTTTATAAATCTTTGTGTACAGGCAACAACAGGCGATTATGGAAGCTTCAGCCCTGGCAAGGCAGGTCGAGGAGGTTGCTCGAAGTATATCCATGGACAAGGGTAATGTGAAGCCGGAGGAACGACAACGGGCTCTGGAAACTTTGGTGGAGTTACGCCGTCTCGAGCAGTTGAGGGCTATTGCTGCGAGCAAGAGCAATTCAACCTATTTCTTCGGCGACAAGTCTGCTTTGGGACGTTCTAGTGCGGATGCTTACAACATTGATTATGCGGAGCATATAAAGGGTGGAGTTGCAAAGAGTCGTCAGGAGGCTGGTGCAGTAATAACATCGTAGGAAGCAGTTTGTTTTTGTCTCTTGTTGTCGAAGCTGTTCTCCATTCTTGTTGTTCCTTGTAGCCTCTATAAATCATCATAGCTCCACTCAAATGTATAATTATCTGTACGATACATGCATAATCTTTACTTTCCTTTGTAAATTGTTGTACTCACTGGTGTCTGCTACCATCTCGCTCGGCAGGGATGCCCTACGCTTACGCTCGCACTGATTGCCAATTAATTAGTCTTCCAGGTTTGCCTATGCATATCCACGTGATTAAGCTGACGCGTTCGCGTTGTTTGCTGTTGTTGTCCTCATTCATTTCCTTGAGGCTTGACCTCGACCTCTTCCTTCTTTTCTCTTTCTTCTCCTTCCATTTTCTCGAAATGTCGCCCGCGAAACATACCGCCAATGAGGAGGATGCGTTCATGCAGGATCTGTTGTCCGGCTTGGATAATTCATTCTGGAACGCGAGCCCTACACCATCTCCGGCGAAGCCCAAGCAGAAAACAACGCCCATTACACCCGAGAAGAAACAGCCGTCTACACCACCTAAAGTTCTCTCCACCAAGAACGTTAACTTAACCGATCTTCTGGAAGGAGCAGAGGATTGGGATTTCAGTGACGACTTTCTCACACCCAAGAAAGAGACAAAAAAGAAAGAGATTCTGGTGCGCAAGCATTATCAAAGTGGCATATACTTTAATTTATGCTAAACTCACCTATAGCATAAACCTCCCCCACAACTTGCTCAGAAATCGTTTAAGAGTGCAGCGTGTACACGGTGTATTGTACAAGCCATTGAAGAGCATCAAGTCGGCTCTAGACACGAAAAAGTGATTTAAGCTCTTATTAGTGCATCCATTCTCTGACTTGCATACTAGAACCTCATAGTGAGAATCGACGGCAGCAAAGAGAAGCGTTCAATTGTTTTACGCGACGATTGGATAGTCACAGATGTTCGTAAAGGTGTGTCGTCCGACGCTCTGTCTATGCTCTTGAAATTCATTATATAATTACTTCCAGGTGACATCGTCAACATTATTGGCGATTTCACTATTCTGGGCGAATCGTCCTCCTCGCTTACGTCCTCAGTTGCGATTTCATCTAAAAGCAATCTGCTTATACTTCACCCTGATATCCTCATTACGGCTACCGCTCTCTCCAACACCCCTCAGTGTCGCAGGAAACCCTTAATATCCTCTCTTGTTCGTTCATCATCCGATTACACCCCTTCTCTTGTCTGGGGCAATATGCTTCATAGTGTGTTACAGGCTTGTCTTCTCGCAGATCGCTGGGACGAGGTTTGGGTCGATGATAAGATTGATGAGATTGTTCGAAGCGGACTATCGGATCTTGTTCGCATCAACACCAATGTCGACCAGGCGAAACGGGAAGTGAAGGCTCGCGCAAAAGGTCTTCATGTATTTTCCGAAAAATACATAGCACCATCGCCCAAGGTACTTCATCTGCTTTTTGTTCTCTGTTTAGCATATTTATGAACTCCTCTGCAGCCTGGCGCAAACTTGACAAACAGTCGAGGGGGTCGCGATGACGTATCCTTGTTGGCGATATCAACAATTCTTGACATTGAAGAAGATATTTGGAGCCCTTCGTACGGCTTGAAGGGTAAACTCGATGCGACCGTGCAGACGGTCATCTCTGAGATGAAACCACCGTTTTATAAACCCGTATTCACAAATGGACCAAAACCGTTGGAGCTGAAGACCGGACGTGCCATGGCAGGCATGGAGCATCGCGCTCAGACTATGTTATACAGCCTTCTTGCGGAAGAGCGATATGGTTTGGAGGTGTCTTCAGGTCTTCTGTACTATACACAGAGTGAAGAGGTTGTTCAAGTCGACGTGAACAGAAATGAACTGAGGGGGCTCATCATGGCGCGAAACGAAATGGCCTCTTACATGGTTCGTCGTCATCAAGATCCCCCCGAACGCTTCCTTCCACCGACACTGGATGACGAAAGGTTATGCAAGAGATGCTATGTGTTGGATACGTGTATGTTGTACCGCAAGGTGATCACTATCTACTTCTATAACGGCGCATTAACTCACTGATCCTGGCAGGCTGTCGAAAACGTTGAGGATACTAACTCTCCGATTGCGGATGCCTATTCTCTCAAAACCTCACATCTTTCTCCTTCCCATGCTGCCTTCTTTAAACAATGGGAACATCTCGTATCTCTCGAAGAATCTGACATGAGTCGATTTAAAAAAGAGTTGTGGACTATGGGTGCTTCTGAAAGAGAAAGCAAAGGTCGCTGTTTTGGCTCCATGGTCATTGACTCGACGTATCACCCACTGTCTCAGTCACCTGCATCCCGGGATACCAAAATCCATCAATATACCTATAAATTCCTCCGTTCTACCGGCTACAAAACATCCTCCTCCCTTCTAAGTGGATTCCTCAATGCAGGTGACGCGGTGACGATTTCTGTAGAACCTCATCTACTCGCGCTTGCAAGAGGATTTATCCTTGAGCTCACGCCAACAGATGTCATCGTCGGAGTGGATCATGATTTGTCCCTGCTATCTATTCGCGATCGTCTATCAGCCTTTGGTCCCGTTTCGCCCGAAATCATTTTCCGTATTGACCGGGATGAGCTCTATGGTGGTATGGGCCGTATTCGCGAGAACCTGGCCCAGCTCTTCTATTTGGGGGGAGATACTAGACGGTTAGAACTTGTCGTGGATCTGAAGTATCCTTCATTCAGCACCGAGCCATTACCTCTTCCTCCTTCTGTTGCTCGGTACTCTGCGCACCTCAACGCCAACCAGATGCAAGCTATGAATAAGGTTCTTTCAGCCGAAGATTACGCTTTGATCCTTGGGATGCCTGGGACCGGGAAGACGACCATTGTTGCAGCTATCATAAAGACGGTCGTGGCAATGGGTAAGACCGTCCTGCTAACCTCCTACACGCACTCTGCCGTGGACAATATTTTGCTGAAACTGAAGGACGTCGAGTTCGGTATTTTGAGGTTGGGTAACACTGACAAGGTATTCCACATTATAATTGCATGATTTCATCTCATCGTCTCATAGGTCCATCCCGACATCCGCCCCATGACGCTGTCTTCGAAGCGAGCACCCACTACCGTCGAACAACTAGAGTTCCAGATCATGACACCTCCCGTTGTTGCGACTACTTGTTTGTCAATCGATAAGTACGTAGGGCTGGTTGATTGATAAGACCGTGCTGAAAGTTACCATGCAGCGCCTTGTTTTCTCGGCGCAAGTTTGACTACTGTATCGTCGACGAGGCGTCTCAAATCACACTTCCTAGCTGTCTTGGCCCTCTCCGCTTCGCGGACAAGTTCGTATTAGTAGGCGATCACTTCCAGCTGCCGCCTCTGGTGAGTCTTTGTACATTCAGTATTTAATAGCAGCTGATACCAAAATTCCAGGTTCGGAACAAGGAGGCCCGTCAAGGAGGGCTGGATGTATCTCTTTTCCGGCGTCTCTCCGATGCTCATGCTCATTCGGTCGTTGATCTCGCATATCAGTATCGCATGAATTCTGACATAATGATGCTGTCTAATAAACTCATCTATGGCGATCGTCTACGTTGTGGATCTCAAGCTGTAGCGAACCATTCTCTAGTCCTTCCAAATCGTGATTTCCTCAAAGGGATACATGGAGGGAAGTTATCGTGTCATAGCAGCGACTGCTGGATCGAGCAGCTCATGTCAAAGAGGTATGCATGCGCCTTTGTTTGATTATATATGAAGCCGACTATGCGCCTAGCTGCAAAGCCGTCTTCGTTGATACAGATCTAGTACCCGCCCAAGATTCAAAAGTGGGAGATCTGGTCCAAAATGAAGTCGAAGCTAGCCTTGTCTACCAGGTGACTGAAACCATGTTGCGCAGTGGAGTCTCTCCGGACCAAATTGGCATCATCTCGCTGTACCGGCAACAAGTGAAGCTCTTGACGCAAATGCTTCATGAACACAAAGGCATCGAAGTTCTTACAGCTGATCGAAGTCAAGGACGAGACAAAGATTGTATTATTATCTCGATGGTGCGCTCTAACGAGGATGGCTCAGTAAGTAATATCAGTGAACTCATTATGCTAACGCTCAATGGTGTTTACGTAGATCGGTGACCTGGTCAAGGATTGGAGACGAATGAATGTGTCGTTCACCCGGGCTCGATCGAAGCTCATCATTTTTGGATCGCGCAATACTTTGCAGGATGCGCCTCTCCTTAAAGAGTTCTTTACTCTGATGGAAGAGCAGAAATGGATCGTGCAGCTACCGCCCAAAGCAGATATTAGTCACGCGAGAGCATTTGATGTTGCAACGTCTCCGAAGCGCGTTGTAGAAGACGTTATAGGACAGAGGAAAGAGAACGCAGACTGTACCAGACCGCAAAAGAAATTGAAGGTGAAGAAAGGTGTAACAGAGGCAGGTCTCTTACGCAGTCGACCCATTTTGCGAGACCTAGTAAATGACGGTCGATAACGAATTTTTATAATCGGGGATATATGAATGTATAGCAACAAAGTTTGTACCAATACTAAGAGTGAGAACCAATTACAAAAATTGCGAACCCGAGGAATAAAACTCAAGTTCCTAAACATGAAACATTTCTGTCCATTGCCTCTCTTCCAAGGATATTTGCCTGCTTTCTTGAGTCAATTGACAAGGATAACAGCACGTAGAGGCGAAGCAATCTTCGATGACACTTCCATCAATACCATAACGTTCCCGAATTTCTCCGCGATATACCGCCTGACAGAATAATTAGAGAGTGAAAGTAGACATCGAAGATCCAAACAAACCTGAAATGCACAAGCCACACCACAGCAGGGAATACATGCAGCATGTGCACAGCAGGGGGCAGAGCAGGAACGACCAAACGGATCGGGGTGAGGATAACCAGTTGTTTGAAGATGATCGTATCGATCGATGTTGCGGCCCAATGTGATACAAGGGCAGAAACATGCCGACACACCTAATTCTAGACAGTAAGCAACAGGAAAAGGCGCAAGGACTCTAGAACTTCACAGGTGCGGATGTCTCCCCAAAAGTTGAACAGACCGTGAGACCATTTCCTATGTTCACGAGTACTTTCTTCATATAAGGGCACACTTGTTATCGTTTCAGTAGTGATCGGCTTGATCGGCTTGGGCTGTCTCGTAACATACTAAAAAGAGTGCTGTCAATGGAGATATCCTTGTGAAAAAGAATGGTCTGTACTTACGAGCCTGGAGTTCTGGGGTACGGTCGGTGGGTGGTGCAATGATCTGAACCTTTCCACTAGACTATCGAGCCTAGCTAATGCATCTTGATTCGGAGCCCCCCCGTCCTATAGAAACATTAAGTGATTAAATCTAGAAAGAGAAAAACAAAAATCTGACATTGTGGGGACTGTAGGCAGGAGGAGGAGCATCGTTGTAAGTGGTGAAAGGGGACGGCATGGTGTTGTGAATGACGATGCATCCTGAGTAGAAAGTCTTCTTATATACTCTGCGATATGTGAGACTGTGTCTAAAGGATGTCTCCGGCGAAATGAAAAGGAGTACTCGGATAGATCATGAATTTCCCCGGAGAAACGAGAATTATTCGTGGGTATCTGAGAACAATTTTCATGTGATCATTAAAATTCCCTTTATGGCTGGAAAATAGACGACACTGTAAGACAAAGATCATTATGAACATCATAGGGGCCTCGAAGGAAGGAAGTTTTATGAATGAAAGTAGCTGCATTTAACGCATATGCAGCATTATTTTTTTTTCAAGGCTCAGTGTCCTGGTATTCAATGACAAAAGACATTTTTTGAGATGGATACCCAAGTAACAATAAACGGAAGGCAAATACTTATGCCCGCTTCGGGGATTGTTTCAGTAGAAGGCTCCTTTCTTAGGCAATACCACTATGACTTCTGAGACCGCAAGAGATGTGGTGCACCAGTGGAACATCGGGAAAGTAATGGTCAGAAGAGTTTTGGAATGGTGTACCTTGAACTCAGTGCATGTTTCCTCGGCTCGGCTTCTATGCTTCCAATCACAAGTACCGTCGTAAGATCAACCAGAAGCCTCAGGTCCCAGTTCCCCCCGCCGACATGACGCAGAAGCCTAAACAAAGTGGGTGGAAGTAGGAAGTTATGGAGACTAAAGATGAAACAGATTTGGAATTCCACGTGCGAGATAGGAATTGCACGAAGAGATGATAGAAATCTCCTGAAACGCATGCAGAGGAAGACTGGAGGTGCTGGATCAAGAGCTCACTGAGGTGACTTGGGATATCCGCTCTGGGAATGGCCTGATAACCTTTAATGTCGACAGTGATGGTAATAATGTTGTCCAAAACTCAAAGAGCATAGCAAGGCAAGCTGTCAACCAGCTTTTTCAGATGTTCAAAATCCAGTACACTCAGGAGACCATTGATCTGTCTCAGATACAGGTTGGGATAGTTTGCAAATCGATAGGCAATTCGCGTAGATTGTTGGAGTTAATGAGGTAGGAGCATGGACATGGTGAACAAGAAAAAGGGTTCAGAAGAGAACGGGCGCTAGAATAGAACGTCGTAACGTTAATCTCAGCGTTGTGGTTGAAAGCTGAGATGTGCGGAACGGTGTGTCATACTGAAAAAGGAAAGAAAATCAAACAGGTAAGTGAATGTGTTCGTATCGTACTATTTCTACATCTAACATAGATGGTGTGTTTTGCTCGTACTAAACTTGTAACACAATTTCGGAAATGTGTTCGGAGACTCTGAGGTTTCGATCTCGTCTATCACATCTTTTTTCAGTAGGAGTAAGAAAGGAAAACAAAGCCCACATAACTGACAATAAGTTCCGATAACAAAAAAGGTTTCATGAAATACTGATGCATACCCCAAGAGCCTTGTCTTCCCAGGCGACGCAATGTTCTTTCAGGGATGCTGCCTGTACGATGAAGAACGGAGACTGATGATAGAATCTGGGGGAACTTTGAGGTCATAGCCGAAGTCCACGAGACACCACGAGACACCACGCGGCGACAGGAATGAACCTTGCCACACTCTGAAAATCAACCATTGCCACAGTGAACACGGCTTGTTTGAGGAATACGACGGCTACATCAGGACGCTAACCAGGATTGTCGGTTTCTTCGCTTTGTAAGCGTAGTAGAAGGATATAGTAGAGGAAGATAGATTTTCCTGTACTCGTCAACGTCAAATGGAACTAAGACTAGCTTGTTGTTCCTTACCAATGCCAGAGTAGCAAAGGACGATGAAACCTGCTAGCTGCGACTTTGCCTCCATCTCTCGGAATGGGTTAGGATACTGTTCCAATGCTTCAGTACTGGTGGGCCCACTATCAGCGACTGCGAGTTTACTTCCACCGTTGAAGACTCTACCAGTATCCTGCCTCTTCTCTCTGTCCTCGACGAGGTCCTCCTCACAAGTGCCCTTGACGCCGAAAGTCGGTGCAGGCTGGGTCATGTCGTCGCGCTCTTCTTCGTCTCTTTTTTCCTGGCTCTCTTCGCCCTCATCAGCCTGAATAGGTATGATAGAGTTACCTGTCTTCCTGGCCTCTATGATATCGTGCAGAGCGACCCCGTACTCTTTGCGAATGGAAGGGCGAACTCCCAAATATCTCTTCAGATTTGTCGCTGAAAGCCCATATATTTCTGGGACCCTAACGTTGATACGAAATGTCCCGCAGAACTCGTTCCTTGATGAATGGAGGTTGTTGGTCGTACCAGATGTCCAAGTAAACGTCGTCGTACTCGTCGCTATACGACGTCTTTCTAGAAAGCGAGATATACATGCACTCAGAAAGAGATTTTCCCTTATCAAAAGGCCATGGATTTCATAGTCTTCACCGAAATGTAGGTTGAAGACGACATTTACATTTGGATTATTGGATTAAGGCAAATGGCACATGCGCCAGCGGCCCGATCAGCCGTTCCTCTCGATACCACTACCATCATGTACGTACCTTTTTTTCTTCGAATGCATTAGACCCATTATCCAGGCCTCCCAAGGGTGTAGGACGGAGAAAAGCTGCAAATGATGGCTCGTCGACGCCCAACATTCCCGTACGAACCTCGCTTTCTCGGAGAGGCTGCCAATGACCTTCTCAGTAGAGCCTAGCAGTGCAGCTATCTTACTTGCACAGCCCAAAACCGTTCAAGAATCCCTACTACACCAAGAATGTCAATCGTAGGGCGAAGAATTTTAAGACTGTGCTGAGTCAGGAGCGAGAGCGGGAGAGGGCAGAGCGGGAGAGGAGAAAGCTTGCCCAACCGGATGTTCCCCTCGAGCCAGACGAAATGCCTACATGTGCGTCACGTCGGATTTACCGCTTCAGTTTACTGAAGAGTTTATAGATGCATCGATTGAGGCTCCGCCGTCTGTGTTGCCGATGAAGCATTATTGCGATGTTACGGGTCTCGAGGTGCGTGTTCTAGCAGTTTTGAGTCCGGCTTATCCATTATTCTTTCAAATAGGCGCCCTATACAGACCCTGCTACGGGCCTCCGGTTTCATGATAAGAGTGTGTATCAAGTTATTAAAGGGATGGTACGTGCGTGTTTTGTCGCTTCTGAATCCTTGCTCATTCCTCACCGTAGAGTGTCAGCACCGCGAAAGATTATCTCTCAGGTATGCGAAAATGCATTTGGTTCATTCACTGTGTCTTACGCTGTGTCCTGTAGCTCGTGGTGTAAATTCTATTGTCAAGTAATAGACGCCGAACCCAGGCAGTGTTGGACACGATTAGCTTGTCAATAAATGCTCGCCGCTGTATCCCCGGTCATTCCGCTAAATCATATTATACTCATTTTAATTGGTATAACATCGGTGTTAGTGGAAAGCGGAGATAGATCATTCCGAGGTAAAACGTGTAAGAGTAGGTCGGGCAATCCCATTCGTGTGTTCACAGCTCGAAACTTAAAGTGATGTCGCGGTTGCAGTTCGGTCGAGCGGGTTCCGACCAAATTTTGACTTAAGTACTGTGCTCCTGCCCTCATCTTCGCATGACTGTATTACGGTTCCAAACAGACCTGGAATAGGAATTGAAGCGAGCGATAGGAATTCTGGTAGACGTCGACTCACATACATAATACCGGATGGATGGAGGACCAGTGGGAAGTCATGGTAGCAGCACACATAGGTGAAAAAATGCAAAGGGAAAAAACATACAAAAAGGAAAGGCATCCCAGAGACAATGGGCGAGGTAAAAGAGCTTCACAACTCTCTAACCTCTGGGCAGATACATAGGCGCATCTTTACAAAATGCCGCAGAAGGTTTGCTTGTGCTCGACACAAGAAGGAAAAGCGTAAGAGCGCTGTTACGCACGAGGAGGTGGGGGAAGCAGAGGAGATACGTGCCAAGTCAACTCAGATGCCATCATATTGCGCGCTTGCAGTAAAGTTGACAGCTGGCAACGAGCTCAATCAACTTCAGGGCATCCTAGCAAGGAATATGCCCTGTGGATGACAATGATATGGCCTCTCGGGATCAACATGAGAAAATAAACTGAGGATGGCGGAAAATAAACTGAGTATAAAATTGGTAAGTGTACCGATCTCATCAGTCCAGGTCACATCTGTAGTACAAACGAGCCTCTGGCTGTGTACATTGTTATCTGAGGGACCAATAGCAAAAATCATATTCCGCTTCACTTCAGGTCCTACGACAAGACTTGCACAAGTTGTGTCCGAGCCAATACCATAAACACTACGGAAACCATTAGTGCGAGGTTTATAACATTGCAAACATAGACTTACACCTACCAACCTCACAACCGACAGAAGAAAAGTCGAATATAAGATGAAAGCAAAGTAATTGTTTCTCTTCTCCGAATAGCCCTCCTCGAAATTCTTGATCATCTCTTTTGATATATTTTCGTCGTCCACATTCAGCCAACCATTAATATTCTCGATCCCGACGGCGAGGATGCCATTTGTGAACATCCATGTAGCCACAAGTCGAATCCTGAAGGTCTTGTTTTCGTCGTCTAAGGTTGCTTCTCATTTCCTTCAGCTGACTTAATCTTCCAAAGAGCGCGCGTGACCGTCTCTTTGAATGCAGTATTGACGTCCTCCTGCATCCTAGTCGTATCCTCAACATGAGGCTCGTCATTTCCAAGCGTTGTACGAGATTTCAGTGAGGGAAGAACATCTATTTTGTTACTTCCTTTCGTTCCCCAAGACACCTATGCCAATAGGACGACCTGTTAGAAATTTACTGGACAGCACATAGTTACTAGCTCACGTCATGCAGATTACAAAATGCGTAGACATTGAGAACGTTGATGAAGCTTGGCGCTAGACATAGATACGGCATGAAACTTGTGAACATGTGCCATGGATCGCCCTAGGATACTTGTCAGTAGATCACTTCAAGTGGAAGCCGCCCTACGTACATCTAAGAAGGATGCAAAAAAATAGATACCGAATGTAGATATCATTGCAGCAACCAGGGGACCAAGAGGTAGGTTAAAGAACGACTTGAAAACTTGCACGGTCGACTTATTTTCTTAGAATGCATTGGGAATTTCCTGTATGGGCATGCATATTAGCAGTTGAGTCGAGGAATGCCAAGGAGTGTCACCTTGAAGGTAAGCGACGTGAGCCAAAACGAACAAACTAAGAGATACACAGAGAGAACAGCATAAACCCTTGGGGAAAGCTCAAAATGCCGGCAAAGAATGGTAAGTAGGTTACCATAATGTAAGTGTATATGCAAATCGTTCTCCTTTGGGCCGATTACCTAATGCTAGGACAAACTGAGACAAGCAAATTTAACTTTTTGGAGGAGTTAGTCCGCTGAGACATACCTGCAGTACAAGGAAACCCAGATAAAGATACTTTAAACCCAAGTTGATCCAGTGAATCTGGGTAGTGAAGTCAATGCAGGATCCAAATGTCAGTCCAGTTCGATATTGCTTACTAATACGACACTCCACTCCCTGCAATGATAGCAGATCGATGATGATACTGAACGTAAGCCACAAGTTGGCCAGGGCGAACCATAAGAAGACCAAAGAAAAGGCGTTGTACTACCTCACCATCAGTGACTGTTAATATGGATGGAATATAGTTCACCAAGCCTTGTATATGGAAGAACAGCATTCTAAAGATCCTATGTCCCGAGCAGGAAAACCTGAAGAAGTTGACGAGCGCGTAGACGCTTGCAGAAAATGAACCATTGAGCCATCTCCGCCGTTGTCCTATCAACTCCGCGGCGCTCTTCGGTACATCGGTTTCGGCTTTACTTGGTTTGACGTATGTTAGTGTCCATCGTTCATCTCGCTTTGCTACCAGTTCCAAACACGAAATACGATCTTCGGCTTTAGACATCATATTAACGATGAGCCGACCGGGGCGTCATAGCGCATACCTAAAAACATATTCTTCTGGAAGATGGACATTCCGTTGATACCTTGGTCGCCTAGATGCTCCGCAAGGGAGTGGTCGCCATGGAAGTATTGCTCCAGAGGTCGGCCAAGGATGACTCTATGCATCAATGGTGTTGTAGGATAACACAATGTAGCACTGAAATCGAGACGAACCTGTATCGATACGCACTGAATGCTCCAGGCAACACGGAGACATAGCCAAACATACTTTCAGTAGGCTTGTCTAATTATGGCGCGTGAGCTCAGACCTTGAGAGAGAACAGATATACGTACCAAGAATATTAGACATATTGTGCAATAGCATTAAACAGCCATCGATGAGATTTAATCTTCTTCTGGTTCTGCGCTTTTAACCCAACTACGATTTGCACGGGAACCAGATTCGATGGATCGCCGTCTTGTGGAAGTACAAGATTTGGTTTCGCATCCATGGATAGCTGCATGGTGTACTACAACATGTCAGATAAAAAGACTGCAAAAATGAATAGGAACGTACCTCAAAGATGTGCGTTACTGTTGATTTTCCATCAATCTGCTTTTTCATCACGCCATCTTGATAGACACCAACAGTGGCAAGGATGTCTAGGGCACTCTTGTCCATCGCTTCCAGGCCGTCAACGACCAGCGCCACTACGATATTTTGCCAGCCGGGAGAACCGGCCTCGGCTTGAGTTCGCCAATATTTGGACTTTTTGGTTTTACAGATGTCACGGATGTTCGTCATGACTCCATGTAAGGTGCGGGCGTACAAAGTCTTATCTTCAGTATACGAGGTGACGGCAATGAGCAGCTCCGTTTCGCGGTTGTAGAACCTTGTTCGTAATGACCAAACCGTTTGCTTCTGTAAAGTCATCCGGATCGCATGTAGCGGCTGTGTATCTCATATGGCTTGGGGTGTCCTGTCAGTTCGATATGTCGAGTCACCAGATACGGATTCAACGCACGAGAATTCTGTACTTTGCATGGAGGTGTATTTTGACTCGATAGCGTTCCGAACGGCCGTGGGTACGGGATACTCAACAATGAAATTACCCTTGATAAGTTTTACTCTTCGCGTGACTCCACGCTTGATAGTTTGGCGCCGTCGCCAGTTAGTCTCAAGAGAAATAACAGACTCCCGACCCGGGTCACTACTTTCATGGGGTGATCGAAGGATGGCACTCATTCTTCGTGAAAGAGTCAAAAGTAGTTCACTGTAAGAGAATTTCCAACTTACCGCACTGGATACACAAAACTGTCGGCCGGTTGAAGGGGGAGTTTTTCTAGGGACTCGTGACTGTCATTACTGGGCAGGCCGGTTAGCAGGGGGAGACTGGGATAAAACGTATTGGACTGATAGAACGAGACGGATCGTCCATACGAGAAATTTGGATTGTTGGTGTCGATGTTATCATTGTCTTCTTCAAGTGAGTAAGTTGTCGATGATGACTTGATTGATGCAGCGACAGAAGAGAGAGAAGGCTGATGAGAATGCATGGAGTTCTTCGAACCGTGAACAGCCCAGATGTAGAAGGAAGAAGGCTTAGAACATAGAGATCTATGCCGGTGATATATGCTGTTTCCATCCTGGTGATGGTTGAGCTCGAACAGTCGACCGACTCTGCGCTGAAGGTTCGTTACCCACACATGCATATCATCCGGTTGCATCAGTTGTATACTGATCCGGAACTTCAAGGCCAAGCGCAGTAACGGAGGCAACTCGGGCATTTCTTTTGCTTCTTGTTGCGAAGGACTGCATGGCATAGGCTGTTTGATACACCAAGAAACAAAACGTAGGATGGCTAAGGGCCAACGGTCCGGCCTTGACGGGACGAACCATGTCACAAGTCACAAAGTGCGAGTAAAAAAGGTATTTTCGATATTTCGATATTTTCGGTATCTTCATTATTCCCTCATGGCTACGACATCGAAAACAGCGAAAAAGAGATCTGCCGCATCCCAGGCCGGTCCTTCCGGCAAGAAAATCAATCTGAGTGTCCCCCAGACGTCTGAAAAGAAACGAAGTCGACCTGTAACTCAACTTGCACCTGACGCTGGTTCTGGCTCTGATTCCGATGAAATAGACGAGGATGATGTGCCAGAAAAACAGGACGATGAAGTGGCCGATGGCGAGGGCATGGATGTAGTCGAGGAAAAGGCAGCGAAAGATCCATTGGGTGCGTTACCAGCTCCATTTTTTTCGTTCTATCCGTCTGACTGATGCACGGGTAGCGGTACGTGAGGCTCGTAAAGCACAAAAACTTCTTCAAGGGCAACGAAAGACGGCAAAACCTCATTCGTCTCTTTTAACAGAGGCCAAGAGAGTGTGGTCACTCGCGCGACAGAAAAATATACCACCTACCGAACGGCAAAAGCACATCCACGATCTCATGAACGTTATACGTGGAAAAGTGAAGGATATTGTCCTGAAACACGATGCCAGCCGGATAGTTCAGACTGTTGTCAAGCACGGCAAACAAAAAGAACGAGATGAAGTAGCCGTCGAGTTGAAGGGGAAGTATAGAGAACTAGCCCAGAACAAATACTCAAAAGTATGTGTTTCACCCGGGGAATCACCGGTTTCTTGCTTACTCTTTTCGCAGTTCCTTGTGACCAAGCTCATCAGATATTGTCCCGCTCATCGCACTTCCATTATCCTCGAATTTCAGTCGCACACCTTGCGACTGCTTCTTCACCGAGAGGCTTCCTCGGTGCTGGCCGATGCCTTCGAGTTGTACGCCAATGCATACGAACGGTCGCTGCTTCTTCGTGATTTCTATGGGAAAGAGGCTACTTTGTTTAGTATAACATCCGGCAGCACTGAAGACAAAGAGCGCGCGAAGAAGGGACTGAGCGGTGTTTTGCAAGGCGGAGACACGGAACGACGGAAGCGAATTCTTACCGCGACTAAAACGGGACTGATGTCAATGTAAGGCCACCTAGACTTGTTTGTTATCTTCAACTGACTTTGATGCAGATTCAACAATCCCGATAAGGGTGCTATCACGCACGCAATTGTGCATCGTGCCTTATGGGAATACATAGTAGCTGTCAATGAGAGTGAAGAGGGGGAACGAGACAAGCAATATCGCGAAATGTTTGAATGGTACGTAGTCAGTCTTTGCACTCTTTCCCTTAATTTAGAGTGCTACAGCTGTCAGGAAGTTTTGGCCGAGCTGGTCCACACGAAGGACGGGAGTCGAGTCGTGCGCGAATTTCTCGCACGCGAAACGGCAAAAGGCCGAAAACAGATTCTCAAAGTACTCAAACCACACATTTTGAAGATGTGTACAAATGAGGAGGCTCAGTTAGTACTGTTCACGGCTATAGATGTAATTGAGTAAGTGTGTCGCTTTCTTCTATTTTTTTTTTTGACTCAGTCATCGTTGTCCAGCGACACAAAACTTGTACTGAAAACCCTGGTTACTGAGATCACGCAAGCAGCCGATACGTTATATCCTTCGCCACAGGGTCGTCGAGTGCTCCTCTATCTAATGGTTCCTCGTACCAGACGACACTTCACCCCCGCGCAAATAGCGTCGATAACCGAGACCGATGAAATTCGATCTCGAACGAGCAAAAAGGATGCAAACATCCGACAAAATGAAATCCGTATCGGTGCCAGCGAGCCTCTACTTGCATGGATATCTGAGAATGCTGAAAAGATTAGTCGGGATCCTGGCGGAAGTCTTGTCATCCCTGAGATATTGCTTTACGCCGTTGATGGCACGTCCTTCTCGCTTCTGCATTCCATGTAACCTATTCTGATCTCTGCCTTATAGACAAATCCAAAGCGGTGGATGCACTCCTCAAAGCAGCTGCAGCTCCTTATCCGTCAACTGACCTTGCCAGCCCGCATGTTATTGATCTTCCACATACTTCACGCATGTACAAGACTCTCCTCCAGGGCGGACATTTCAACCGAGCAAGCAATACTGTTGAAAAGGTGGCCGAGTGGGATTCAGCTGTTTTTGCGGATCAGCTCGTAGAGACACTAGGGCAGGATGTGATTGTCGGAATGTGTACGAAGGGTGAGCGGAATGGTGCCTTCGTGGTTGCCGAGGCATTGAGTGGAGATAAGGCAAAAGATTTGGTGAAGAGTTGGTTTATGACCAATGTGATCAAGGAAATTGAGGAGAGTGATATGAAGGGTAAGAATGTGCTGTTGGAGAAGATACGACAGCTTTAGACTGGTGCAGTTGTCTCGATGGTCGGGAATCTTGGATGATACTTATTTATGAAGAATCGTATATTCCCCGAAGCGGCCAAGCACATTCTATGACTGTAAAATTCTTTACGGTCCATCCAACCTCAGCTCTGTTCTACCCATGGTCTCATTTTTTGTTCACGACCTTTCATGGTCACGGTCATGGATGCGTAGAAACCAGCCCATCGTGGTTTGATTGTGGTCTGGGAAAAAAGTAATGCAGCTATGCTCCTGGCTCCTATGAGAAGTTAAAACTCAGGTACAAGCGATAAAAAATGAAATGATACAGACCCTGCTAGAAAAAAGTGGAGATTCCCAGCTCTGGAGCCTGAGGTTCGGCGTGTTATCGTGAGTCGTGACTTAGTACGGAATCGAAGCTCGCGACTGTCGCGGTCGCGTGAAAGGCACGTAATTTGCGACGACCTACGTAGTAACAGACTTTCTTTTCTTCAGAGGTATGCCTACCAGAACAGAACTAAATATCTGTGGCAAGCCGAGCTCGCGCCATTTACTTCACTCCACTACGTGATGCAACGATGTCAGCAATGACCGACGAAATTCACCAAAAATGCAGTTCAATGGAGGCGAATGATTTTCTAGAGAAGTTCCTGCCCAACACTGTCCCAAATATCCCTGATATCAATGTTGCCGATTTTCAGAAGGTTACGGAGAAGACAACAGAAACAAATATGTAAGGGCCATTGGTATGTCGCAACCAACTTCGCGTTATTCTCGTGTACTCATTGTACATATCCTATTAGATAGACACGCTCGCGCCTTTCTGTCCAAACCTGCAGCTTCTAGATACCCATGCCACTCCCGACCCCCAGTCTAGCGTCTTCAATTCTGACTTGTTGAAACCCGACATTTCAGTATACAAAGCAAAAGACATAATAGATCCTATTACACAGTTTTTCCACATGGAATCCCATGTCGAAGTCAAGCTGGCTGCCGTAGATGATGCGTTAAGCGACGAGGGAGATTTCGAGAGCGACGAGATACTGAGTCACGACACCCGAGGCCGGCTCGTGTCATATGCCAATGCACAGATGGCTTCACAATATCGCACTCACCTATTCACTGTCTTTATATGTGCAGACAAGGCGAGGCTGCCCCGCTGGGACCTTGCTGGGGTCATGGTCACGCATGCATTCTAATACTCCTCCAGTGATGCTCCATATTTGCAGGAATTTTTTTGGCGACTTGATTATGCCAATGACTCAACTCGTCGTTGGGACGCCTCTGTTACTGAGCCTACACCAGAAGAAGCGTCCCAGGCACGGCATAGGTTGGGTAAAGAAGAACCGGAGTTACTATTCAAATTTGCTGTATACGACGACCTAAACTCGGACGCCGAGCCTAAAATTTTCATCGCCGGTGAACCATTCGAAAGTCATGCATATCCTACAGGTCATGCGACCCGCTGCTTCATCACCTATCACATCTCAGAAGACCGCGTTGTCTTCATGAAGGACACCTGGAGGATTGTGGCCTCGGATTTGGTGGCAGAGGGTCGAATATACCAGCGCTCGCAAGAGGCCAAGATTCTTCATATTGCAGAATTCGTCATAGCCGGTGACATACCTGGACAGAATCAAAAGACATTTTTCCAGCCACATAAGGGTCTCCCTCAAAAACAGCATCAACACTATAGACTTGTGTTGGAAACCATCGGTCGACCATTGGCGTCCTTCCGTTCGTCATGGGAGATGGTGAACGCGATAAACGACACGATGACAGGTACGTAAGTCAAGCTGAGAAGAAGCTCGTTCCTGACCGAGATTATCCAGCTCACCAACAGACCGTCGAAAAGCTTCAGATCATGCATCAGGACATCAGTGTCGGCAATGTTTTGATTACGGAGGATACGAACGGAAAGCTGGGCAGCATACTCGTCGATTGGGATCTTTGCCAGTCTCTAGAGAAGCTCAATGACGAAAACACATCCATCAAGCGAACGGTTCGTCAACGGCTTGATGTGAATTGAACCTGGACGCTCATTTTGTTATGTAGGGGACATGGGAGTTTATTTCTGCTAAAGTACTGCTGGATCCAACTGCTCCGCGCACCGTAACCGACGACTTGGAGTCCTTCTTGCATGTGCTCACATGGGTCACTATTCTGCTCACGCCCACCGAGATGTCGCCTCAGACATTGGCTGCAACATTGCGGATCTGTTACAGCGGCATTTGGGGTACGCCTGATGATCCGATAGGAGGCATGTCCAAGGGAACATCCCTAGCAGCTGGTAGAATGAGTTCCAGGATGTTTCGCTTACTGAACCCCAAGCTGCACCAACTCGTGGACACGTTGTATGCCACTTTTGGTGCATGGTACGGTTCTGACCTCTATGTCATCACGTTGGAAGAGGATCCATTGGCCATTCAGGAGCTGTTAGACCGGCTGCGGGATCACAAGTGGATGCTCGACACTATCACAAATGTGCTCAGTGATGCAGATGCGTGGCCTGCGGATGATAGGTCTCATGCGAACTCTTTGCCTAAAGGGCGCGAGATACCTAACAGAAAACGGAAGTCGGATTCAGAGCCGGAAAGCAGCAGGCCCTCACAGAAGGTTCGGTCAATCGTCGAGGAGGGAGCAATTGTGTAGTCTGGAATCGTGGTGGTACAAATGCAACGAAACTTAAAGATAGGACTACGTGCCACGATTGTGCCTACAGAGGAATACCATCAGATAAACTCGATATACAAGGAGAGCAAAGCATCCAATGGGTCGCAAAAATCTGACTTTATAACCGCCCCTTAATGCGTCGCCACCTTCCGATGTATGGACATGAACCATTCTAATCCTAGTCTTTATATACTACTGCCAATGAAACAGTATTGAATTGCATCGCTTCTAAAGGTCGATGCCTTCTAGATGTACCACTTGCATAAACAATGAAATGTCCAGGCAGTAGACCAGGAGAGATCAGCCATGAAATGAAGAGATTGACTTCTATTAGACTAATGGCCAGGCGAATCTCGAGACCATGCTAGGCGGGTGTTCAAACTCCTCAGTCGCAACAATTTGGTGTCATTAACTTGACGGTTAAGTACCAGCGCTACGATCATAGAGAAGTGTAGAAGCTATGGATAAGTGTGTATGCGAGTGCAGGGATAAACAATGAAAACTTGATAGCAAGGCATGATAATTACTCAGTAAATACATAATACCCTGTGTACTTCACGGTAGCAGAAAGCAATGACAAATCCAAAAGGAAAGCAAAAGCAGGATATTGACAGCACAACAAATCAATCAAAGAACAATATTAAATAGGAACATGAGAGTATTTTTACTTCGTTCAAAAGACCATATATAATCATAAAACATGTCCGAGTTGGTGTACATCAAACACCTTTAGGTTTGTCATTTTCTGGATCTAAATTGATCAGATCTAATTCTTCGGCAAGCGAGTCGAGCTCGACGGTGGTGAAGACTTCGTCTAAAGAAGAACTAGTGGATGCAAATTCTGTGGTGGGATCATGCATCTCCAGAACAGAGTTTGAGGGGAAAGGACAATCTTGGATTTCGACGGTGGGTGAATTGAGGAAAGGGTCATTCGATAAGAGCAAGGACCTCGGATACGGAGAATTCTGAACCATCTCTGACATGGAGGGATCATAAAAGAACTGTAATCCAGAGGTAGATGCGACCGTGACCAGTGAATCCACTTGGCGCATCTTTTCAAGCAGTCGCGCTCTTCCGATATCGGTGTACACAGTAGAATGGTCTGGATCGGCGAGAACAAGCATTGTCTGCCCATTCCAGGGTGAACTGGGAGGTCCGTTGTCACCGGGGTAAAATATCGCTTTATAGGTCCGGGAGGAGACGTTGCTTGGCATAAACTGGAACCGGGAATAGCCCTTATCCACTGGTTTATCCTCGACTAGCTCGTCGACCTCCTTTTCGTCAGATGTTGGGGGACTGTATGACGTGCCAGCCACCTGAAATTGTAAAGGCTCGGAAACAGACGGCGTAACAATCGGCTGTGGGGAGGAAGGACGGCTAGACTCCTCATCTGTGCTACCTTCCGACTGTGTCCTGTCATGAGGGCCATCGCATGCTGTGATGTTGCTGGTCAACACAGTGGAGGTAGCAGACGTCGGGAACCTGTCATTTGTATGATTCAGGTCTAAGAGCGCTGCATGCACTGGCAAGTCATCGATTGGGCTGGGAAGACTTGTCGATGTGGCCGTACAGTCCCTGTTAGATGAAGGTCTATATACCCTATCACTGTTTCGCAAAGACTGATTAGGGCACTCGTATGCTCTACGAAGGACCTCAGGACGAGTATGACCATTATTGGGAACGAGCCCGCGCATTCCTGCCACCTCGCCAGTCACCCTCAACAATATGTCGGCTGTGCTAGATATGCTGATCCTGTCGTTGGGATAGTCATCGTCGAATAGTACCCTGTGTAGTGGAGAGTCACCGATGGGAGTCGGTAGACCTCCGGACGTCACCCTGTCATCGCGATGACACCTCTCTCTTGAACTTGAAGCATCCCGAGCTGGATAATGGGAAGTGCCTGTTCGCCAGGATCGATCATCAGAAAATCCACGGAAGTTGGGGGCAAGCGGGGATGGGTGGAGTGAGCTGCTTTCAGGAGGAGTCGGCAACTGATATCGACTGAAGCGTTTATGACGACCACGATAGTCTTCACTGTCAGGTGTTGGAGCTTCGTACATATATGGTCGGTGGGAGGAAGGTAAACGGAAATTTTCGCGATCGAAGGTCAGTGGAGGTAACACGCGGTGACGATTGATGCTAGCGAAAGAATCACGACGACCGTCGAAACGATGGTTCTCTTCGTTTGAGTTTCGTACTGGAGAAGGGAGGCTATTGTGATGGATGGTTGTTACGGTATAATTCTCTGGATCATCAGCCAGGGACGAGTCAGTACGAGGAGATATCGAGTTGTCATGGAAGTTCACGGGCAGCCTGGATCTGTCCTGTGTGTTGCGTAGGGGTGGAGCCGGGCGAGAGTAGGGCTGATATCTCTGCCTGTTATCCAAGTATGGGATTCGCGACAGAGGGACAGAGTGGGGACGTGAGTCAGATATATCTTCAAGCCGGGAACTGCTAGCAAACTCGTTAGACGAAGGCCACCAACTCGGTGATTTATCGTGCTGATCATCTCTTGCGGAAAGTGGATGACGCCAGTGAGATTCATCGTCGCCGACGACTGGGAGTAAGATATGATCCGAGGCTCCAGATGAACCACTTGAGGCGGACGATGAGGATCGATTCGGAGCTTGGCGTCTGCCTCCGAAGTTCATCCTGACTCTAGCACGAACCATTCGGTCTCGAGGCAATGGGGCCTGAGGTTTGAGAAAATGACGACGTGTCCGACGTCCTGTGTCTGTGACAGAATAGTCGCGCTGGTAGGGGGTTAAGTTGATTTGGACCGCGCTAGCGTGACCGTGATCCTTAGCTGACGCGAAAACGAGAAGAGAGTGTATTTACCGGTCTTCGACGCGCCCTGTAAGTTCCTCTGGAGGAGCCTGGTATTTACCTACAGGACAGGAGCATCGGTGTCTGCTCATGTCAATTGGTGCACTGTGGCGCAGCAACAACCGTACTCACTGGGGAGTCGGCGCGTCTGTGTAGCTAGTAAATACGTCGGGATCCTGCTCATCATCCCTATCATAAGGTGGCTTGACCTGACATGCTAAGCATACACCACGGTTAAGGGGCGTCTGTGGGCGCTGAAAAAGTCAACCAAAGATTTCGTTAAGCACAGCCACTAATTAGTAGGAGTCTTCGAGAATAGTTAGAGCACACTGACCGTCATGGTGTTAACACAGGGTTCTGTGTTAGCAGGAGACGTGGTATAAGAGAAACCTTCGTGGTGAAGGGATGAAGGCAGAAGGTACAAGTTCGAACAAGGAGGTTTTGCCGAGTTCCCAATTTGGCCAGGACCCGCGCGGTTGGATTGAAATTTTGCCAATCTTCTTGTTTTACCACGGGTATCAGTCCATATCGCAACTCTTTCCTCCTCCTTTCCATGGGAGGTCCAAAGCACCCCGAGACAAAGCCGTGGAAAACATTCTTTTGTCTTTTAGATTCATGGTTCGTCCGATGGTAGATCTTGTCGACAAATCTTTGAGCTGAAGGATTCCAGAACACAGAGCGGAGTTCATATATCAATGTCCCGACAAGCAACGGATGTGATAACAGATAGCGCGTGACGCCTTGCTTTATTGCCGCTGGTGATTGAACTTACTAGTCATGTATTATTAACGATAAGTCACGAGATATCGTTCTTGAATGCTTCACACTGGCACATACGATGTCCCAGGAGAGACTAGTCGAAGCAGTATATTATCGGTAGAATATCTGCCTATCTGCCCGGGTAACAATCTCGCTATCTCACGATAAATTGATAGGACCTCATAGACGTCTGTTCCAAAAGATATCGATCAGCCTTAGAGAAAACTTGGAATTAAATATCAACTTTACATGACATGTTAAACCGATTGGAGGCTCCGCCAACTCGCTAGCTTCAGATGACATATTCCTGGTCCATCAGATCTAGCTTCGAATTCCTATTTCATCATTGAATATCAAAATGTCGACCAAGAACAACCTACTCTGAGAAGTCTGTAAAGTTTAGTTTTTATGTAGATATTAATGCGTTGTAATAGTGATAATGAAAATTTCACGTTTTATCAGTTCGATATGGCTCGCAAGGAGTTCGCACGAAAAGCAGCTAGAGCAGTTCTTGATGTGACTCGCAGATATGGAAAAGGCAAATGCGTAGCTGTTAGTAAGCATAAATAGCACCGTACGCACGTCAATGATCCTGTAAAAAGTGAATCTGCATCCAGAGACGTTGCGTCATTCAAGGCGGGAGGGAAGGGGATGTTCTATTTGTCTCCCGAGGTATAGGCATGGGCAACAAATATCGTGCACCGCCACTGTTGTCATTTTTCCATCTCCATGTATATCTGCTACCTTTGAAAAGTAACGCTTGATAGGCCTCGGTTACTGGCTCAGGTACATTACTTTTTATTCTGATGCAACACAACATTGACGTTGTCCAGACCTTCCGTACAACGATATGGACTCACTCATTGCCAAGGCGGATGCCGTCGGACCCGCGGGTAAAAAGCGAAAACTACGACACGCGTCCTCCAGTAGTAGGCCAAGCACAGACAAAACATTCCAATCCATCTCCAAACGTACCTCAATACCGAAATCCTTACAATCCTCCGGCGCCATATCTGAAGGCGCTCATTCCTACAAGCACATAGCCAACAAAAAGCTTCGTACGGAGCTATCACGTCAGTCTGCGCGCGCTATAGAAGCAAAGGCCTTAATAGAAGATGCGGAACTACTGTTGACGGGAGAGGTGGGGCGCATGGAGGTCGAGGGAGAAATGGATAGAACATGGAGGGTCGGGCAGGATGAGATTGTCCAAGGAGCCGGACAAGAAGGTGCGCGAGGAAGGAAAGAGTGGAAATTGGAAGGTGGACCATATAGGTCGCGATATACACGAAACGGGCGGTATGTCTGTCGAATACTGTATTCTGGTGCATACGTTTCATGTTTTTCAGGCATCTAGCTGTTGTTGGAAACACTGGTCATGTCGCTTCGTTTGATTGGCAAGCCGGTATCCTTCATACCGAGTTGCAGCTACAAGAAACATGTCGTGACATAACGTGCTCTTTTTTTTTCTTTGCCGTTTGCTCACCTCTAACGTATTCTTAGGTATCTCCACGATCATTCACACTTTGCCGTCGCACAGAAGAAGTACGTCTTCATCTACGATCGGGATGGTGTCGAGCTTCACTGTCTGAAGGCACACATCGAACCTACTCGGATGGAATTTCTTCCGTATCATTGGCTGCTGGCTACTATAGTAAGCTAGCTTCTTTTTCATTTTTGACGCCTATTGAAGCCTTGCAGGGTAATGCTGGCTATCTAAAATATCAAGATACGTCTACGGGACAGCTCCTATGCGAACACCGGACAAAGCTTGGTTCCTGTACGGCCATGACACAAAATTTACACAACGCCGTCATCCATCTAGGTCACCAGAACGGCACGGTGACCCTTTGGACGCCAAATTTGCCTCACCCTGCGGTTCAGCTCCTAGCACATCTTGGTCCTGTGGCTAGCGTGAGCATGGATCCGAGCCAGGGCGGACGGTACATGGCTACAGCTGGTAAGGATCAGACGGTCAAAGTATGGGACTGTAGGAACTGGAAAGGCGCGGTGAGAGAGTGGACTGCGAGAGGTGGGTGTGCAGAAGTGGAATGGAGTGCTAGGGGCGCTCTAGCTGTAGCGTCCGGAGGTACCGTCAACGTAAGAAACGGTTTGCAATTCTGCAATGAGCACTTCTAATCATCTCATCCCACAGGTATACACTTCCCCAACGATACATAACCCAGTGCATATGAATACCCAACCACCTCTCTACATAACCCATCCCGTGCCTCATCGACCTTTGACGTCACTTCAATTCGCACCATTCCAAGATATTCTCACTATAGGCCATTCTGCCGGCCTCTCTAGTATCTTGGTACCCGGATCTGGTGAACCCAACTTTGATAGCAAAGAGGCCGATCCGTTCGAGAACAAGAAGGCTAGAAGAGAGAAGGAAGTGAAGGCCCTTCTTGACAAGGTAAGGACATCCTATCTCGTGTGTTTTTGTGCTCAGGGAAGCTTTTTAGATCCAACCCGACATGATCACTCTCGATCCAGAGTTCGTTGGTACCCTCGCGCCACCGTCGAAGCTAACGACGGAGACGATGTTTGATGGGAAGCCTTCTGTCGAGATTCCATTTGCTCGTCTGCCTAGGTTGGAGAGGTTACGGGTACAAGGCAAGGCCGATGAAACCGAGGTTCTCAGTGAAGATGAGGTTAGCGGTACGGAGGTAGATCCGGAAGCCAAGGCTCGCCGTAAAGAGGAGAGTGAGAAGAGGAAGATGAGAGGGAAAAATAAGAGTTTGAAGAGGTATATTCTCGGTTTTCTTTCTTTATGACTCCTGGGATTTAAGAAGCGATCTTGTAGATATCTTCGGAAACAGCGCAAGAACGTCATTGATCCCACAGCCGTAGGTTCCTGTGTCTTGTTACTTGTATCCGCTTGTTCATGTGTTATAGGTCGCGATTCGAGCGAAAATGGAGAGACAAAAGGAGGAGCAACGGCGTGCTAAAATTGCTGCTGCTAACGGTGGTCAAAACCAAAAGCCATCTGCTTTGGATCGATTCAAGCGGAACACATGATGTATATTAGATGTTCTATACGCTTCAATCTGAGTCTGTACGTATCGTGTTCGTTACCAGGATCCTTTCGGCAACATAGTAAAAGCTCATTTATGAATTCAGGAAGTTGGGTGCATGAGCCCACGGCCGTAAGGTTTTAGAAATCGGTTCGATGATATCTCATGCGAAATAAAATTCAACGTGTCGTTTAAGTAGACATTTTGGATTTACGGACATAATATGAACATTCTTAGGCAGTTAGGACAGTATAAATTAGCCACCCTTTTCATTATTCGCTAATACAGCTCAGGTAAATAAGCGTAAACTAAGCTACATTCTTATGCTGACTCATCGTCATCGTGCGGCCCGGGTACTACGATGCCGCCAGTGACTGGGCATTCAAATTGATGACCTTGACTATTTTTTTCCCCCTCAGGCTTCGACCACCAGCATCTGCAGCATGGCAGACAGCCTATCACCTGAATGCACTCCACTGAAGCACAAGTATGATTCATGCTTCAATGAATGGTTCGAGGGTTATCTCGAACCCGCTATAGCCGCCTCTGCAACCCAACCAGAGCGAGAGGCCTACTCACGACAAAAAGCCGCAGAATTTGAAACAAAATGCGGAAAAATATGGAAGGAGTATAAAACCTGCGTTCACGTAGGTGATTCGACACCAAAACGAGGCTAATGCTGAAAAATCGCAGGACTCGTTGAAGCAAAAGGGACTCGATCCTCTTATTCAACAGGCGAGGGAAGAGAATCCTCTCAAGGAACCCCCTGCAGGGCAATCAACACCGTCTGATAGGGTATAGGAAGCCCGGTTTTCGCCTTTCAATTTTGTAGCCTTAGATATGGCTAACATCCTTATTGCCACCCGTCGTGCCTAATACTTTTCTGCTCGACAGTCCATGTAGCTGTATCATCGTAATCACACAACCCCCTCACAGATTTTACCGGCTTCAGATATAACATCGGAGACATTGGATATTCGTTAATGAATTTGGCCTTCTGCAGACCCTGTGATGCAAAGGAGGACACAATCGTTTTACCTTTGGACGATTTCATTGGTCATGAGGCTTTTTATCCTCCGGGCGACTGGCTTCCGGCATCCTTCTAGGCCCTAAAGCGACAACGTTCTGCGTTAGGCAATCAACTTCTCCCTCGTCGAATCTGCTCTATATTTTGATGAGACATTGCTCGTGTTTCACGACAAGGAGTTCGTCCTCGGAGCGGGATTATCGATGCATATTCTGACCCCAGGGAATCTCCCAGAGCTCATTACATCAGTTGCCTCGTTTTTGTCTCTTCTTTGCCTTATTGGTACACGAAAGCGAATTCTCTCTCAGCTTGCTTCGCCTTGCCTTGCCGTTTTCTGCAAGTTTCCCGTGACATGGACCGGTATATTATCACCCCTGAAACAGCGTTTCCAGTCCTAAGCCGGCTCGTTCTAATAATTCCCTTTATACTGCGGAACTTCTGATTTGCACTACTTAGCGTCTTCGTAAGCCCTGCCCCATGTCTTCATCCAAAAAACCTCTTTACATCGCCCGCAGTCGAAGGAAAACTCCGTGCGTTCACAGGCGCAAAAAAATCGGCATTTCTCAGGGCTCAGGCTCATTGGCCCCCTGATGTTACTTTGTTCGCCCTTTGGTGGGTCTCATAAAGAAACCAGTCGGGTTCTTTGCACCTTGTTTAAAGTATCTTCCCCTGCGCTGCCCCTTCCACTCCACCATTGCCTGTATGTCTGGTGTCAAGCTCAAAGTCGCCATATCGTATGCGTGGGCTTATCCGAGACATGGCTTTCGGCTAATATGTTATTTCAGCGGTGGTGGTATTGGCATTCTCCATCGCGGCGTCTAAACACTCAAATATCGCGGTAGAGGTGTATGAAGCTACTTCTGGTTTCTCATCGTTTGGTGCTGGGATCGGATTTTGGTCCAGGGCATGGAATGTCTTGACTACACTTGGCGGCGACCACTTGACGAAAATCGCGACATCGTCATCGACTACTGATATTAGTTAATGATGACTGCCTATCAACCTGGCGCGTCATTAAAGATTAGCTTGCTCTAGCGCACTCACTCGCGTTTCGGAAGAGCGATCAACCAACTGGATCTGACTTTTGCAAGATGTATAGTAAAGGTGCGATTAACCATACATCGACAGCCGTTTCATCGTGTTGATATCAGAACAGGTCAAATCATGACATTTCATCGAGGCCGACTTCAGCAAGCTATTATGTACCTTCCTCATGTCCTGTCCATTTTTCCAAACGTCTTCAATCGTATTCCCGGCTATCATCTGGCGAAATACAGCTTACATTCCGTGATGGGGCACACGCGATTTGGTAAGTTCGCGCACAGTTCATGCAAGATGAAGCCCAGATCACGTTGCGCAGTGGACGACCAGATGCTGCCGAGGAGATTTTGACTTTTATCGAACCCATTTGGACAGGATCAATCGCGTACAGGGACCTAGCACTGTTAGCTCGACTCCAGGAGGATGCTGATACTCGGGAGCTACGTATTCCTCCTCACCCAACTCTGGCAGGGTCTCTGGCTCGTACACATGGTCGTCAGGTTATTGACGTGCGTGCTTTTCTGATTAATATATCGGCAAGGCTATCGTGCGTATTCGGCCTCGTTCCGACGCTAATCTGAATCCATGGCAAACAGAGTATTATAGTGTATCCGGTGTCGCAGGAAGATGTGGGTGAAATGATTAATTTAGTTGTGTTCCATACGTGGACAGAACCTGAGGGCACCGTGTACGAGGGTCTGTGTACATTACAAGTCGACGAGGCTAGCCGGCTCGATGAAACATCTTTTGATGACTGGCAACCCGAAGCAAGGGGCTGGTCAAAAGTAAATCGATTATTGCTCATTCTATCAGATCCTCACCATCTTCTCTTTCGAAGTGTGTTGAAAGACCAACGAAATAGGCTAGTTATGCCGTCAAACCCCCACATACGTACGCCAACAACCGCATCGTTCTCTTGGGTGATGCTGTATATTATTTCCGCCAGCGCTCGGTATCTACTTCTCCTTGCAGTGTCACGCGACGGATCCACACCAAGGAGCAGGCGCCGGGTTAGCCATTGAGGCTAGTCTAGTTTTCGTTCCTTTGAGTTCGGTACTTATTCACGTTGCACACAGGACACATAGGTCCTTGCTGAATTTCTCAGTCATCCTTTCACCACGAAAGCGACAGGCCATCGTGGCCCTTGAAGTGCACGATAACATGAGGTGACCATTCGCTGAAGAGATTGCTCGTCGGTCTCTGGAAAACTCCAGATGGCTTTCTCTGCATTACGACAATTTCGATTGCAGTGGCAGCGATGATGCTGATGTCGAGAGAAAGTTACCTGAAATGGGGATAGGATCGTGGAGAAGTGGCGCTGGGTTTGGTCAAGCACCGTTCATGAGTCTTTGGAGCAGGGGAAGCGCGAGCTGGATAGATTACTTGACAGTAGGCCAGATTGCCCGAGATACCGATGTAGGATTTGATTATCTTCTTTTACCCAGTTACCTACCTCTTCGTTATGTATAAATCCTGTGTAATGGGTCATCCAATACACGTCTATGGCCATTTAATTGGTTCAAGACTGACATTGCTTACAAGGGATAGATTACAAGGCTCTGGAATCGACTGGCTCGATCAAAGACATCTTGACCTTACCCCGCTGAGTATTCCTATCCTTTTCCACCTCGATATTTACCACAACTTTATCAAACACCGATATCATGACATCTCCCAAACCCTTCGTCGAGGAAGGCACCGTTATCGTATAATTGTCAGGGTCAAATTGAGTGTCTCGCTTGAACATAACTAGGCCCTCGATACCAAGCCTGAAGCAAGATTAATATCGTTATTTCAATGAAGAGAAAAGGAGCCATACTTGGATACGAAGACGCCAACACCGTTCCTGAATGTCCTTATGACAAATGCTTCTTCTTTGACCCCCTGCTTTTCACCCCTTCCTTTCAAAGCTAGCCCTACATAAAACTCCACGCTGGCGCGTCCTGCCATTTGAGCCATCCTATGACGCCGGTTGGCAACATCTAGGACACGCTCGACATGGTGCTTGGAATGTAGCGATGCATGCAATGGCGAATATCCGATAGCTGCGGCTAATTGCCGGTGGGCCAGTACATCTGACAAAAAGTTAAATGCGGTAAACAAAAAATGGCCGAAAAGTACGCACCAGCATATCTTCTGATAGGACTGGTGAAGTGAGTGTAAATTTCACTAGCAAGGCCATAATGCCCGAAGGTATCACGCCCGACACTTCCGGAACAGAAATATTCTGCAGAAAGCATACATCGCGTAGCCATGATCCGCACCAGCGTATTAAATGTCGGCTGGCTTGCATCCTAGGGGGAGTTTGAATGTCCGTTCAATAATACATAACTGAAGATGACATACGATACATCGATCCAAGGAAGCAGCCAACGAACCGGAGCTCGATATATCCAGGACCATTCCCTTGCGCTTCTTCAAGATGTCTTGGAGTTTCTCAAAATTAGTTTTTGGTGGAGGCAAGTGCCGTCTACCAATGTAATGTCACTTTCGACGTCGAATTCGCTGAGGAAGAGGGCGCACCTCAGAACCGCAGTTGCAGGGAAACTCTCCTGAATCTTCCTTGCGACGCTAACATTGGCGAGCAACATAAACTCTTCGACAAGGCTGTTAGTCTCTCGCATCTCCTTCTGCTCCACGTCAATCGGATCCGATGACTCAGAGCTGTCGAGGTGTATTTTAACTTCTGGCGAAGCGAGATTAAGTGCACCCGCGGCCATTCGCTTGGCTTTCAGTTTCAGTGCCAACGAGTTGAGTAGACGTATACTTGCTGTCAGAGGATCACGCAGATTACTAGAAGTAACAAGTCGTTACCAAGCGAAATACTCTTTTTGACAGATATAACGTACGGATCATCCTTGCGAATCTGAGCCTCTTCGTAGGTAAAGGCAGCTTTGGACGCAATAACAGATTTGGTAAACCGAACGTTGACGATGTCGGCGTCTGGTGTCAGTTCCTGATTTGCCTAGATGTCAGATTTTATGACGGGACGGAATATCTGGAGGGACGCACCCAGATAGCAGAAAATGCTAGTCGTTCGACATGTGGACGCAAAGAACACAGATTAGTGCCAAGCAGTGCTGGCAACATGTCGATCCGCTTATCGACTAGATAAACGGTTGTCCCTCTCGACGCAGCTTCGCTATCCATTGGAGTATCTGGGTGCACAAAGTACGATACATCCGCAATATCTTTCCTCAAAGTTAGTACGTGCGCACCAACGCAGGTGTAAAATGACTTACGGACACCGGCCTCAATGTTACCGTTAGGTAGCGCTCTGGCATGAAGGGCGTCATCGATATCTTGACACCCTTTATATCGACTAATGAGCTTGACGCCACATAAGAGGTGTAGATGAAACGTACCAGGCGGATCTATACTACAAATCAACAGATTTCTCAAATCCTCTCTATCTCTCCATGCTAAATTTCCATCCGCCTTGGGCGGAACCACCCAATTATCACCCTCAGGCGGCAGACAGTCCAAGATAGCCTTCCCAAATGGCCGATAAGGGACTTCAAACTCCAGTAACAAACTCTCTTGTTCTGCTTCCTTGCTCTCTACCTTGCCCAGGGCCCGGACAAAGTGGCCTTCAGGGTAGCGCGAGGTGTTGCCCCAGCGGTCGATAGTAACCAATATTTTCTGACCTATCAGGGTTGGAGCTTGACGTGTCCGTAGTCGGATACGAGGCAACAGACGGGACACTGGAGTTGCAAAAACGGTCTGTAACGAAAGAGACGTCGAGTTGGACGAAGTGAGAGAAGTGCTATCAATGTGGCACACGTATCTGCGGTTGTCGTTAGGTGGCGCGCGGAGAACACTTTAGAAAGACGTACGCTCGCCAGTTCCGTTTGATCACGCCCACTATCCTTCCCGTCGGTTGTTTGTTAGACGATGGACTCGTCGACACCGCTTTAGATTCTGCATCGACGACGGCTTCCTCTTCTTCACCAGAGTCATCCGCATCGTCATTTTTAAGCGTCGCATCTTGGTCAACTACTTCATCCGCAGGTGCCATCCATTCTGTTTCGTCGAAGACCTCTACCGCAACGACGTCACCTTGAACGGCTCTATTCATGTGCTCCCGGCCTACAAGCAAAATGGGTTTTGAGAACGTCTGCACCGAGACACTGCCCTACAGATAGTATTAGACTGCTGGTTTGTATGTCAACAAATGTAGTACTTCAAGATAATTGTACTGATCAGCATTGAAGTGTCCTTGATGCAGATCACCCGCTTTGACGCCGGCCAGTAGTGTAGATGTAGGAAGATACTGTAGGGCAAAATTGGCTATTGATGAAACCGGAAAAAGGACAACGAACATCAGGATATAGAGCCTGTCGCCCTTCCACTGCCTTAGTAGGCTCAATCTCGTCTGAGCCTGCCGCAGCTAACAAGTCAAGGAGCTGTGTAGCGTTTATCATGCCTTCGACGTAACGTCGAAGTGATATTGTTGTTATGCCCTCTGCCTCAGCCTTTCGCCGATTAGCTGCATCTTCGGTTAAAAGGATGACTGCAGGGCGATTCTGACGATGTGTTGAGGATATATGTGTGCTGTACCAGGCCGTTGCCTTCCTGATACCTTAGATATGTAAGAAAGTGCTATCTAATCAACACCGGCGCTCGCTCACCTCGATCATTCCGGTCATTGGGCGTCTCTCCCTCTCCACGCACTATAGCGGTTTCCCTTCTCTGCGTCAGTTCTTACGAGAATAGAAAGGTAGATAAGGGTAACGCACATCCTGTATTCGTTGTAAAATACCCATATCCGCTTGCCCTCCGTTTTTATCAAGGCCTTCAGTCGGTTATACAGAGGGAGTGATCTGTGTCGGACTTCTTCAATCACGGTCTGCAGTAGAACCATTGGCGTGGTGAACATTTCAGATTCGACAAGGTCCATCTGGAAACCTGGTCAAGATTTCAAGTAACGCGTAATACAGAATAGGTACCTGTGACAGGAATACATTCGTGTCCGGAAGAATGAAATGGCCAGAAGGAAATAGTTTATGCTGCAGATGGGCATCCAGCGACAACACTGCCTCCCCAGAGCATTCAGTGCATGACAGAACGCCGCAGCTGACGTCGTCCCGAAGGTATCGTTCCCGGAGGACTGGGAATGATTGAGTAAGACGAAGTACGATGTAGGAACTTGTGCGTACCTTTGATTATCTTCCCTCTAGCGGTCTTTTTGAAAAATTTCCTTTGAGTGATAACGGCTTCTGCTCGCGGCCTCTTTCTGATCGTTATATCGACCATGGTCATTCAGCATTCAGAAGTTCAAATTTTGACTGCACTATTTCTGGTGTATATCGATAAATTCAGCAGATGGATATACTGCAGAACGCCCAGGACGTCGTGGACAGAGACGAGGGACGAAGATGGTGACGGTAAGAAGAAAGAGAACAATGTGGGAAAATATTTCTTCCTTTGGAAGTGACGTCCTAAGCCCACCTTCAAGCCTTCGTCGTCGATCTTGCCCTTTCAGTTCGAGCTACTGACGTCTACATTATCTTTCTTGTATTCTGACTTGCTCGCGATAAGTACCAACGAAATCTTTGGTTAGCGTCCCTTGCGGCTCAAAGAATATCTTTGTTGAAGCGTGCTCTGGTCTTTGCTAACACTAGAGCTTTGACTTTGTTAATTTCACCACCTTACGCGTGAACTTGGACAAAAGCCGTGGAAACAACTCATTGTTATTGTCACCATAACTTCAATGGGAATGCCTCTTTGTCCATGATATTACGGAACAAAGACAAGAGGGTCCCCTCTTGCATTCATAAAAGGGAGATGCAAGGCGAGAAACCTTCTGTGCTTTGCCCTCTCCTCTTCGTCTTTCAGTCATGCCTCTGTCTCTCCAGCTCTCTAGGCACTCATCTCAGGCTACAGAAGTGGTTCGCGACGATGTCTCCGACGTGGGCACTGAAGTCCCTCAAGCCTATCCTGTGGCAAGCTACCTCAGTAAAGCGCGTCTACCAGAATTCTGCCGTCATGTGAGGTTCCCAGTGGAGCAGCTCAGACGCATTGCGACTTGGCCCAAGATGCCTACACTCGCGAGGGCTTTGGGAACGCGTCCTTTGAAGAAAGTGTACGTTGTGGACGCTGCTGTTATTTTTCAAGGGACTGCTAAATGTACGTCCACTTTCTTGTATATCTCTCAGAAAGACTAAATTGACTTCCCTCCACAGACATGAGCGACATGCCTTACCTCCATATCGTTAATGAAGAGGGTGTTCTTCAGGAGACTTCTTCGAAGATCAAGCTTGCAAACGGTATCATCGTGCAGTACGACCACAGCGACCTTGATTTTCTTCACAATATCAACTCGGAGGACGACATGGATCGACTATTGACAAACTATGTCCTTGCGACTACCTCAGAGGTCGTTCGTCTCTTCAGTCATCTCCCGCCCATGTGTCCCCAGGCGGAGAGCCTCAAGTTCCAGAATATCTCGGCCAGGCACACCGTGCATCACTGCAAGTGGGATGTATACAGTATGGTGAGCACTTTTTGGTCGCTGATTTCCAGTGGCTCGCTAATTGCGACTTGCGGCCCAATAGAACGATCAGTTCTTCATCGTCTTTGTCCCACCTTGGTTCATGGGAAAAGAAGACCTTGAAGCACTTGCTTGTCGCGGCCAGGTGCGGTGTTTATATTTCTCCACCACCAACTTACGACTGATACCCTAAGTAGGTGGCAGGCGGTGCCCTCGACGCGTTAGATCCTCGTGCACAGCTATTGGATACCATCAGTGATAAGTTGTGGGCTTTGGTATGCGCTTTCTTCGAGTAAACTACGACGGTGCTGAGCTCTATGTAGATATGTGACGTTTGTGTTGGACGTTGCGCGGAATTCGTCGTAACTAACTACTTGTATTGGAGCTTCGGTCGATTCGACTCGAAAGGTCAGCCCCTCGCTTCTACATCCTTAAATACAAATTTTTAACTCAGTATTGTACAGGCTACTCAGAGGCCATGCTTTCACTGCCGATACAGGCAGAGTTGGATCCATTAGATGGGACAGTCATGGAAGAACATCCCGTGGACCCTTCGGTGATTGAGATTTTGGTCTACTGGATTCAGGTGGCAAGGGGGGCTGCTGTCACAGTGGGATAAAACGTTTCACAATTAACCATGTACAAGAAAGGGGAAACCTGTAATTTATGCTCTAATTACTTGTTGATCTGAATATGCTCGCTATGCACATCATCGTGGATGAAAATGCGGTCGACTATCTTTTGTGATAAGATACTGTTGTAAGTAGAGAGCAGAGTAATGTACAGAGGATTAGAATTGGCCTCTCGAGAGAGAGACGTTCTACTTAAATACATTTTGTATTACTTCGAGATCTTTCTACGAGATACTAAATAAGTCCGGATCACGATCCAAGTCAGCTGCCGCTGACTGGCATCGTATCTTCGAGTACGTTCTCGTACTCGCTCGGGATTGCTATCCCAACAGATACATAACCTTAGTATGACTACTTCACATTAACATGTCTCATTCTTTTTCAACTGTTTCCTCTTCCCCGGCGGGACCTGCTTCATCCTGATCAAGGCCTGCCTTTCCTCATTTATGATGCGGACCTTCTGCGTTAGCCGAATAAAGTCGTTGTGCCGTTCCCGTTCTGATTTCCTTTTCATCCTATTCAGCGCTGTTGCCTCGACCTTGAGCACTGGGTTGTGTCGAGATCGATCATTGGCAGGCCATGCAGAACGATCGTTCAGTGCGGCAGTGACTGCTTCCAAAATCCACTTGTGGCTTTGGATACGGCCCAACAATGCTTGAGTGGCAGGGGGATTCTTTTCTAGCACCATGACATTGACATGTAGTTCAGAGCCATACCTTACCCCGAAACCACGAAGCAAGGTCGTCAGAAGACGATCCAAATTCTTGTTCAACAATTTCATTTGTTGGAGGACCATAAGTGCAGTGGCAAGAGTCGTCCGCTTTGTTTGTCCCCCACGTACAGTATACCCTCCACTGACAGCGGAATCATCAAGAATATCCTCTGCTTCTTCATACAACTGTTTAAGAAGCGACGCCAACTTGTCAGCGGTAAGGGCACTTGGTGTGAAGCGAAGAATGACCCATGTAAGCACATGTACAAAGGACTCCAGATCGTCAGACACGCTATGCACGGCGGTCCTATCCAGCAATAGATGAACGAAGATGAACTGCCATGTTCCCTGCATAACAACATTAGTATAGACAGAGAAGATTATGAAAGCAAGATAGGACAAACTGTTCTCTCTATAGATCTGGGTCCTTTGTTGAGATCTTTGATTGACTTGCTCAAATCCCAATCGATGAGAATACCACCAATGTGTCCGTTGCAATCTTCTGTAATCAGTATGTTACCAACGCTAATGTCGCGGTGCATAATTTGAACCTTGATAACAGCTTTTTCGTGGGCTATCCATAAGTCATCAATTCTAGAGGCCAATTATATCGACACCGAAATTCATACCTATGATTGCATCTTTGACCGCATTAAGCATCTCCTACGACGACTCAAAAGAAGAAGATCTCGTCCAATAGTTCCCAGCACAAGTCGATAATGCTGATGCCGCCTTTGCTGAACATTGATGTGCCATTCGGCATATGTTTCATGGTTCTGTCCGGGAATACCACCAGCTACTAAAAATTCCGCTATATGAGGTACTCCTGCTTCATGTAGTCGCTCGTAGATTTTTCCCTCTGCAAGGAAGTCTGGAGCTAAAATTCGCCGAGTATCTTTCAGAAAGACAACTCGGTTGCTGCTCAAATCATATGCGATATAACAACGGAAGGCGCGACCTGTAGGAGATGCATGACCCAGTGTGAAAGGCTGACCTGCGATGACAAAGCTGGGTTCAGCATCCCGGTCGTTGTCGTCGTAAACAGCGAACTTGTATAGTGTCTCGTTACGCTTAAGACCAGTCAGTTCACGACGAGCCCTATAGTCTTCGTTGACAGTAGGCTCCATAACGGAGGTGTCCCAACCGCGAGCAGCAGCATCAGAGCTGCTCAAGCGCCAAAATAACTCTTGTAAATAGGAAAGAATGGGTCACGGCAACACCCGAGCAGTCCCAGCGATGCAATCTAGCTCCGTCTGCACAGATTAAGACGGTGAACAGATGGCTACGGTGCTGAAAAACCATCTGTGTGTTTGCGTATGATGTGACTTGAAAGGGACTCGGATTCGAAAAAGACACTATTGTCGTGGAACGCGTCATCTGCGGCTGATAATTTTACCTCGATGTGGGTTTCCATACGGGAAAACTGCGTGGCCAGTTCGACAGTTTCGTTAGACTTGTATGCCGAAATATCAGGCTTAAAAATACCCGACCCGGTATCAGGAATAGCATGGGTGTCCACAGGCTGCAAGCAAAAAGGTGCCAGATCATTTATCTGGAGACTTTGTTATAGATATATGCAATATAGTGGAGTAGGGAAACAACACACCAACGGAACGTACATATCCACCTCGACACGCATTTTTGAGATGGCCGTAAAAGCGACAACGTCTACATTAGGTCTATTGGGGTATTTATCCGGAAAGAATTTGTTCAGAAAAGTCTGCGGATCGAGTGGTCTGCATTTCAAGTGGATTTCACGAGCCATCTCAGGCATTCTGATATCGCATGAGTAGTGCAACGAAGTGAATGGCATAATCCCAGAGGCCTTCCTGGAAATGGGGGTGTTTGGGTCAAACTTTTTTCTATGTGATGATTTAGGTGTCGCTATCTCCTTGAAATCATTTTTGTTGGAAGGAATGGGCGCGAGATGAAAGGATGCTGGGCCATGCTTTGCCATGGATAATCGTCGTGGTTGTGAACAAAAAGGAATTACACAGATTTAAAGGGGAGGAGAATTATTCATGCTTGTCTTCAGAGTTCGGATGCGAATACTTTCAGTGTGAGAATCGTACAGATCAACTTCACTATTCGCACGGGTATGACATCATCTCGTATTGCCTCGTAAGTTATCCTCCGATAAACCTTCCGCTCAGGCCTCGGTGCATGTTCGACGCGGAGTAAGGAGGGTCACAGAGATGCTATGCGTATCATCGCTGTGTCATTATAATAAACAGTGAAGAGGTGATCGATGTCAGACTACACAATTGCTCTCTCCTCGACGATTGACCGGACCTTCTGTAAGGGCCTGATACTTTCCAGCTCTGAATCTGACTTATACTAGATAGCACCGGTCAATGCTGTTGCAATTGGTTCGATGACTTTGACCCATTTAGCCTGGCCGTATCTACACAGTCCCCTTGCTGGGCATATGAGTCTGCTGAGATGTAACACTATGCTGTATCGTTCTATTCCAGAGCATGGAACAGGTTCTACACAGTGAAGCGAATTCGACAAATAGATCACTACCTGGTCTTCCTTTGAACCGGTTGTATTCTGTTGCCAAAGCCGAAGGACGGTGAATGATAATACCTATGCTCCTTCTAATCCTTCCGTTCCATCTCCGAGTAATTTTACTCTCGACAAAAATTCAACTTACATTGCCAACTGATCAAGGTCGTCGTGAAGACCGATCGATCTAGCAGTTGTTCTCTTTGGAGAAAGGAAGGACCCAAGACTTCCGGGGCAAGTAATCTCTGCCGAGTCGTCATGTGTCTTTTGCGGTGTTTCTCCTCAAATGAGCTCGTAGTAAACATGACCAGTTTTGTGCTCCTTCATCAATGAAAGAGCCATATGGCTCAAAATTTTCGATCCAGATGATAACAATAACTGTTCTTGACAAAAATTCGATGCGGCTTTCCTTACCGTCTGATCAACCTCTTCGTTTATAATCTGGGCATGTCTATTTCTTTGAAGAGGGGAAATGACCTAACACTGCGGTGATGAATATAATGGAATAATCGGCATCGCTAACAAATACCTTTTGCGCAAAAAGTCCACGCCCTTTCGCAAGACATTTTTTTAGCAGGCTGTTTGAGTATCTCTGTTGCCTATGTCGCGTATTGAACTGCTTCTAATAAATCCGGAAAGGGCCTTGTCGTACGTCGAGAATTTCCATGTAGTATGGCATGAGGGTGGAAGATACATATGCGGCGGACTGAATTGGGTAAGACTCATAGTCTATAAGTTCGTTTAAGCCATGGTGTCATTGAGGGATATTGAGACGGCAGGCAACCTTGATCCATCTCGCATCTTCACAGGCCCCTTCAGTATGCTCATTGTTCCTGTTCGCGTATACGCCTTTCAGAATGTCCATGGTCTTGGGGTGTGCGACCACATCATGTAAGAGACACAGTTCCTCTTGTAGTATTTCAATGTCCTTCTCTATCATTTCGCGAGTGTATATCTGTCTCGAGGGATGATAAAACCCAAGAGGCGGTCCGAATCGCTGGATACCAGATAAGATGGAGCGGAGATTGGGCACGACAGTAACCGGATAACCCGCTGCATTTTAAGGATCATCTTGAATTAATGGGACGCAAGCTCACTATGAAGACGACTTGTAAATCTGAGCTGAAACTTAGTTGATGCAGTCATTGACAAGTCATCGCCACATCAATTTAGCCGCCTTCAGGTTCGTTGTGATCTAGTCCTTGTCCCTGTTTCTTTGATCTGTGATTGATTTTCCGGCTTCTCCGAACTTTTGGTTTTGGACAGAATTTCAGTACGTCTTATTCTCCTTCCATAAACTTAGAGGTATGAGTATTACGATAAGGAAGTCCTAAATTTCTGGATTCTCCGTGTTTATCTCACGTCAAAGCGAAACATACATGTAATTGAATAGAGATAATAATAGACCTGAAGAACTATTGTGCGAGGAAAAACGAAGGATCTGAACGAAGAAGAGCAGAAGTATAGTTGATACACATGATGCAACGATTGTTATGGAGCAAAAACCAGATCTACAATGCACGACAGAGGCTATAGTCGAATATCGAATACGAGAAAAAGGGGAAATCAAAAGTCATGTTGATAAAAAAATAGATTTCACGCCTTTGAAGTCTCACAAACACTGACCTTAAGACACGAAGGCGGCGTCGCTATGCCGGAGACCCCAGAATCGCCTGCCCCGTCGCATTGATCCACTTATTCTCCACGATTTTCTGACTTTTCCCATCATCGCGCAAATAACCCGTCACCGGATATATCACGAACAGCCCGAGGATGCATAGGAGCATCGCAATTAACGCGACCATATTCACCAGCCCTCTCCACGACAATCTCTGCTCACTGCTCCGGGCGTCTAGGTCAGCGTCCTCCTTGTCGAATCCTCCCTCATCCTCGTTCGGGTCAAACGCGTACGGCACCAAGCCGTGCTCGCTGAGCAGAGATGGGTATTTGGAATCTGATGATATAGACATCATTGAATCACGGGAAGACTCCGATGACATGAGATGTCGAAGGGAGGGAGGGGGGTCTAGTTTGAAAGCGTCGTCACCAGGCACGGATATGTGATATAGAATCATTGACCCCCGGGAATTGCGAGACGTGGAGAGTACTCTAGACTCTTCTGAGGGTACCCGGCCAAGCAGCTGCGTTGTTGACGAGGAGGGTCGAATATAACGAGGACCAACAGGTGGTGAAGGTGTCGATGATCTTGATTCAGAAGCGGGCGACGTTGAAGAAGGATTTAGTGGCGACGAAGGAAAGGCTTTCGCTGGCGACATTAATCTAGGGTATTCTTGTATTGCGTCTGACGAAACATCTGACTCGGAAATTGTCATGGAGCGTCTAAGTGGACTGAGGGGAGCATTGGGCTTCAGCATCGACGGAGCATGCATGTTCGCCACTGAGGAACGCGTTGTAGAAGCCGCGTATGACTCATATGGCGTCTCCTGCCCAGATATCGATGAAGAGCGCAAAGGGACCAGTGGAGACGCGGTTTCATGCGGTGTTGCGTTGAAAGACGCGGCGTGAGTAGCTGACTCTGCCTCCCAGGAACTCGCGGACCCAACATCCTGATCGTCGTTCGACCAAGAGCTGTAGATGGAAGACGCGGATGGTACCATGAGGAGCAAAGGGGAAAGGTTCACGGCAATACCACGATGCTTGTTTATATCCACCACTCAGCAAAAGCATCTGTGACCGGTCTCACCTGTCACGAAACAATATGACTGAATGCCTCCGCAATTGGCTTGGCACGGGATATTTATGCCATCTTCCAGAATCCAGGGTCGTTTGGGTTCTGGAATTCATTCGGGTAACCTGTGGTGAGAAGTCTATTGCCACCCTCTATAATTATTATCGATTGGTGATAGCTTGAGTGTGAGAAAGGTGCGACAAAACTTCAACTTCGTACTACAGCGGTAAGAGGATGGCTTCTGGTAAGCGTCTGCTGTTGGGATGCGAGAAAGGACAGTGCCGGTGACACGATGTTTGGGCCCCTCAAGGTGACCCCCTAGCCGAAAAGCTTAAAAGCAAGCCGCACAGCCGTGAAAATCGACGGCAGTGTGGCGGAAATATGGCAAGCGCGGGTAGCAAGCACGGATAGAACAGTATTCAAACATGGTTCAACCGGATAAATGCAGCTAGCCAAAGAACGGAAATAGCAAGGACAAAGCAGCATTCATTGCAGTCGGCATGCGAATCTTGGCCTGACCTACACACTTGAGTTGATGGCTTCCGAAGAACGAGCTAGAGGGGCTATTACCTGACAGCACTCACAAGCGGTCATTCAATTCATCAATCACTACAATACGACAAGCTCACCGTGCATTCCAACAGATGTGTAAACATGCTGAGGTTCCGAGTCCTGACAAGATGGAGGCGTCGCGCAAAAGAACACCTCGTCACCTCTGCCCTTTCTTTCCTCTAACGCGATCCTTACTTCTAGCGTCCGAAGAGTCTCAGGATCAGCGTCTTCCCCCGCATAAATTCGTCCTAACCTTGGTGACGCGGTATCGTACAAAATCTCCACCACCATCGGGTACCTTTCTCGTCATGGAACGTTTTTCTTCTAGCTCAGCGCGAGCAGCTTCTGTCCCAACGAGGAAAGTGGGAAAATCCAGACTAACCATCGACTCGGCGAAATCGTACTCCAAAGTGTTTATCTTCACGAGTCTTCCCGCTACAGCGACGGTCACATCAGCATATTACCGGCATCGACGAGATCAACAACTACCTTTTTTGTCTGACATGAGGTATTTGCATGTCAGCTGGTGTTCCATCCAATCATCTCTCTGGCAGTCTCTTGAACAGTAGTGCACGACAAAGCATCCCGAGCAGCACTTGACATCCCAAGGACAAACATGTGGGTTCGGACACTGTCACCCTATGTCAGATTTGTAAACCTTAACGGTGCAGGGGCCGTATCTGCGAATTACTGCAGACGTTACGTTGAGATACAGAATAGCCTGGAATTCCCGCATAGCTTTGCAGAGTTGCATCATGCAGAAATGTCCAAGAGCCCCACAGCAACGCCGTAGATTCCTCTAATAACCTAAGATCATGCTTCTTGATGAATCGACTAGATTTGGCCACCAGGCGTAAGACCGATGGATATATGGTATATTTTGTGACCATCTCGAAAAGCCAAGAACAGATATTCTGGAAGTTGAGGTGAAAAGGATTCGATCGACGTTTGAAGAACAAGGCAGTTTTGAAGAAAGACGGTAGAAAGCAACCTCGAAGAGCTTCAGTGATACAGGGGTGGCCGCGTTTTGTGAAACAGGGCGCATCGAAGATGCACAAATTCGACCATATTTTCTTGTGTGTATCTGTCCCACTTGACGTCGTCGATGTTGATGAGATCGTAGGCAAGTTTGGAAGATGTCAGATGCACCATGACAGAAGTAATGAGAAAGGGAAGACGGCAAGCAATGAAAGGAGAAAGTAAGTCATGAAATTCCATTGCATAAGCCACGAATGCAAGAGGACCATCGGGGAGATGCATATTGACTGTATGACACTGAATAACGTTGAAATGTGTGCACAACAGATTGCTGCCGCGTTAGGTGTATCCTTCAAAACGTCGTCCACTTGCTCAATAACTTCCCCGAAGCCGTCCACGGTCGAGAAGCTGATCGAGTTGAATAATATCAATGAGAAAGCCGTATCTCGAAGTGCTGCAGGCGAGCCACCATGGCGCAACGTATGGAACCAGAGTTGGACGAGAGTAGAAAGAACCCAAGGAGCTTTCAAAACGTCAAACTCACGAAGACATCCCTGAGTCTCCGAGTCAAAGGCGGCAAGTCTGAGAAACTCTGCTACAACCTCAAGCGTCCAGTGCTGAAATTCGGTAGTTCCACGGAGTGATGCTCCTTCGCGATGATTTCTTCCACCAAGAATGATGACCACCTCCACGCCATAGGCCAATATTCCATCACACGCTCTTGGAGCAGGCCGTGCTGTTTCGAAGAATGCTGCCCATCACTGCAACCGTGGCCATTCTGTCTCGAGTCCCATCGAAAGGCAGCACACAGGCCATCGAGGCAATCCACCATGACGCAAGCTGTCGCAGTTGGAGTCTCCAGTGACGAACGAAGATCTTGGGGCATTTTCTTGGTGCGAAGATGATGGGATACAAGTGAGAGCATCCTCGGACATGCAGAGGGATCCTTGCGAGCGTTCGATACGGCACTTGCGAGGCTAGATAGAGAATTCATGTTTACCTGAGAAGAATCTTGAGGAATAGCAAGAGGACATATAGAATCTCTGGTGGGCAGATCTGCTTTTCGTCGGGACACGTGACATCGTGCTTTGTCAGCCCGACGACGACCGTAGGTACAGCTACCAACCAAACTGTACTTTCTACTTCTCACCTTCTTTTACTATGGTAAAATGATCTTCCCGAAACCGGCCTGAGCCAGATCAATCAGAAGACTCAGAGGATGCTATTCTATGTGAGGGCCCAACAGATCCTTATCTGTTTCGCTGAGATCCAATAATAATATCTTCACAGTTCACAAGAGAAGTGTCGCTTAAGTACTTAGTCCGCTTGGCCCTACTGTCCCTCTAAAGCGAACTGCTGCTGTATAGACTGTGCTGTACAAAAGAAATGGAGTTATAGCTACATGATGGTACATTGAATTGATTGCGAGACCCTCCGAGTTCCCAAATAATGGAAGAAAGGAGCGGTCTTCACGGTAAAGTTCCCAGGACTGCTGAGTCGAATGATTTGGAAGCGTAGACTCCCGGCAAACTGGTGTAATGGAACTGTCGACATGAAGGAAATTGGGCGACCTATGTCAGGTTTTGAGATGGCGAGGAAATATATCTGTTGCGGCAAAGAAACAGTCAGTCAGCATCGCGTTAGCCAAGCTCTGCCATGAAAGCTCACCATATACTGACTGTCGTGCAGATGCATTCAGGTCTAGGACCCGGAAGTGCGGCATAGAAGAACACTTCATTCAGCTGACCTCTTCTCCTTTCTAATATGTCCATAACTTCGGGCATCCGACCGATTCCGTGAGTGCGAGACTCTTCGCCCGGGTAAACTCTCACTAGCTTGGTAGGCACGAAATTGTAGGAGATCTCTATCACCATGGGGTATCTCTTGTAAGGCTCCGTCATCGCGCGTTTTGCTTCTAGTTTTTGGCGGATTTCCTTTGTCTCCGAGAGGAAACGAGGCAAGTCCTGGTCAACCATCCACTCTGCGAAATCTTGTTCCAAAGTATCCGCCCGCATGAGCTTCCCATCTGTATCAAACCATATATCGCTTAGTTCGATTGCCAGAAACCAGAATGAAAGGTACCTTTTCTGTCCGATCTGAGGCTCTTACACTTTGGTTGATGAGTTATCCAATCATGTTTCTGGCACTCCCGAGAACAATAATGAGCGGAAAGACAGCCTGTGCATCGTTTGGCGTCCTTAGGTAGGATACACGGATTGCGGCACTACGCCTAGTTAGACGCAAAACGATGGCCGAATGCGATGATACGTACCTGTGGATTGCAGCAAATGTCCCGTGGAAGAACAGAATAAACAGATTTGTTAGTATACCTCTGCATCGCTATATCACATAGAGTGTTATAAGACGTCCACATTCCCGGGGCTGTCAATTTCACCAAGGCCTTGAGATTATGAGCTTCCAAGTGCTTGTTAGATTTGATCACGAAATGCATTACTTTCGGATAGATGCTGAATGTTGCAATCATCCTAAAAAGTTCGGAGCAAGTGTCCTCGGTGTTGTTAGGAAAGGAACCGGATCGATGCTTAAAAATCTTCGCTGCTTTGAAGCAAGTCGGGAGGAAGCGGTTTTGGAGTATCTGGACGACGCAGGGAAGGCCGCGCGTCCTGATACAAATTTCCAAGAGCTTGATGCATAGAAAAAAACAAGATTCCGCCATATTGCTTTGAATGAGTTTGTCCAGCTTCTGATCATCAATGTTCCCGAGTTCATAAGTAAGCTTGAAAGACGTGAAACGAGCCATGAGAATAGTGACGAAGGTTGGAGCATGACAGGCGATAAAAGGACAAAGAATGCAATCGGAATGAAACTCCAAAGCATAGGATATCAAATTAAGTGGTCCATCGAGGAGACGCATGTTAATTTTCTTGACCTCGATCGTCTGCAATACGTGCGCAATGAACAGGGCAGTAGCACCTGGCATATTCTGGAGCACAAGACCAACTTCTCTGATGACGAGTTTGAAGTTGTCCCTGCTGTCGGAGTTAATCCGGTGAAATACAACAAGTGAATGCGACGTTTCTCTGAGCACTGCAGGAGAACCCCCATGGCGCAAAACATGGAACCAGAGACGGACAAGGGTAGCGAAGAACCCAGGTCTTTTAAGAACTTGTACTTCGTGAGGGGACCCTTGACTCTCAAAGGCAGCAAGCCTGAGGAGATCAGAGGCTGTTCCGATGACCCTGTACTGGAAGTCGATGCATTCCGCCGACTGAGGCTCCTTCGAGATAACCTCATCCGCCATGAACGACGACCATTCCCACGCCGCATTCCATTGCTGAAAGACGCGCTCTGCAAGATCTTTATGCCTCCGATTCGCCCAGTGCAATGCAACACGTAAGCCGTCCAGACAGCTCGCCATAATTTCGGCAGTTGCAGATGGTGATTTCATAGATTCAAAAAGCTCCTGAGGGACTCGTGTCGTGCGAAGATGACGGTGCACGGCGGAAAGCATTCTTGGGCATGCTTTGACATCCTTTCGTGCAGCCGACACGAGGCTTTCGAGGCTAGCCGGTGAGTTCCTATGATTTCATACATATCTTTGAATGGCAGACAGAACGATCAAAGCCAGGCTTACCTGTTCATTCAAAATATTATGTTGCAGTGAATTGCCACTCGTCAAAGTGGCAACTAAGGCTGGTGGTACGAAAGCAAGAGGACCCTGACCGGCTTTGTCATCTCTACAGATGTTTATCATTCTTCATTGAGATGAAAACAAATTCATACCAAAAACGGTTTGTAACATACGCGACTCTAAGCCTATCTATGTCGCCGCTCGTTTGTGATGAGATCAGTCCCCCAAACTTCTACCTTTCTTTTCATTCGCAACAACGCTCTCAGAGCTAGGTTGTGCTGAATCGCTCGGAATGGGCGGACCTGTATAATAGAAGCGTCCATCTAAGCATAGTTGATTAATTGTTACTTCCACGCGAGGAACAAACCTACTGATCATATACCAGACCGCACTGATGGTCGCAAATCCCACAAACACCACAGAGGCGTAATCTAGAAAACTACGGGTCAATTCTTAACTCAAATAGGATGGTAAATTCATACTCATAGACACTCTCGTCACAGGTACCACCGCCGGCATCGAGAACAGCACCATCTCGAACATGGTCCATAGCACCGCCATACCGTTGATAGCCCATCCCCACCTACCCAACGAGTACGGAGAATCTTTGACGTTATCACGGCCATTGACAAGGGATATGAGGACTGGCATCGAATAGCTCGCCTGTAGACACATCACCGCCACTCCTACGAAAGCGTTGAAAGCCGCACTGGAGCCGAGATAAATCAGACCTAGCAGTAACTGGACAACAGTGACGAGGAGGAACGCATTAACAGGGCCGTGTTTTTCTGATGCTACATGGGCGAGGAAGGTGTGCATGGGTATTGCCTTGTCTCTTGCAAATGCCCATGTTGCTCGAGAAGCGGCCGATGAAATTGAGATAGCGCAAAACATGGCGACCCCGAAAACTAGAATTTGAATGGTGAACAAGGAGCTTAGCACGGAGGTATAAGCGCGTACTGATGAACCACTAAACCAAACGGGACAGGTGAGCAGAAAATAAAGACAGCATGCATGTTCTTGCCATTCCGAATCCACCACCCTTTGAGCCCATTATGAGCGTGAACATGACACCAATAGGCTGACCACTAGCGACTGCACATTTGCTTGGTCAATTCAAGGGGAAGATGATAGAAGACTAGGCAAACCTGCAAGTAATGTAGCAACATCCGGAAGCGTAAATAAAATGGGCAACAAGAAAAAAACTCCTTGTAAAAATCCAAGCGGAATTGACCATACAATGGCTCTTGGGAGGTCAACCGTCGGATTATGAAGCTCCTCGGCCATACTCGCAACTTAATGGGGAATGAGTCTTGATAGAATTCCATACATTGAAACGCACTCATTCCAATTGCAGCATACGTATATGCTTGACAGTATGGTCAGTGAGTGCGATAGCTGGGCTGTTCACACACTGACCGGGCTGCAAGCATAAATTAGATATGGAGGATGATACAAAAGGCAACTCACAGGTAGTAGCCCGATAAAGAACGACCATCCAGGTGTCCAACCCGACGCAGATGGATCAAAATGGCCGAGAGCGAAAGCAGCTGTATGACGACCTGACGCCGCCTTCGCCGAAATACACACGAGCATAACTTGGAAGAAGTCTATAATCGATTAAGGTCCATAGGAATTCCGGCGTACCAAGGACGCCGAGAATCGTCCAACAAGCACATACGATCTATAGATATCTTATCAACAATTTTGCCGCTCGTGTACGCAACGATGACATACGTCGATGTAATGAAGAATATCGTTCAAGAAAATTCCGAGTGCCGTACAAGTTAGTGTCACTCCCAAAAAGATGAGATCTAGCACGGATCAGACGAGGTAGTTGGAAGGAAAGCTAATCAGGCTTACATGTATGCCATGTCTTGGCAACCCAGTCCGGATGAAAAATACCCGCCCCTGCAACTATGATCTGTGCAGTGCCCTACAGAGCAGAGCCGCTTGGTTAGATAAGGCTAACGAATCACAGATAACTCAGTTCTTACGAAAGTGACTGACAAACAGATCGTCCACACGCCTACCATGGTTAGCCATCCATTTATCCATGACAAGAGCACGCGGCTCCTGGGTGATGCGAGGCGGAAACACCAATAGTACGCCCCGCCAGAGGTAGGATACTTTGCGCTAATTTCGGCCATTGACAGTGCGAGAGTAAAGATAAATGCCGATACGAATACCCATCTTCGATGGTATGAGCTGATATTTTCGTCTGGACTATGAAACACTCACCCCCAGATCAAAACCGCGGGTCCACCTCCAATGAGTCCGGTAGCGAGTGGAGCAGAAAGACCGTAAGCTAGCCATATATTTTTATTCGCGCAGCAAAAATGAATTGTTCGATGGACTCACGGACTGCCATAATGGCTTCGCCAGAGTCCAGTCACATCAAGGAGCACGGTAGTCGAAGAACAACACGTACCTAGCGTCACTGCATCGACTATCAATAGCTCAACAACCAAGAAGGAAAGAAGCGACGCACTGAACAAGATATGGAATAGCCCACGCCTCTATCCACTTGAATCAGCGAGAAGGCTGAGCGACAGTAGGAAGAATCGCATACCCGTGTCATCTCCTGCTCGTAGCCTAGTTTGTGCAGGTCAGCAACAGCGGCAGCATCGATATTGCTCGACATGGCGGTCAGAATGAAGAGCAGGCTGTCACCCAAACGGGTTTTATACTGACCGGTACAACGACACTTATCGCGGAGACGAGATAAGCAGCTAGCATGTAGAAGCTTAATCGGAGATGAAGATTCGGAGCCATTAAGAAGCAGGACGTGTCTGCCGCGGAGTACGTACGTGCGCAAGGCTTTCCGAGTCCGGTCGTCGGCAGAAATAACGATAAGACATGGATTGCTGCACAGGGATATGCATAGTCTGTATCTATCAGAAAAATCAGCTATCAGAACGAAAACTGGCTCACCGCGTCGGAGTTGTAGTGGACGGCGTTCCTATCCTCGTCACCTGCAGCTACTTATTTAGTAAACATCTCATACGCTAAAATGGCTCATTACCATCCGGAATTCACGGGTCGTGGCGGCTGAACGAATTCTGATGCAAAGGGAGCGTGTTGGTCCTGAGTGCACTATTAAGAAGTAACTACACAAGTCCGTATGGTCCATGCAAAAAAACAGAAAGATGCCAATATATAAAAGACGCGACGCGACTGGAACGACAGAGTGGCCACAGTACCCTCAGGGTACGAAATGCAATGGGCTTGCGTTGCATGTACAACCTGCTCTAAGAAATTAACAAGGGTCTTAAAATATGAGCAGGTGAAGGTATGCAGTGACGTGGAAAGTAATGAGGATAAAAATAACACGTGGAAAGTGAAAGCAACTGTCAATTCCGCATCCAATACCACCGGGAACATACCGTAAACACACTCTTGCTCTTGCCTCCGTCACCAATCAGTATCTGTGTGGCCGCCCAACAGGTGTACTGGTACTCATCCTCGATTCAGCAGCATATGGATCATAATCCATGCTCATCCCGTGACGATCGTGTGCTTCATCTTGATACGGCGCTTGTAGGCTTGCAGAGCTTGAGCTCCATGATTCGTTTTGGTTATATGCGTGCTGCAATGGGATAAAGGCACTAGAGTCAGAACTCCGCAAGGCCTTATCCGCCCCACCAGCGCCCGCGCCCGCGCCAGTACCAGTACCTAGAGAAGCACCATATCCGGGACCATCTCGCATTGCGTACGATGATGTAGGCTGACGGTTGGCCTTACGTCTTCGTCGCGTTAGACAAATACCAACAAGCGCACCAAATATGCCCAAGACAACTAATCCACCGACAACTCCGCCAACAACAGCGGCAGTACTAGTCTTCGAACTACTGTCACTATTCGATGACGTTGTAGAGCCATCGGCAGAACCTTGGGCGTCGGTACTGTTAACGCTTGTCGGTAGAGCCGCCGTGTCAGCCAATGTCTGCGTTTCGATGTTTCCGCTTCCGATGATAACGTAAGAGCCGTTACTAGGAATACCGTTCACAACAACGTGCAAAAAAGCAGGTCCCGGCTGGTAAATGTTGGCATTCGGGGGCATCTGCGAGACATGCAGCACGATAGAACCATTACTGTTCACGGTAAATGTGTTGTTAAGTTGGAGGTAACGCTGGCCCATATTCATCGCATGTGTTGTCCAACCCGTTCGAAGAACGGATACGAAAGCGCTCGCAGCGGCGTCATTAGAATCGCCGGAATATGAGCTCGAGGGTATGGTGACATCGAAGTAGTCTCCACCGTAAGAGAGTTGAGAAGGTAGCCCGGTCGGCTCCGGGCGAGTACTGGCGGAGAAGTAAGGGGGATAGAAAATTTCGGCGCGATATTCGGTGCTAAAGTAGGTCGTCAGGTTGACGTCGACATTGGGGTTTGATCCAGCAATCAAGACAGATGTGTCAGGGAGAACAATGGCGGACGAGTGATATAAACGGGCAATATCAGATGTGGAGAAACCATCATTAGACCACCTCTTGCCACTGTCTGCATCGGGGTCATAGAGAGCAGGCGTACCAACGGGCCCGGATGCAAGTGACATTCCGTAGGGCATGTCACTGTAAGACGTTGTCTCGAGAGTCATGGTGGAATAACCAGCAGTGCCGTTTAGCCCCCCGTTCACGACCAGCATTACGCCATTGGGTAGAATAACAAACTGGCCCATAGTTCTTCCCTCTAACATATCATCATCTTTAACATACGTCGGAGATGAGCCGTCCTCAGGCTCGGGGGTAATACGATGACAATCCGTTGAAGCTGGGTATTCCCATGTGTTTATGAATGGCCATGAGTAGTTACCCCAGGAGTAATCCGGCATGTCAGAACCTCCACAGAAGAGGATTGTAGGATTGTAGTTGTTCTTGGGTGTGAGAGGAAGCATGGCGACGGCTCCAGATGCAGGATACACGCGAACAACTCCACCAGGCATATCTGGAAGCGCCGTTTCCTCATTGGAGGTGTGATTCCAGAGAACTGAGGAGTAGCATATTACATATGAAAGTACAGAAACAACGAAGCAACTTACCCGTCGAGACGTTAGCCTGAACGAACATTTTACCTGATGGCATCAGGAAGGTGTGGGGATAAGAGTTGAGACCAGAAGTGTTGATCATGAACTGCATGGTAGTGGCTGTCCGTCCATTTGCTGGATAATACTCGTAGGTACATTCGGCAGCACCACCCTCGTACTCTGGGTCAGTGTTGGGATAGTTCCGGTTGATGTAACCACCGTTTGCAAAACCACCGATAATGACGATATCGCCTTCAGCGGTTGGCTCAGCCGTAGAATACCATCGACGTTTTTGCATAGAGAGTAGATCAGGATTGTCGAACCAACCACACTGAGTAGATTGAAAGTCAGATCCCGTATCACAGGGGTCGAGAATCCGAATTGCTTTTCCACCATCATAATCCTCGTATAGAGAATCGTACGAAGCCGAGCCCTCGTCATTGAGGACAGAGCCAACGCCACCACCTTTGGTAACAGCCCCGTTTCCGCCAAATGTCACGAATGAACCGTTGGGAAGATGCATACCGGACGAGCAAAACACGTTCGTCCTGACGTCCTGCACGACGACCTCGTGTGTATCGATATTCCTGGATGATGTCTAGACAACAGAACAAAAACACAAACTTTGATTGCTCACCAAACGGCACCCCACGCAGGATGCCCATTGATATTCGCGGCGTTACCCTCCGCTTTATCCAAGATGTAAACATAGTCCTTATTGCCGACGAACATCTAAGGGCAGTTGAGCGCTATCGACAGCGACAGAGAGATGAAATACGTACCATCATAGCGCTGACTGACGTGTTTCCTCCATCTGCAAACGTCCCGGCAGTCTGTGCCCAGGCAAGCGAGATGGTTGCTAGCGTAAAAACCAACAAGGATGGTGAGGGTATCATCGTGACGGTCATAATCCCTGCCGGAAATGTTGGTAGAAGGGAAAAGAGAAGAGAAGAGACCGCGAAATGTTGAGCGGTGCTGAGTACAGTATGGAGGGAGGAGGCAAAAGAAAAGAGTGTGAGGGTGATAGAAAAAGGAGGCACCCAAAAGCGAACCGTGTGGAAATTTAAGCGGCTTTCGGTTTCACGTCAACAAAGGACCCACGCCACCGCGCCTATTCTTATCTTTTTCGTACAATCCTTCTCGGCATGGGGGTTGTCGGCATTTTACTCCCAGATCATGAGCAAATCTTCTTCCGTCTTGGGGTCCTTCCGTATCACACTGGCCATGGCAGCATGACGACCTCCTTTTAGATGTTCCCCATTCAGGCTAGATCGCAAGTCTGTACAAATATTTACCAACCTTGGGCCACTTTTAGCTCGAAAATATGTTTTGTGGGGGGAAAGAGGCCCGCGTCTAAAAAAAGACTCTCCAATTTTATACAAGGGCCCAGTCCACTATAGTAGTACTCCAACCTTCTTTAAAGTTCCAGGTTCAACATTGACTTGTTTTTGGCAACCAACTGTTGATCTGTCGAGCGCGTGGAGAGAACAGCAACACCTATCCTGACATATGTACAGCAATTGATGACCTTGATGACCACGTTTTGTACTCGCGGACTAGCCTCGAGCGTGTCATTTCCGATCCGCTGTTCCAAAGGGAAATTTCCGTCGCAATACTGCTATTACAAAGTCGTCGCCTTGCCTTCTGTCCCTCCCCCCCCCCCTTGCAGAGAAAGAAAACGGCCGCCTACCTTTGCTTCGACAAATTCTGCGAAGATCTCCGAATTTTCACAAGCAATTTAATAATTGTTGCTTACACATCATGATGGTCCTGCATATGATTGACATTTCCAAAACTAAAATTATTGGCGCGATCAGCAGACTGCGCCCCCACATAGTCGATTTTATTCGATGATCATGTCTAGGCAAGCCCAGGCGCGTTGTATCAATAGTCCACAGCGGCTCATATTCATGACTCTTAGGAGAGAGAGACATACTCTACTGGCAATCGACTTGGGACTCTAAACGTTGGGAATCGGACAGAATGGAGGGGGGGAAGGATATTTATCGAGTCTGATGGTATTGGGAAGGAACAGGAATTATGATTCATAAAAGAATTACATTTCTTGACGAGAACACCTATCCGTGATAAAGACGGAAAGGAGGAACAACTGACCTTGGCATCATTGGGCAATCAGAGTCTTATATGTGCATAGCCTAATGATACCGTCTCCGTTTCTTCTACATATAAGGCGAGGAATTTCTCTAAACCACTCGCGAACCTGAGTCCCGGAAAGGGTCGGCTGGATGGCTCGAATCGAGCCTTTGAAGGGTGCGATGGTGGTGTTGTGGTGGTGAAGATTACCTAATGCAAAAGTGATACACGCCAGACCCACCTCCTCATATTATAAAGAGCGACGGATTTCTTCTAAAGCCAAACGTACAGCTTCTGTCGAGTCCGATTCAGCAAGTATGGAGAGGGGAGTATTCGTGAGAGCGTAAGTACCCGCCCGTCTGTTCAGTGGAAGGTAGTGGTGATTTTGAGGCAGCTGGATCCATACTAGGAAGGAGAATCGCATCGATATAAATAATCAAGACCATTCCCCTCTGCTTCGTGAAGCATCTGCAGGCTAGGAGCTGCTTCAGAAGTCGAGATGGAAGGTCCTGGGAGTATGAGAAGCATTCCCTGCGACAGCGATATAGTGCGGGACCAGGCGAGCCATGACAATATCAATCATGGACGTTAATGAACTGCGCACGATGCCGATGCATATTTCCTCCATCAGCACCTGCCAAGTACTAGGGCACCTATACCAACGAATAAGCAATTTGGTGCACGGATTAGAAGTAAAGACTGCTGTCCGTCCCACCATGCAGCGTGTACGTACAATGGACTAGTCTTTCGTCAAGGAAAGATCCGCCATCAGCCACCCCCTTCCATTTAGACAGGACTGATTCCGTCAGATATAGCACTAGGTTCGTCTTACCTTGAAGACGATTAGGAGACTAGACTAGTACTGTCGGACAAGATGTGTTGCACAGTTTCACGATGAGAGAGCAGTTAGAGTCAAAGACACAATTTATGCCGTCCTGAGGTCGTCAGTGGAGGAGAGCTGTCACTTTTACGTAAAGAGTACAACCGTCCGTTGGTCCATAGAAAATTCCGTTGCTCCGGTCATCGTAGAGCTACAAAAGATGATGTTCGTTTGAATAATTTTTTTGGTACGGTCACCAGAAAGATATCCTTTGCGTGAAATCACCGCTAGCGTCAGTTAAAAGTGGGTTGACGGGTTTCCACACTATAATTGAGGATAGATAGAACTGGAACGGATTGCCTGAAAAGAGATTCAGAATACCTTTCAGTGGTAGACGGACGGCCTGACTTCGACATATTTGGGCTTGGGTAAAATACCACGATGTGGCTGTGCAACCGGAGCCGTGGAAGCAAATCCGAGTACGACACATCGTACTTGTTCTCTTCCAACTTTCATGGCATTGAATGGATGGATGCCTGGAAGAGATCCTGAAATGCCCTCCCTGGTCGACTCTCATGCTGCCCGTCCGAATATTCCACCGCCGGCAGGCGCGGCACACACTGGATTCGGAGGGTAATAAATAGTCTTCTCTTCGACAGCAGACATCGTCTGACTCAATTTGAAGGGCTGGAAACGATAGCGGAGGTATACATGATGCATTTCCAGGATTTAGTCAGCGTCCAATGTGCGTAGTAATATCTGTCGGGTTTCCGAACATTTTCCTTATTATTCTTCTGCAGCGGTGCCCCAGGCGCCACACCAGTGTGGCCAGTCCAAAATTTGAACGGATGGACTTCATTATCCGATGAACTCTCGCCGCTGAACTTTCCTCAGACACCAGGATGGGGACGCCAGACGCCAGACTGGGGAGCAGCATCGGATTCGTGGCAGGGACCGCCAGCTGGATCCTGGGGCGGCGGTATGCCTGGTACACCTCATCCTCGACAAGGTCGTGCAGTAACGCCCAACAATGGCTTCTTCAGCACAGCATGGCAACCACCGGAGACGACTACACCTAATACCTTATCCGGTCAACCAGTGGGCGATGGATGGTTTAGCGCCAGTAATAATCAGACTGCGAAGAGCCCTTTTATTATGCCAATCAGTCCATCCAGATCGTTCGGAGACGGCTGGGGAGCTATCGATAATGGTGGGCCTCCCGTATCTGCCACCCTTCCGATGCCGCAATCTCCGTCAACCGAGGACGGTTACAGGATGAAGCGATCTCTGACTTGGGGTCCAGTTGTGGGAAAGAAGGCCAAGTCAAAGTCCAGGAAATGGTACCCGCACGGAGACATTGATGAGTTGAATCCGGCACAGCGACCAAGAGACTGGAGGGCGGACTTTGAGATGAGACCATCATTCATCAGGCTCAGCTTATCCAAGAATCGCTCTGATGTGCAAGGTATGTTACTCGTATTGTGCGATGAAACGGTCTGATTCGCTTTGCTCAGAGAGTAACGACCCAGAGCGACGGATCTTGCACGGCCTTCTCGCATACGATGCTCCCGCTCCCTCAATATATCTTGATCTCCGAACGAATCCGTTTACACAGCCTGCCATGTTCTCTCACCTCGGTCGGGCGTACAACCAGATAGACCTGATGCAGATTGCCACGAATCCACCTGCGCCGTTCATGCGCCTGTACCATGCCCGCTATCCGTGGTACGTGGACGTATACGCGTCGAACCCAAATGGCGTAACAATCTACGACATTCTTATGCAGCTACACGTGCAGATGATGATGCCGATTGAAAGCCGGCATTATTATTGTGAGGACGTACGGAGTAAAGAGAGGGAGCTGCTCGGCGCAGCGTATACCTCCAGATGTCATGGAGATAAAGAGACCATGTCGAGAGGAGTTGTGAGGGTAGATTTTCTAGGCATGGAAGGTCGGCTATTGCTACAGGGTCTGGTGAGAGGAAGGAACGGGATGTGGGAGATGAAGATTGCCAAGATTGACTCATGAATGCTGTTGTACGAATTTTCCCTTTTCACTGATACTACTAACCCATCTGCATTGGAATATGTACTGTCCTCATCTCGTCTTACTTGGTTTATTGTTCTTCTATCACTCTGTATCACTTATCTATTTTCTCCATCGCATCAGATATATGTTGTATTTTATATAGACCACATAATTTGAGGTATCATTTTTGAACTGATATGGAGACCATCCCGTCTTTAGAATTCTGACGTTCCTTCAAACAGATGAACAGATCATTTTGACAGGCGCCGATTGGTTTACTTACGGTGAGTTACTACCCGTGACAGTCTATCCGGGAACTTGTACGCTGGAAAATGCGGCGGTGGCGGTCTTGGATTGTCTTCTCTGTTTCCTAGGCTTCCTAGCCACAATTTATATCAATTTCGCGATCTATATCCACTGGCGCCTCCGGTCCCGCTGGCGCGCGCTGAAAAGGCCAGCGGATCACTTATCGTTCCTTGATTTTGGATCTCACAGCGGTTATTTGTTGCCTGAAACTCTGATTCGACGGGACCATTGCAACAACAACAGACATCTGTGTAATTCAATCTAACTGTCTCGATTTTCAAGACGGGATCAACCAGATGGAAACTTCGAACTGCGGCACGCTTCCCTGCAATCAAGTATGGACCCTACAGCGTTCTTATTAAGCTTTAAAAAGCCCAGGACACTATTTAAAGGCTTTCTTCCCACTGGAGCTCAAAGAATAGCATATAATCAACTTTTCATGGCCCCAAAGTTCAAAGTCATCGTCTGGTGCGCGTCGACGTCTTCCTACGTTATGGATCCACGAACTTGAAGGCTGACTTGATTCTCGATCAGTGGTGGCGGACTAAGCGGACTAGCGTTTGCTGTAACGCTGTCCAAGTATCCAGATGTGGACCTCGAGCTTTACGAGGCTGCAGACCACTTCTCCGCTGTTGGAGCTGGCATCAGTGTATGGCCGCGTGCTATAGAAGTCATGGAGATGATGGGTATGGGACCTGATTTGCAGAAGGTGGCGTCAGCACCCTTCACAGAAGACTATGGTCAGTCAAATACAAATCTCTATTCGTTGCCGAGCACTGACGTTGCCTTTCAGTTGCTGCTTGGAGTTTCAGGAAGAGCGACCAAGCGGTAGGGAAGGAATTTTGCCGCGTCGACTCTAAAGGGCATTGTCAAACGTTTCACCGAGGAGACTTGCATGACGTCTTCGTGAACCATCTTTCGCCGCGGTGTGTGATTCATTATGCGAAGCGATTACAGTCGTATTCCGAACAGCTTGATGGTCGCGTAAAGGTATTTTTCCAAGATGGGACGACCGCCGAGTGTGACGTCCTAATTGGCGCTGATGGAATAAAGTCTCGAGTACGGGCGTCCTTGCTGAAGGATAAGGCTCGGAGTGCCTCAGCAGATGGCAGACTACACGAGGCTGAGGAACTTCTTTCTGGTGTTCCTCAAATCTTTACGGGATCAGTTGCCTACAGATCATTAATTCCCGTGGAGAGAATCAAGTCGGATCCTGTTGCGCGGGATTTTCAGCTTCCCCCGCAACCTACACAGGTTGGTTGCTTCTTACGTCTCGGATGATAGTATTAAACCTTTAGCCTTTGCATTTCAGTACTGTGGTCGTGGCATCGTGGGTCTTCACCCCAGTTCGACAGAACTTTTATGAATTTTCGGTAGAACATCGTCGTATATCCGGTCTCAAACGGCGCCATGTTGAACATCGCTCTCTTTCGGCCTCAAACACACCTAATGGGTACCTCATACGACCCGCCGTTCCCGGTCCAGGTAGACAGGGCGGAATTAATGTCACTTGCGGAGTTTTCAGAATGGGAACCAGAAATCCAAGCTTGGTTACATGTGAATACACTTTCACCTATTTCGATAGAGGTCCATCCTCGCTGACGTGTCGTCTGGACTCAGTGCATCGATCAGCCAAGCAGATGGCCTATGTACTGCACCAGGTTGTTGTCATCTTACGCGTCGGATCGTGTTGCACTTATCGGTGACTCAGTAAGTAAATATGAAATAAATCAATCGCCCACTTAACGGAGGAAAAGGCACACGCAATGTTACCGCATCAGGCTTCGGGCGCAGGTCAAGCAATTGAGGTACTCTCTTCACTGTTGTCGCATTCCCCTGTTCATCTGATGAAAACTTTTCAGGATGGCTATTTCTTAGCGACTCTTCTCGGCCATTCACTTACAAAGCGGAAAAATATTCCTATAGCGTTGGCAATATATGATTCCGTTCGCCGTCCATTTGCTACTGACGTCTGGAAACGATCAGCGAGAAACGCGAGGTATTTTACTATGACCCATCAAGATTTCGAGTGGGACCAGGATGCACCAGAAGCTGAGGTATGGGAGAAGCTTGAAGGAATAGCGATAGTTATCAATGAAAGCTTCGAGTGGGCTTGGACGACCTCATTCAAAGAGATGATGGAAAAGGGTATACGAATGCTGGAGGCTGCTTAGAGGATAGAGTACATCTCGAATTTCGTATTCCATTGTTCATCCACTTAGCTCGCAGAGCATCTAATATTACGTAACACGGTGACGGGTAAGATGTGAGCCTTGCGAGACCTTTCAGTTTGGAAGTTGGAACTTTCGCATTAGAAATAGATAAAACGCATCTTAACTAGAAGGGAATGCCAAGGATCAAACCTGAGTTATGAGAACACGATTCTTGAATTCTCAAAAATCCCATGTGTTACCGCTACCACTACCAGGACACCACTGGAAGATGTGTCTGAACCAAACAACCAGTTCCAAGCTCAGTTTGGTGGAGTCTCGTTCGAGCTGAATACACACACTATTTCTTAAGCGTATACGTCTCTGTTGCACAAAGCAAATGCCTCACGGCGGTAACTATGAACTCGATCTATCCCAGTCCCAGTCTGGCGCACTCCATTCGGGCATTTCTGTCTCAAATGCACCCAAGCTCGTGGTATACCTCAATGCATGAAGAAATATATACAGCTTTTCTGGTTTGGGATCTGGATGAAGCGGCAAGTAGCACTCGGGGCAGTAATGCTGGCCAGCTTCCACTAACGGAATCTGCACCACAGGTGCCAATCCCTGCGCGCGCTCCAATGCCTCGTCCAGGGAAAATTGAGGTAGTTTAGTCTCTGGTTCTGCATTCGTAGCGAGAATGGCTTCATCGGGAGTTGTTGGTGTAATCGGGCTTTCTCCTGACCTGAACACGTTCAAAGTCTCATCGACGGACTCGGACTTCCCCTTTTTCCTTTTGTTACGTGGAGGCGGAGGTTTTAACGCCCAATGCTGCGGCCGTAATGGTTCCTTCGCGCGGAAAACGACATCTCGCCACCTGCTCCAGTCTTCAGATTCGTCCTGTGTAGCGTGAGTATCTGATTCAACAATCCAGGAGCGACATTCACCTTCATGTTTCTTAAACGTGTAATGATTCCTACAGCTTCACTGGAAAGTGGTACAGGTGATCCCATACCAATGTCGCGCCCCGTTTCTCGAGGTAAAAGTTTAGTTCCAGACATCAAGGCAGACGAGGCGCCGCCCTTGACCAGTGACTCAGGACTACCGTCGAGCTCGGTGCTGTCTTTAAGATGTGGAGGTGGAGCGGGGGCGGACCGCTCATCACTGGGAGTGAGATCAACGCCACCTCTTCCTAGGCCGGCGCCCTAAACGACAGACGACTTGAGAAAATACATGGTGACAAGGTAAATACACGAACCCAGATTTTGGTCTCAGAATACACAGGATCATTGGCGATGGGGTGTCCCAAGTATTGCAGGTGAACGCGAATTTGGTGTGCTATGTAATATATGAGATGTAGTATATTTCCTGGGATGATCTGAACATACAGCGACCCGTCATAGGCTTGCCTGACAAAGGTGAGCAACAGAATCATTGCATTTCAGGTGGCCGACTCACAAAGGACGACGCTACTGTCAGTTTTTGAGTCATATCGAATTCGAATGAACGCAGTTTTCGCTGGCTAAACGGAAAATTAATCCTAGAACGACAGTCACAACGATGTTACTCACCTTGCCTTCTGGATGGACAACGTTTAAACCCATCTGTCTATCGATTGTCAGCAGCGGCTCCTCGCAAACGACTTCTTCTCTACGGGACTTCAATCAGATGGATGGTTTGGTTCGATCGTAAGATACGGGACGAACTTGGGGAATTCTCCTTTACACCTAGCCACGTATTCTTTCTTTATGGTACCATCCATAAACTCTTTAGTCAGGGATCGAGCGCGCTCAGTGGAGGTCGGAAGGATCATAAGCCCTGAGGTCAACCTATCCAGTCTGTTCACAGCTTCAAACTGCTGAGATCAGTCGTAATAAGAGGAGATGAAAAATACGTACTGTATACCTTCTCCAAGCCAAACTCGGTCATGAGAATTTCTACCAGAGTATTCCGATAGTATCTCCCTGACGCATGTACAGGCTGTTAAGGTGTCAGACAAAGGATAGGACGAAACGGACAACATGGACGAACGAACGATGCTGCCAGGTTTATTCACGACGATAAACTCGCGCTCCTTGTCCTCGAAAAGAACCCTGACTGGCGTCGATGTCACGGGGGGTTCGTGGCGGTGGACGACATTCCTGGTGATACGTTAGCCATGGACGAGTGGGTGCGAGAAGGATGTACTCCATGAGGTCTCCATCTTGTATTATTGTGTCAGGCTTGGCGGGTTTGCGATTTAATGTAGTAACACCAGAATCTAATGCATATCTCTGCGGCATATACGTGAACAAAAAGTCAAAATTATCAAGGTCAACGACTCACATAGTATTCCATCGAGCGATCCCTAAATTCCGTAGAAACAACTTCGAGTATCTCACGGCCAATCCATCTTTCTTTCGCGTATGTACTATATGGGTACCAGTACGGCGGCACTTTACGCAAGCCAGGGGCGACAGGTGGTACTTGAGGTTCCACATCGGCCAATGTAGTGAGTACGAGACTTGTCATGACTCGACTGAAAAAACTGGAAGGCGAGAGAGGTAACTGCGGTAGCACGAATCTTGCGCGAGACGCGAGACGGTCGATACTGGGATATGCCACCTTGATGATAACTCTACAGAACCGACGTGCGAGGTGAAGCGTAGCCAGCGGGCCGTGGTGAAGAAGTAAAGAGACCAAAAAATATCTTTGTGGCTATGAAAAGCCTTCACGTGCCGAGCTGACCCTAACCCCAAGTCACTCCTTGTTCATTCCCGTCGTCTACTGCCTACATCCATATACCTCGATGTCTACAGCTCACAGGCCGACATGGGACCCAGCACAGGCCAAAGATGTCAAGGGAGGATCTCGTCAGTTCTCTGTGCGAGATATGGCATCACACACAAAGCTGAAATTTCGGTACGACATGCCTGTTCTTTTTCATGCCTTACTAGCTAATGCGCCGTAGACAAGTGGGACAGACATCAACAGGCGAGGTCAAGAAAAGAGATCTACGCGCTGAACTTTTAGCCGCGGAGCAAGAGGCGCGGAACAAGAAGCGGAAGGCTGAAGGAAAGGCGCCACTTGTAGAAGATGTACTTGCTGACGAAGATACCAACAAGCGGAGAAAGCTTCTGCAGGACGTTATTGCTCTCGACAAGGACGACGATGACGATGACGATACAAAGGGAGAGGACAAGGAGAAGGCCGACGAAGAAGAAAGGTGCGTTTCTCGCAAAGGCTGCCATCTCGCGACTTTGAATGTATCTTAGTGAGGATGACTCGGACGACGACGAAGATGACACTGCAGAACTGCTACGTGAACTTGAAAAGATCAAACGCGAGCGGGCGGAAGAGAAGGCACGACAAGAACGCGAACTGTCGGCGTCACAGGCGGCGTCGAGAGAAGCGGAAATTGCTACCGCTAATCCTCTTCTCAATTTGGCGGCTGCCTTGGGACAGGGAGCGCCTACTGGGGTGAATACTACTGTGCCCGGGACTTTCTCCGTGAAACGGCGCTGGGATGACGGTATGTGTCGGATCTCGTACCAACTCTCGTACCAACCCAGTCCGTTTCTCCAGACTTGATCTTCAAGAACCAGGCCATGGACACAAGGAACAAGCCTGAGGGTCAGTTCGTCAATGACCTTCTGCGGACGCAGTTTCACAAGTGCGTTTTTATGCATGCGTTCACTACTGCCTCTCATTTTCTGCAGGAAATTCATGGCAAAGTTTATCAAGGTCAGTTTGCTGAAATTTCGGAGTCCACGTGTCGCTGACCTATACTTCAAGTGATCTACATACTATATCTACCCATGAATTGTAGATTAGGCTCTCGCAGCTATATTGTACACTGAAGCGATTCTCCTATGTTCACATTTTTCTTCAAAGACACTCGCATAAAGATAAGTCAAATGTATATATTCATGCTCTGAGGCAGAGCTTATAAGGGCCAAGCGAAGTACCTGGCCGTTGATCCCAAGCTTCTACTTCAGTTATTTAGGAGGGATACGTATGCAGACATTATCTGCGAACTGAAGAAACGGATGATAGAGCTGGGGTAGAATTGATATGGGAGGGTTGGAACGTAGACATTCCCTCCACTAAGCATCCTTCATCAGTGACAGAGTCGAAGAGAATTTCTGCAAGATAGCGGTAAATAATCTTGGAGGAAAGTTTCAGATCTAAGTTTCAGATCCTAGAGGTTAGAAGTTGAGAAACCTGTATATGGTCCCAGTAAGGAACACCGGAGTTCTGTGCCACCACTATAAAGTGTCACACACCATGCCGCCGTGATGTCTACCGGAGTTTGATGCAGTCATGGGGACCATAAAAGAAGCAGGTGAAATATTATATTGTCACTGATACATTTATCGTAGACTTCAGTTCAGAGTCGTCGGAGGTAAATTGATGGTGGACATCCGGTCGGGAAGAGAAGGCAGTCTCAGAGGTGAATTCAGATACAGTGGCCATAACATGAGGACAGGGAGTAAACCCCACTCCCGGTGGAAAGTGTATTAAAAACAGTTACCCGGTTTACAGGCATGTGACCAGGTGGAACCACGGTATTGACATCAGGCAGAGAGGTACGGATACTTGGCAAGACAAGCCGGCGATGGCGTCGGTGTGTCGTGGGCAGGGCAGAGACACTGTCGGCGAAAATGCGAGCACCAGATTGTGGTAGAAGTCCATGCAAGAGGACGATAGTGCAAGGAATACATCCATGGAGGTTTATGCAGTGGGAGGGGGAACCCACAAAGTTTGGGCAATGCAGAGGCACAGAAATAAAGGGAAGAAACACTTAACATCGAAGCACGAAGCAAGTAGAGCAGGAGAAAACACTTGATGTCGAAGGATGAAGCAAGTAGAGAGGGAGAAAATGCTTGACGTCGAACGACGAAGCAAGTAGATGAGAAGAAAAAAAAAGTTTTTACCGCAGAGAAAAAACCCTTTGTAGAGATATCACAACGCTACCCAAGGAGCCAAAGAAAATAGGCATTTTCTCCATCTGACTTTTGAGCTCGCAACCGCAGCGGTCGCAACCATGAACAAGGACATTTGTTTCTCTTGTTCCATTTCCACCTTAGGTCCCCGTCGTTACTGATGATGATGAAGTCGCGTCCCATAGTAGTGGCCAGTCATAGATAGAATGTTGTCGAAGGCGGTCGTAGTCCTGCTTGAACCCTGGCTCATCCAACTCAATGCTCACGAAAGGTCGCTCGCTGATGCAGCGAATCTAGAAAGGACCGGTTCCTTCCGTCCGATATTAGAGAGTCGGACAACGGACCAATTACGTATACAGGGTCGCAAGAGTGAACTATTCTGCTTCAGGATTCTATCGCATTAATACTCCAACAAACATACGTCCCGAAGGACATTTGCTCTTAGGCAAACAACCATCCTAAAGGTGGTGAAAGTGTGAGGGACACAGATAAAAGTAAGATAAAACAGATACCATTACAAAGGGCTGCCCCGCAGTGGCAAGTAGTATGAACATCAAGGAAATTGCCTTCTCTTACTTTCTCCGCTGTTTCGGCAACAGTTTTCTATACAACATTGAGGACACCCGGATCAGAATTTTGCAATGCTCACTGACCTCACTGACCGGCCCCGAATACGAGAACGTAAGCTCTTCCCCTGCCGAGACGTCCTCACACGTGAATATGGCCAGCAGTGGCTTGTGCAAATTGGCATCATTGATGTAACATGCTGCCAATGTACAGTTGGGACTGCAGGAATGGTTCTGAGGTATGTAAGTCTGCAGGCCACCAAGATATTAGGGACATAGCGCACCAAATACCGCGTAAACTGTATGCAAGAAGGGAGTTATTTCAGGCAATAGATATGATGTAAAAGGACAGCGACTTGCGTTACCAGCATGATATGCATCCACTGAATACCTGTGAGCTTCGTTTATGCCTTCAAGATGGCCAAAGTCCAAGTCGAAAAGATACGTTTTACCCCATTTATCGTACGTCCTGACAATAACATCAGTCTAGTTCATGCGGTATGAAAGGGAGAGCTTGGCGTACATTCCGCGCACTTCAGCCTCCTCTTCGGTCAAGATTTCACCCGCATAGATACCCACAAATGTCCCTCTGGGTATTCGTTTAGTACCAGAGTAGAACACACCTAGAACACACGCTCAGCATCGCATGTCAGACGACCAAAGGCACATACCCCAGCCCTTTTTTTCAGTCTTCGCAATCTTAATCGGAATTTTCCTTCCGTTCTGGACAACCTGTTCAAGATCAACGGTCCGCTTCAAATGTCGCAAAACATCATCCACTCACTCGATTCCGGCAGTCATCTTCGCAACGACACAGGTCGTTGCATTCAAAGATCGGCACTCTTTCATCAAGACACTCGTTGCGTACCCGTCCCTGCGGATCGTATATCCAATCCTTCAAACCACTGTCTTCGGCATATCTCAACTGACGCTTCCTACACGCACAGTCTTTGTTCTTTGCGCAAGACCCAGGACAGTCACAGCACTCCAGTCCCATCATATCTGGCGGCGGCACACCCTTCCCGTGCCACATCTTATTCGTATAATGGAACTCCCAGTCCGGCGTAGGCTGGTCATCTATGAGATTTTCGAAAACGATGGGGGGAGCAAAGGGTTCGTCGTCTGCTGTATTTTCACGAATCATGGATTCGAAAACAAGTCGCATCGGAGGCTGCATCCTTGTATATAAAGGCATCGCGTTGATATAGTCTTGCAGCACATGCGGAAGGTTTTCAGCTAGAGGATACACGGGATGTGCGCGCATCTCTTCTCGCACATCTTCCCACCGACACACCCTGTATCCTCCAAGGAACAAAGGCCTTTGATCTTCCTCGGGTGTGTTGCTGGGTTGAGGAGAATCAAATCGTCCAACAGAAGACCTTTCGGAAGACGCCACAGAATTTTGTGGAGAAGTTCTTCGCGATGAGCGACGCAACGAAGAACGAGAAGAACGAGAAGATCTGGAAAGATCTTCTGCCACAGACTCTGGAAAGAGTTGCGCTCCGACGTCAATGATCTGGTCCTGATCATCAAAGGCGTCAGAACTGGAAGTCATGAAATTGATAATACATACTTTGGTAGAAGCCTCAGCCATTGGCACATCAGCATAGTCAAAAGAACGAAGAGAGTTAGCATACCTCTGAATTCGCATCAATATCCATCCTGTCATTTAATTTTGGTGGTTGTTGCTCAGGCTCATCATCTGGCATCTAAAACGACAGAATAAGCTATCTGAATTCCGCGCTATTAAAGGCACCGACCATATTGAGAGAATCAACGTATTCCAAAGACTGTTCAGACTCAAGTACCGCTGGTGTGCCTTCTTCAGGAGTTGCGAGAGTCAACTGGGATAGACCTTGGGTGTCGGACTCAAGCATAGACTGCGTGATATCATCCAACGAGCTGTCCACTTCCATAGCGTTCCCCGCATGATTCGAAGAGGTCGAAGCTTCGGGCTGACGATCCTTAGACGTAGACGCAGAAGGCTGAGAATCAACCGCCTCACCAACGACCTGTATGGGAGACTTGGGTGAAGAAACAGTTTCTGATGCATTCAAGTTCACTGGACTGGACACCATGATTAGACAAAGATATACTTACCAGGAGCAGACTTCGCTTGCAACCATTTCAAGGCATTCATCAGTCTTCCGCCTTCTGCTCTGGCCGATGGGTGGTCAGTAGTGCGGGCCTTGCCAGCCATGCTCTTTGTCTTGCGAGGTAAAGGTATCGGCTTCGGAGGTGATCGTACATTGTTGTTGGCATGCGCTTGGACAATTGCATCGGCTAAAGATTGCATTCCTTTGTTCGGCGAAGATAAGGCAGGAGACTAAGCGACATGAATGAGCATATGCATTTAACAAGGTTAAGAAGACATACACATCGAGACTTGTCAGCCCTGTTTCCTGCTAACCGGGAATGAGAATGGTCCTCAAAGAACAGCTGAGACTTCAGAACATGTATCAGATACATCATCTATTGTAAAGAAAAAGTGCATACACTCTTGCGAGGGGTGCTCGGTGATGCTTTAACTGAGAGAGAAGAAATTTGGTCAGTATGCAGACGCTTCGAGGATAATCAGTGCCCAGATGATGTGGCTGAGAGAGGAAAACCTTACGTGCTTCTTCGGAAGACTTGGAGTGGTGAGAGATCCTTTCACGGCAATGGGATTCCTTTCTTCTGGAGTCTGGGCACGGGAGATTAGTGGAAGGGTAGTAGATTGATGGCTAGGCCGGGCTTTCCTAGGAAGCGGCGGGAGCGGGAGCGGCGGGGCAGAGACTGAGGGAGCAGGGGCCATTGAGTTCAACTCCAAAAGAGCACCGGAAGCCCCTTGCACGGGATCCACTTGCTTCCGTATTGGAGTCGCACTTGAATTTGCTTGCGGACCCACCTCATAATCTTCATTTCCGATGTCAAGAGATACAGCCAGCTCGACGGGAGGACCCGACGGAGACATAATGAGAGGCTCGTCGTCTAAAGGCTCATCGGGATCATCTAGGAACAGAGGCTCATCCAGGATAATCGGATCATCAGGGATACCACCCCGATTAGAGCTTTCATCCGATTCGTCCGTATGCAGTGGAAGGGGAGGGTTCACTTCACCATCGTCCAATGCGTCAACGTCAATGATTTCGATTGGGGACTTTCGTCGCTCCTTGGGCATTGGTTGGAATTTTGGACGCCGACCTTGGCCTGAGTCACTTGATATTTCCACGATGGAATTTGCAGGTGACACCTTCCTAACCTTGGCCTTTGGCTTCAGTGCCGGTTTTGTCTTGGTGACCGGTTCGTCATCGGAATCGTCAGAAATATTGATGATTTCCGCTTGAGCTGGGGGACCATGAGTTTAACCGCAATATGGCGCGAGGTAGAGCTGACCTGGCGGAGGCTGCTTTACTTTCTGGGTAAACTGTGAAGACCCGGGCTCTGGCAGTGATGAGGAAGATGAAGAGGACACTATGTTCTGCCGCTCCCTCTCCACGCGGGTACGCTTGACAGGCCTTGTCCTTGCCATTGAATGCCCTGCACCTCCGGTCGATTTACGCGCCACCTGAATGGGTCCATGACGGGATCGCGCCATGGTGCTTGTGCTCGAGATGGGCTGAGAAGCAGCATAGGGCGCTTTCGATGGTCCCGCACTAGCGTTGCCGGTGTTCCTGGATGAGAGTTTATTTCGAGCTGCGAGGTGGCTTGACAACGTGCTTGGGTCTACAATAAAAATTAACATAGAAGGACGCGTAGCTGAAAATACCTACGCGATGACGGCGGCTTGGTACTGTGACTTATGCGTGGGGGTGGCTGCGACAGTGAAGCGAAAGGACGGAAAGGTGACTCTAAGGAGAGATCAGACATTTCTCAGGAAATATAATGAGGCGTACTGATTGGTCCCGGCCGTGTTGAAGCAATGGTCACGGCGCTTGCAGAACCTACAAAGATAAGCATGACCGATATATGCGTGCCAACTCACGACAGACCTGAAGTTTCTCCCAACTTCGACCGTTTCTGCACATTGCCAACAACTGACGGTCGCGGCGCCTTGCGTTTCTGGGGTGCGGCTGAGGTCCTGTCGTCCGCCAATTCGTCAACAGATCTGCCATCGAAAGACTCGTTGCCGGAATCCGAAGGTTCTAGAGCGTCAACTGAGAAAGAGCATTGCAAGTAGTATGGAATAAGAGAATACCAGGCTTCGTTGTCCATTCAGGAAGTCCGTCAGGAAACATGCCGATGTAGTCCACACTAAGTGACGGTTGTATTTGGCCAAATCCAGAGAACCAAATTCTCCCACTGCCACTGATCTCAACTCGGCATGGATCGATGCGTGGCTGTCCAGATCGTTTATCCACAACGATCATCATGTCAACTAAATTCAACTTCGTCTTTTTCGCCCCTACGACAAATACAAGAGCCTCTTTCACTCACCGGTCATCACTGGCAACCAAAGCTAGGGGTTTTGCTCACTAGTTATAATGATGTCCATCCCCTATGTAAAATCTCTTTAAGAACGAAATCAATTTCGCTAGAAATCACAAATGTATATTAGTTTTTCTATCGTTGTATTTTGAATCTTGCTTTAGCCACCTTGATAACAGCATAGGCCAATATGCGATATATCACCATGCTCACTACGACTGCACCAAGATTGAGGGGTGCATCCATGTCAAACATCTCGAGGACCTCTTCACCACTGCTTATTGCGCAAGAACCATCGGACCGCCTTTGATCATCACTGCAGGTGAAAGTCTGTCCACGGAAGGCATACGGAATGACATTTCGAATGACATATCCCAGCGGCGAAAGCTTCTTGAGGCCTTTGAAAAAAGGGGGCATGTCCAGACTCATTATGCCTATATTATTCAGGAATAAGCGAACGGAGTGCGGCACCATGACGGTTCACCTGCCATGAACATCGCAACAGAGAGGACAATATTGGTAACGTTTAGCGCTAGTCCCGTATTGTCATCGAGTATTGTGTTGAAAATGATTCCAAGAGATTCTCCGGCATTGACCATGCAGACCACATTCATAGCTACGATGAAAAACATATCGATGGCGCGTGAGAGATTGATGCCTTCCGGGTAAGTCTAATCAACCTGCTTGACTTTCATCTAGTTTGACTGTAGCTATCGCAGTATACTTCGTGGGTATGCTTCAGAATGTTGCCGTTTACCCAATGGAACGAGATATTTTCTCCCGGGTGTGTTCAAGTTGCTTGTCATTGAACAAAGACCCAGGACGTTGACTTCCTATCCAGGAATACGAGGGTGGCGCATACTCTATTGAGTCTTTTTTCTTAGCCTATATGCTCTTGGAACTCCCGGCCGAAATCGTATCTTGCTTCATGTTCTCAGCCCTTGCAACCATCGCATTTCTTGGATGCATCCGAGACGGTTCTGTATACTGATATGACCGAGCGGAGAAAGGAAAAGGCTGCATCCAACCTAAATAGACTGAGCAACCAAAGGATATTACGTATCAAGAGAAAACATACGCCTACACCAACGATGTTGCCAAACCGGGCTTCAGCAACAGTCGACTGTCGGAGAAACACAAGGCAGCCTCGTTTCAGCAATACCGGTAGCGCGGCGACTGGTGACATTCTTCTCAAATTTCTTCAGATTGTCTAGTGAGCTGCCCGCACGCCTTTCCAACCTCGACCCCTGGTCCCGATTGGCAAATCTCTCGACAAGTTTGTTCACCTTGGCGGGACTCAGCTCCTCCTGTTCTGCTTCGCGCAGGTCAACAGAGACGACGTCTAATGCAAAATCGGTTAGATTCATAGTTTGAGGGCATTTGAATCCCATTGATTCCATATACTCCAGCATGTTACTTGCATGTCCTGAGTACGCCACTCTCCCACTTTTGATCATGAGAAGGACGTTACCAAAATGCTTGAACAACTCCCAGGAGCTCTGGTGCAGTGTGGTTATTATTGTTCGGCCTTCACCTGCAACTGTCGTAGCAGATCCATGATGGACGCTACAGTAAATGCGTCCAGTCCAGAGGTAGGCTCATCCAACCCACGTAATTCAGCAAAGGACAGCATCAGACATACCAATGTACTCACATCAAGATGCGAGGCTCTGTCAGCGCTTGGATCGCAATGCTGACTCTGCACTTCTCCCCTCCAGAAATACCCTTCAGTAACTCATTGCCGACGAGTGTATCGGCACAGCCCGTCAATCCCACCTTCTTCATCACCTCACCAGCCTTCTGCAACTTCTGTTCCTTTGACATCCAATTCGGAAGTCTAAGGGCAGTGGCGAACTCTAAGGTATCGCGGACAGTAAGATATGGAAGGAGAGCCGTGTCATCCTGAGTCACATAAGAACATAGAGTGTCGATGATGTCGGTGTTAACTGGACGGTCATTCAGCTTCAACTCTCCTTCCACAGTGTATACCATCCGAAGGCTGGATTTCCGATGCTGTGCCATCAAGTTCAACAATGATGATTTTCCACTCCCGGAAGGTCCAAGAATGACATTGACTTTGCCGGCTTCAAAAAATGTGCTTATGCCTTCAGAATTTCGAATCGTTTTCCTCCACGTATGTGAATACATAGAGAGAAATTTTCGAGAACAACGTCAACACTGACCATCTCCGTGGCTGTCGTGGAGGTGTCAATGGCTCTAATCTGCCTTTCTTTGGTATCCTTACTTGACGATTATCGAGGACGACCAAGAACTGCGACGTCGACGGTGAAGAAATGGAGAACGGATATTTGAGCAACAGCACAGAAGACGACGAATCTTAAAATGGCTAAGATTGGAATGGTATACCAATTCCGGTATGGAACACTAAGTGATTGAATGACGAAGTCTCCACGGTAGGCGATACAGTCTGGATCGGAACGTGGATCACCCAAAGGACAATCGAAAAACCGATCTTTGAACTCGTTGTTGGCAAGGGCTGTGAAACCGTAGAATTGTTGGATAAAATCAATCAGAAGGTGCTACAGATATTATCAGTCAACCCACCAGATGTGAAATCTGTTTCAACCAACGAAAATAAACTGGGATGCTATCAGCTTGTAGAAAAAAGCCGCTAACAAACATATGCAATGTAAAGGCCAGGTTTGAAATTAACGTGGCCACTGCAAAATCCCTCGACATTGAAGCCAAGAGACCCCCAGACATTACCGATGCATGATGCACGAGGAGTGCGATGGCGTAGTAATAGAAGAATCGGGAAGCGGATGGGGCGAAGCCGATAAGGTAGTAGCTGATGACTGAGTATATCAGGGGCCCCGTGGTGTCTTCTAGGAGGGTGTGCGCAATGCGATAGCTGACGACCCAAGGCAACGCTCTGACTACACCTTCGCCATGCTCGCGATCGAATATAGGAAGATCGGTTGAGGTTAAGCGGCATATCTCGTACATAGAAACGAGATATCCCTGCAATCCAATGGGGATATAAAGCGCTGCCTGACGGGAACGAATGCCCGCTGTTGAATTGGGCAGGTGGAGAAATATGAGCCCTACAACTAGTCCCATCAGAACAGCTTCGATCCAGGACGTCGACATTCCCAGCGGATCGCGGAAGTTCGTCTTCAGTGTTCGTGAAACCAGCGTGAAAATGATCCGAAGGAGAGGCGGCTGAGGGCCACGAGTATGGGTTTGAGGAAGAAATCCAGATAGAATATCTAACTTTATGTCTGGGAAGCGTACCATCGATTCTTGACGCCATGCTGCAATAAGCATGTTTACGCGTGCTCGACCGGCGTCCTCTGCCTCTTTTGTTCACACATCAATGGCAGCGATATCAATCAGACAATTCGCAGGGTTTACATGCGGCTCTGGTGACGGTAGCCAGTCTTTGAACCACGTAGTAGCGTCTGCAGCAGGGCCGGAGTACAGGGTATGTCCTTGCGCTAGCAATGTTAACCTATCAAGAAGGAAGAAAACCTCCGAGCGAGGTTAATGGAGCGTCATAATTATGGTCCGCCCTTTCCTCGCGAGGCTTTTCAGAGTCTTGACTAGATGGTAGCACTTGTTGCGTCCAAGCCGATTGTTGGCTCGTATAGAAAAAGGACGGACGGATTGCCAAGGAGCTGAACTCTGAGGCTCAGGCGTCTCCGTTCTCCTCCTGAGAACCCCATTCTCCGGAAACCATCCCCAACTAATGTATCAGCACATTCCTTTAACCCTAGCTCGAGAATTATCTCTTCAACGAGAGTATGACACCGTAGATGACCAATAGAATCAGGGAGGCGAAGATCCCCAGCGTACATGGGTATTTTGCAACGGTCAATGTGGGTAGAAGGATGTCGGTTTGAGTTACATAGGCATGGGCAACTCTCGACAAGGATGTCGAATCATTGTAGAGCAATTGGCCTTGGATAGATAGATTGATCCCTTTCACTCGGCGAGATAATACGTTTTAACAACGTAGTCTGTCGAGAATGTCAACTTCCACAGATTCAAGATATAAAATGACCTGCTTTTCAAGTCAAAGTCAATACTGTTGATTATTGTCCGAGACATCAAGGCTTCCTCATCTGAGGAGCGCAAGCGTTTAAACCAGCCCTTTCCTCCAGATTTCGCACAAACAGCGAGCCTTTTGACGCACACATCCACTGGTGCAACTTCAGAGAGTGACAGTGTCTCTTCATGTGTGTCCGTCAAATACCAATCTGTACCTGCTCGGGCGTGGTCAACGAAGTCTTTCGCCTTGGAAGAGGAGTGGCTAGAAGAGCGCCTATTTGTTATGTGTTGAGAAAGACTTATAGAAACACTCAATCTCGACAATGTCTAGCCATGATGGTAACACGGTTTGCCTCAATCACTCAGCGAACCACTCAGCTCGTCCGGCATCCGATGGTCTGGTAGAAACATAAAATGGACTCATATCAGACCGGAGATTTCTGGAGCCTAGATATGCATTCGGAGTGAATGAAGAGTGGGCGCGAGTCTGTGACAAGAATGGGGAAAAATGCTTCGGACCGAGAACTTTTTCATGCAGTCAGAAATATCTGACATATAGCTCCGTAAACTTCAAAATAGGTAGCATCTGAATCGCCGAACCGATGAAATAGTGACAGACTGGACAGCTAGCCACACAGGATACGGCTCTGGAGATGCAGTAGCTGGGAATCTCAATGGATAGACACAATCAAAAGTCTTGAATATGAATCATGTAGGCGTACACGTCGCAATTTTCGCATTGATGGCCGTAACAGCATAAATATCATCAGATAACGGAAAGAAGCACTGGCAGTTGGAAGATGTGTGAAGGGGCTAGGTTCATCATGATGCCGATGAAGAATGACACGCCGCACAAAGCCAATGACAGAGGACCTCGCTAGTGCCTCCTTATCCTGGTCCTTATTTGATCTGGGCAGATAAGTCCTGAGAATTGAATACGAAGTGCCTTCGCAATACCCATGTCATCGAGGCTGTAGTGCGAGGCCGTTTTTCATGATGGAAGGTGTAAGGACTAGAACAGAATGCAATGTGGGAAAACCGGTCAACGGTTCCGAAAACTGGAAGATACTGGCTCTGCCGCGGGGGGGCCATCTGCGCAAGCTGCACTGAAACCATTGATCTGGAATATAACACCACGGAAAGGCGATGTCAAATTGCAATGATTGACTATTTGATGCAAGCACTCGGTGACATCCTGTTATGTTTACACTGCGTGCGCTTCAAACCCGGAAAATTCATAAATGATCGTGGTACTCACCTGCAAACCCGGCAAGTAACTGCTACTTTTTAGTCTTTTTACTTTCCACGAAAAGGACCCTCCGCTTCACTATCGAACCGATGAATAAAAGCAAGGGCAACAATCGCTCAACGCACCCATAGGATCATACTTCACCGCAGACAGGAGAGGTCCCTGGCGAAGACGTTTGGTCGTGTAAAAGAATCCGGTTTGCGCCGTCGATATTAAGCGAACAATAAGCGACCTATAGAATCGTATAAGGTCAAGGTGAAGGGGAGAAAGAAACGGTATTTACTTGGCCTTTGCTTTGGCCATGACGGTGCAATGTCACGGTATATGTGACGTACTGACCTAGTACGGCTAATACGACGTAGTGTGACTAGCCTGGGCTCCCGTCACCATCAATATTTCAATTGTTTCCCCACTGTCCAGTTGCGCGTCGGACTCGGAGATGTCATCGCTGACTGGACCGTTGAATTTGCAGCACACTCGAGGCGGAAGTTCACGCGTGATCCAGGAAATCCAAATGTTTCTTTGATATTCTGCTAGACTAGACCGCGAAATCAAGTTCCAGGCTATCGTCCAGGACATTCTCGAGCCTTCACTATCATTATGTGCTTCAGGCCATTCCCCTGACTTAGGATAGTTAAAAGGTGGCCAACGTTTGAGGGAACGGTGTTAACAAAGACTCAGCCACTTTTTGAAGGCTCTACGGCTTAAGTATGTCGTCTGTCACCCTTTCTCGCATCGCTCTCCACTCTCTCCGCTCTCCAGCGCAAAGCCGGTCAATATGGGTCCCAGCAAGCGTGAAACCTCACCCTAACACAGATGTACGTTTGTATTTCAAGTCCGACTTGACTCGTTGATTGACGCGAACTTCTTTAGCACTTTCCCTTTAACTACCGCAACAAAAAGTCGTTTGCTGTCGGCTTTTACTCATATCTCGGTTTCGGTTTTGCCTTGCCGTTTGTTGCAGTTGCTTGGCAATGGTGCGTACTATCGTATCTGAATGGGATCCTTGTGTTCAGTCTCATGTAGGTACAAGCCCGGAGGCCTCAAGAACTCTGCTTAGACGTTAACTCATCCGTTGAACCACTAGAGGGTGTAAATTACTGTAAATTAAGACTGCTTAGCCGCAGAACCATTAATCTAGAGCTTTTGTGCATGCCTTATTTTTTGGCTTAGGATGCTTATCCTTCCAGTCAACGGTGGGAGTTCTCAACCCCGATTCATCTCTCCACCTTCAGGAACAGAGATACCACTCTAGTCCTGTTTTCCCCGATGCTAAGCTCTGGACTTGCCGTAGAAGACGGTGTTACATTATTTTCATATTCGCTTGTGCGCCACGAGAGTACACTGCCCTCCTGAAAAATTGGACGGTAGCCAGGGGCGCCGAAAATAATATTGTTCACACACAGAGTGGCCTCTGGACAATTCCGATCCTATCACAATTTCGGTCCCAGGATGGGAAATCATGCCGAAAATGTTGACCCCTAGCCTTTTCATCAATTCTTAGTCATTCCTCTAGAAAATTTGTATAGCTCACCCTCGTATACTATAATTTCGTTTTACCAAGCCCCAGATTTTTTTGTGATCCCTCATATCTTCAAATGGATTCAAGAAAGATGGCATAGCCAAGCCTGCCGATCCAGAGCCGCAAAAACATGCAGATGACCGTGTCATTCACATGTGCGAGATGAGGCTTGCTGCATATCCATTCGTAGCATGAATGACGTACTTGCATTCCACGGATCCGCGAGGCATAACCAGTGACCAGGTGTTACGACCGGTGTGTTGACAGAAAGGACAGGTGTATGAATGTGAAGAGAAAGGTAAAAATGTCGTTCAGCCAGAAGATAAAGTTGGGTCGCAATCTTCTGAGGCCATGCTGCTGCAAATGGATCGGTATAGGCACCTGAACTTCTGCTATATAGTTCGCAGTCCACCAATTGATCCCAGTCACATCCATTCCCCCGGCTTTGGCGCCATTGTAATCAGCCTTGTTAGAAAAGTACTCGTCTTCCGCCTGGATACTGTCCCCAAATAGAATGCTAGCCTCTTTGAGAAGGTCATGCCTTTCTTGCATGCCGATAGTGAAATTGTAGCTATGGTGTTCCAACAGCAGACCCCGTAACGCCTCGTTGGTTCCGTAATCCTCCTGTAGCTTGACAATAGACGTGCACGAAGCTGCGGAGAGAAATCCCCCATTACGTCCTGGAGAGAGACGATGAGCACAAAACAATGACATCCCAGTCACCGAACTAACCAGTAGCTCCCGAGCCTTTGCGTTTCAAAGTCAGTACACATTACAAATTAGGTGTTCAAGCGAATCACAAAATTCTCTGTCTTCTAGCACAACAACCTTGAGATAGGGAGCGATCTCTGACTGAGATAAATGATATGCAGCGCTGACGCCAGTCAAGCCAGAGCCGATAACACAGACGTCAGCGCCGGGAGTGAGTGGATCATTGCTACCCATGTTACAAAGAGGATTCGGATTATCATGACTGTTGAACCAAAACGAGGAAGTCATGTTAGCCACAGGAAGCGCGTGGATCCCAGATGGAGGATCATCAGCAAGAGCGTTAAGAATAGTAGATAATGAAGAAGCGATTTGGAGGATGAGATTTCGAGAAAACATCTCCAATGTGCTAGCATATCAGTCAAGCTTTATCAAGCTCTTATAGTGTGAATCGGCGTAGCGGTGGGATTGAACAGTACCCATCAGAAGAAGGATGTCTTGGTGGTGGCAAAGTTTTGTACTGGAAACCATGACTTTCAAAGGATTCCAGATAACGGTAATGATAGGATAATAGTGCTGGAGAAAGTGTGCGTACCTCACAGAATACGGGTTCATCCCTTGCTCATGTTGAGCATGATGAAGTTAGGTGGTGTCCTTCTACTTCCCTGTGCCCCAAAATTTGAAACGACGGTCGTAGCCTTGGAACACATTGAAGGCAACCTAATAGCCTATATGCGGTAGATCCAAGGTAAAGGGGACCGTAATGGAAAAAACAGCGTGTTCTAGCTAGGCCGTTTCAGAAATTCTACAGAAGAACCTGATGGGATGACAAACGAATGGCTATCGTCTCGTTACGGTGATTTTTCAACATCTATTAATGTTCATTTGGCAGTCAGTCGAGTCGAAACAAACGAGAAAGAGAAGAAGGGAGGTTCGCGTTCAAGAGACACGTGATCGCGTTACGACACTATTGGGACTAGACAAATGCTAAGCCCTAGGATGTCGATAATGATACAAACTAGGGAATGATATTCAACGAAACATGCTATTTTTACATTTTCCGTGTTCTCCGTCACGGCGATAATGTCACAGTCGCACTATTATCACTGAATGGAATTGTATAAGCTCCTGCATCTATGCTCGGACTCTTTGTCGGAGTCAGCATCCCAACACCACCCTGGCCGCTTACAGTCTGGCTCACCACCAATCTTCCATTCGGCGCCGCGGCTCCTGATCCAGCTGCATTGGCAATAGTAATCACAACCGTGTGCGTCGACGGGTTATATGTCACTGCAGTGAACGCTCCAGCATCCAGTTTCAGCATCGCAGCAATCGGGGCAATGAACACCTTCCTCCTTCCAGAATCCTTGACTTGGACCTTCACAGCCGTGGAAGAGGACGACGTCACGGTCCCGCCGAATGCCTGCCAGCCGAAATCTGGATGTTCGATGAGGTACATCCCAATACCCATCGAATGCCCGGAAAAGTTTGGACCGTAATCACCAGAGTACGCGTCCCATTTGAGTGTGTCTTCCCATGAGTGGAATGACGCTGATGCGAATCCGCCTTGGTCAATGTTTGACATTGGACCGGAGAGACCAGCGAAACCGAGTCGAAGAAGGAAGTAGTCTGTTGGGGATGTCGTGAACTCTGAGATCAGTGGGAGCGCATTTAGACCAGAGCCGTAATGATGGATCTGCCGTTCGATGCGCTGAAGCTTTCCTCCATATATGTTGTCCCTAAATGATGTGTTAGCTCCCAACAGATGATATGATATTATAAACAACGTACCAGTACCGTCGCGCATTTCCATTGTATCCCCAGTGCGGAATGAGAGGCTGATACGCAAGGATCGAGTTCAGTGTCCTTGTTGCCAAGGCCGTTCCGCCAAAATATTTGCTCCACAGATAAACTCCCTCTTGGCCGGTCGAATCCCAAGCCATCTCCGAGCCGAAAGGGAACTCCTGCGTAGACCAAACGTTGAACCGCTCCTGCATCCTACTCGTCAAAAGTGACGCGTCCTCCGTCCTCCCTTCCCTCGTAAGATCATCCAACAGGAAACTCAATACTGTTTCGCCCATCAAGCCATCTTCCCAATAGCCCACTGTTCCATCCGTTAGCTTCGTAACAACAGCTAGTGCCTGGTCAAGATACCAAGTCGAATTCTGCACGGAGACAAGGGCTGGGTAATTCCTCGCGACGCGGTACATGGCCCAGTAAGCAGCTATGACGTGGACATAGTCGTAACCTCGGCTGGTGTCATAAGACTCCGCTCTGTTCCACGACCACCAGTTTCCCCAGTCAATGGTTGTCGGGTAATTGTAACTCGGCACCAAGGCAGGTTGATAGTAATAGACCGACTTTTTGACAGTGTCTAATAGAAAATACGTCAAATCCTGTAATAATGGATCAGCCATGAACTGACCATTCGCATTCTGCAATAATCCATTAACTAGCTGGGTCATGAACTGCTCCATCTTGGCCACTTCGGCAGCATTCGGCTGTAAATACTGCTTCATCGCAGCCGCAAGCCATGATCCAGCACCAGCCTCATCGCTAAGACCTGGGATCCATGCACGCGGATCATCCTTCACGATTGCATTCACCTCTCGATCATAACTGATCACTGACGGTGCGCGTCCAAATGGATCGCTATAGTCATCAAACCACTGTTCTGTAGTAAGGAAATTACCGAGGTCACTCAGCACTTGGACGGCGTCACGGGTGACATAGTAATTAATTGTTTGCAGTGTGCCGTCTGCGTATGTGATGGACAACCTTGATCGACCCCACGTATGCGGGGTAATATTGTAACCAATCCAACCAGTTGTCTTCGCATCTGAATTAGATGTCCAAGATAGAGCACCGGAAGGAGAGACAGAGATGGACGACACTGCAGAGCGATAGTTGAGGAATAATTTTCCGGTCTGGTCAGTTGGGAGAATGTACCCCGGAACACCAGCTGCAACAGGATGATCGGCATGAATGAGGGTGTTTTCAATGCCGCGAATGGTGTCTGCGAGGATGAATTTAAGGCCGTATGTACGAGATTGTCCAGGTCGAAGAGTGAATGACGTCGGAGCATTCCAGGGAGTGACGGAGGCCCACTCATTCTGGGCAAAGGCTAACGTATGGAACTGCCATTCGTAATATCCTTCAAAGGTCTGTGATTGGTAATCGTAACTCGAGTCGCTGTAGACCTCGGGAAGGAAATGCCAACCTTCGAAGGGTGACGAGGCAGCCGGGACGAGAACGAGGGGGGGAAGGATTCCTAGAAGGGGAGTAACCTGCACGAAGCCTGCATCCTGACCGATGTATGGATCTATGAGGCTGCATTCGTTGTTGGTTTCGTCTGTGGTGCGACCAGTGAAGATCTGCGTTTCTGAGTACATAGGAAAGGAAAAAATACAAGGACCTACGCTGTTGAATTCCAGAGGCGCACCCAAGGCACCTATCTCAACTGCCTGGCTCTGCGGGTTCGAGATGTTGAATCTCAGTTGCAGAATCCCGTCCTCGACTACCCAGCTACGCGTGACATCGAGCAATGTTGAATTGAGGGTAGGCGCAAGATTTGCTGCGGCAAGGGTCGTTCCCGAAACATTCAGGGCTGTTACCGAGCTTCGTTGGGTCACAGAACTAATATCAGTCCATGCTGACGTGCCGCTGGGTCGAGCGCGTATATTTATGTCGCCAACATGGTTCTGTCCATTATCCGCGCGCTGTGCCATGTAATCAGAGGGCATGAAATCGAAGCTGGAATTGGTGGGCGTCAAGGAGTATAGGGTCTGAGAGTCCTTGACGAGCATCATGGTGAATGTCCCGGTGCTGAATGTCGTGAATCCATCTTTTATGCCTAGGGTGTCTGCAGAGAGGACTGTCATAGGACAGAGACATATCAGAGCTATCAGTGTCGGTATCATTATCCTAACGTTGGTTGAGATAAGGATAGCCTGTTCATGGTAGAATGCTCACCTGTAAGCCTAGCTGGGAGCGTTGACAGGTAGCGAGATTCGTCCAGACATATATCCCTTCAAAATTCTCATGCCGGCCAGCAATGATCCATCGTACATGTGCTAATGACGAAGTATAGTCTTGTACCCGTGGGCCGTCAATCCGCTGCATTCTGCAACGATACCGCATGATTTGTTCCGAGAATTACGCCGATATCATGGTACCTAGAGAAAGCTGATTATAGGACATCTGCTAGCGCTGCTGCTGGCCGGGCCGGTTTGGACGTTTGTGCACGATGTTCATTTGGCACTGGTGCACATGCTCTGCGAGAGGCCTACATTCATTATCGACGAAGGGTTCCTGGCATGACAGCTCTCCGGTGGATTCGGGTTAGACGGTGCTGTAACAAGTTTATGCGCCCTGGGACGGGTAGACCTTGCTTTGTCAAAATTGGGGCCATCACTTCTATGAAAGTCTGTTTACCTCGTGATTATGCGTCAAACGAAATTTGGAGAATAGGACGTCCGAGGAGGTCAGCATTAGAAAAGCCGTCCAGCTTGGTAGTTCACGAACAAGGCGGGACTAATTTTCTCGCGAAGTTCGCACCACACGTGAACGGTGGTGGTACCGTGACTGCAATCCATTCATGTCGTTCTTGAAAAGCCATGACAAGCAGTTGTCGAACTGGTTAAATATCTGCTTTCTGGCAATGGCATTTTCAGTGATCCTTTCGTGCATAAGGCCGTTTTTCTGCCATCAAAGCTTCTGAACGAAAACACCGAGATAAAGCCAGTGCCCGTGTATGCAACGCTACGACAGTTCACGTGAAGGAAGGTGTCATTAATCTCATGGTCTGCCTTCTACAGCCAAAGTCATCCGCCTGAACTCTCCTGATCATTACGATAGTGTGAAGTGTGACCTTGGGATGGTTTCCTATCCGGAAGACATAGCTATCTTGACTAAAGGCGTTCGTTTTTCGGTAAACCTCGCAGAACGGGTCCGGGCGCAAGGATATCCCATCAAGACGTACCATTGTCCGAGTTCAGACTCTGAAGCTGACATCGAGAAGTACATTCGGACATACGCAAGGAGTGGGTACCACTACAGCTCGACATGTCGGATGGCTCCATTTGATAAGACACATCCGGGTGTTGTTGACGACGAGTTACGGGTGCATGGCTTGCGGGTTTGCGATGCGTCGATATTCCAGGATGTTACGGCGGCTCATCCAATGGCACCTATCGTCGCCATTACGGAGAAGTGTGCGTCGTCAATTAAGAGAGCGCAGGCCAAGTCGAAATGAGTGAAAGCACACTACTTATCCTTACTTTCCTAATCATGTCGAAAATGATTCAGTGTTACGAGGCCTTATTATTGAGAATTCTATCAGTATGCTTGCATGATGTCGATGCTATGTCTGATCTCTGCGTCTCGCTACATCCCATTCTACCTTCAACTCAACCGCATGGGGATGGGACGAGCAGGACTGCTGTTTTGCTTTGATGGCAAATACCTAGAGAGAAATGAACTTGGAAACGGACAGCCTTGAATCTACTTACTCTTTCACTTTTACTGACCGCAACTCGCATGGCTGGATGTTCTTCCTCTGCTCAGATCTAAGGGCAATAAGTATCGAATATGGGGTACACGATTAGTGCGTGGTATGGCTTGCTCGAGGCGTAACCTGGGCAAGGAAGAAAATCATAGAGGGAGTTGAGTGCAGGAGCAGTAATAAAATTATAAGACCTTAAGACCTTGATAAAAATACAGATAATTGGTTTCTATGTGTATCGTCCTCGATCACTCTCCAAATTCCCCTTCTTCCGAGATTAATTTCTCCACTTCGAGAGCAGCCATACATCCGCTACCAGCGCTGGTGATGGCTTGTCTGTATCGTTTGTCTTGCACGTCACCGGCAGCAAAAACGCCCTTCACAGATGTTTGCGTAGTCCCCGGTACGGTGATGATGTAACCATCAGGGTCGGTCTGCAGCTGAGAGCGGACGATCGCTGTGGCCGGTTCGTGGCCTAGACAAGATGTTAGGTTACAACCTCTGGAAGTAGCAGGGCGTAAAGGCATACCGATGGCATAGAACAGGCCATTAACAGGCAGATCCTTCTCTTCATTCGTCAAGACGTTCTTGATTCGCAGGTTGGTCAACAGGTCTCCATCACCTTGGCACTCAACGGCAACAGTGTTCCAGAGAACGGTCTACAGGCGTTTGTGTTACAAGATAGAATTGTGCAGAGAGCTGGTGAAACAGACCACTTTGGGATTGTTCAAAAGCCGTTTTGCCATGATCTTGGATGCACGGAGCTCATCACGGCGGACAAGCACGTATACATGGGACCCATACTTAGTAAGGTCTGCACACTAATCAGTACATGGAAAGTAGACTGTTGTTGGGACATACAAGTTGCTTCTTCCGCTGCTGAATCACCGCCGCCAATGACAGCAAGAGGTTTGTTCCTAGATTCCAACCAAGGGTTAGCGATGTTCCTCAAGTCCGAAACGGTCAATAAACTGACCGGAATATAGGAACAGCTCCATCGCAAACAGCACAGGCACTGATACCGCTTTGCCAATATGTGGACTCGCCTTTAAGGCCGAGACGTTTCGCGCTAGCACCGGTAGCGATGATGACCGTGTCCGCCGTTTCAGGTTCCTCATCCTCTTGCATTTCCCTCCAATACTGGAACGGACGTGCAGACAAGTCGATCTTGGACACGGTCTCAGTGATAATATTGGTGCCAAATCTGACCGACTGCTCGCGGAATTTGTCCATGAGCTCAGGCCCTAATATGCCCGTCGGGAAGCCGGGAAAGTTCTCCACTGCAGCTGTCGTGTTAGCTGACGATACAGAGCGGCCAAAAAAATAGAACGTCGGTACCATCGGTCGTCGTGGTAAGCTGTCCTCCTGCAGCAAATCCGTTGGCCATGAAACCCTCGAATAACACTGGGCTCAGGTTGGCTCTCGCAAGGTAGATGGCGGCGGTGTGTCCGGCTGGACCAGAGCCGATAATTACCTTCATTGTCGTAAGCCAGTAGAGACCGAATTCCATATGGATCTACGCACAACTTTTGAATGCATTTTCGAGCTCCTCTCGACCTTTCCGTTGGTGACTGGAGCCATTGTAGTCGTCAAAGTCCGCTTTTCTTGTAGTGAAATGGGTATGGCTGCAACGCAGTAGCGCAAGTTGGGTATGAGTCGTGGGAACGTCGTTCTGATAAAATGCGATCGCTGGACACTTTTAAGTGAATTTGCCAGCGGGCTGAGCAATGAGTCACGCAGAGGGAGAAGGATCACGGGGATTATATTTTGTCAACCCTGGGTAAGCCGTCCGGCCCGATTCGGAGCTGCTGAGCCTTTTGGGTTTTAAATTTCACTGTTGATTGTTCATACTTTGATGAAGATATTCTGACGTTAAAGTTCCAGATGTTTCTGTTCTGTAGCATCTCAACAGCACTAGAGAAAGGAGGGAGGAGATACAGAGCAAGAGTCTGTCGGCATCTTCTTCGGCATTGCTGGCAAGGCCCTGCCGATGGGCGGAGATAGTCTTCCCCGATAGTGCCGCGGCCGATGCATTCATAATTTGGTCGTGTACACGCTAATCCGTCGACTGCACAAAGTTCAATAAGTAGCCAGCACCATCTTTCCAGACGCTCACTGCCTTTTGCCGCTTGAACCACCGGTCCCGGCATTGGTCATTCGTCCTCGCCACGTCCACCCAGCTCTGTCCGCCGATGCCAAATCTAGCCGTGCGTCCTCACGCCGTGCTCGAGGTGCAACCGGATGTACCGCGCTTCACATTATACTGCATTGAGCCTTCCCGGACAATCTGTATCAATTTGTACATATACGAGACTTGCAAATACCACCATCAAGTTCTCTGCAACAAGCCATCGTTGCTGTTCTGTTAATTTCCTATTCAGAAAAGCTGCACGCTGCAAGTCTACCAAAGTAACGCAGCGGTATCATTTCAATCTATCTCCTCATGCAATATTCAATCTACGTGACTTCATGGCTTTCATCTGAATCTAAACTTTCTATATCAAGAGGCGCCCTACGAGATGACCTCAAACTCGACCTTGCGCTCCTCACCACAGTGGCCCGATGGCTGGTCGTCCTCACACTAAATCGTGCGCTCATCATCACAGTTTCAGCTATCGGTCGTTTCTTCCGTGGAGTAAACGAGAATGCACGAGTGAACACTCGTATCGGATAAAGCAGTCTCGTCACAGCTGGTCGCACAGGTGGAACCACAGGACCCTCCCCTATTTCATTAATCTCTCTCTTCCGTTTTTCATTGAGGTAGAGAAGCATCATCACCCATATTGTAAGGGTAGTCAATGGGAGTGCGACCGCAAAGTATATGGGGATGCTGACATGCATCTGTTGGTCCCCAGTGATCTCATGTGTATTCATCCCGAATAATGCCTGCTTCATCGTCAGATTGGGTTGCGCATTGTAGATCAGTTGCTTACGGCACAGAATGATGCAGGAAGATAAAGCATGGTGATATACGCGATTTGTTTCATTGCTGCGAGATCATTTAATCGGACGTAGATTGAAAACGAAGAGCCTACTTACCAGCACTGTCACGCAGTGCCGCCTCGCTCAGCCGCTGCATACGTTTGCTGTCTTCGATTGTTACGCTACTAAACGCCTATATTCTTAAAGTAAGAAAAGGGGACCAAACCCAAATCAGAGTCAAAACTAACCAAACCCATAGCATTCCTTACACGTTCGTCCAGCATAGCCCTAGTACCCTCAAGCCGTTTGATATCCATAAGAAGAGTATTACACTCTTTCTTAACGACGATCTGGGAAGGCAAGTCTGCGGGAATGCCCGGATGGGGTGTGTCCACCAGAAACACTACCGTTTTCCTGAAATCTGCCAGCAGCTCCTCGTAGTGCAGCAAATGCGCCCGCAAGACGTGTAACTGGTGTATGTACGCATGTGTACGTTCATGGGCATCCATATTGAGCTTGGGCGGTGTGGGACGTACTTCATTAGGGTCGCGAGGGGCGGAGGTAGGATCCGTAGTAGTGGCAAGTTGAAGGGATGGGCTAGGCTTTGGTGCTTCGTATATATGAAGCGTCGAAAGCGTGTGAGCTTCGAGCCAGACGACTTCTGTTGTAAGGGCCTCTAGGGCTTCGTCCCATGCGTAAAGGGCATACCATAACTGTGCAAGGACGAGTAAGGTAGCATCTGCAGAGATACGATATAGTTTCGTCCAGTAAACGGAGCGACCTAACATCATAATTAGCGAGAGGTTCATCTGAGATCTATAAGAATTACATACCTGTTGCCATGATCCTTGCATGTAGACTGTCTGCTGTTGTAATACGGTGCTGAAGGGGAGGCGGCAGATACGTTATCACGGTGCTAGGACTTGGATGATCGACGGAGCGGCGAACAGCGTGTATACCAATTAAATCATGATCCAGGAGTATATCTGCATGTCATGAGCTGGTAAGATGAGGCGGGCAGCAAATGGCACGCACTAGAACTTTGTAGAAGCAAAGGCTCGTCGGTATCAATAACTGCCTCCTTGCTGAAAAAATCTGAAGGTATAGAAAAATCATAGGACGTGTCGGGTATCGTACTCGTACTAGCAGGATAGCTAGATGGCGCGGGTGTAGGTACGGATGTGTCGATGCGGTTTGGTCGGGTAAGGACAAACTTCAATGTCAGGGTTATATCTTCAAAATCACTTAGGCCTCAGAATCACTGGAAGAAGCGTACTCACGATCGCTCCGTCCTGGAACTAACTGTTCCTGATACCAGCAAGGTATTCATCCGAGAGAAGAGGAGAAGAAGAAGGGATCGATAGTGAACCTATAATCCTTTTTGAGTATGAATAATAAACAATGTAAAGGAACCCACCGTGTTCCGAGCATCTGTAACACTGGTCCGTTCAAGGTGTCGACGAAGAATGTTTGAGTCCGGGTGTCCAGAGGCGCCTGGCAGATATATTAGAATAGGAAGAAAATAGTATTGAAACACCTACAGGCTTCGTCAGCGCCTCCCAGAAACAGTTTATACTGTCCGTATCACCGCGAACAACCCACCCCGGTTCCCGGCTCGTCTTCGCATGGAACCTGCCTTCCTTCAGAATATTCAACCTGTATATTATGCAGGCAGACAACCCAAGCATGGGCCGCACATGTCTGCCTTGGTTCCCCCGCCGCGGATGTATGATATCGCGTATACCGCTCTTCTTCTGCTGACCCCTTGTCCAGTTCGGAAAGAGGCTCTGAGGGTACAACCGCCAGTTGTCGGCTTCATTATTGAAGGGATATTCAGTTTCAGACCCGTGAGTCTGTCGTCGTGGAGCGACTGCTGTAGAGAGCTGCTCTGGATCTATCTGTATATATTTTGTTAAGCCAGCATTACGTGACTGTTGGAAGTGTACTGACCGGATCGTTCAGGTCAATAAAAGGCCAAGGTCCACTAGGTGTTCCGTGTCTGTTGGGCATTGCGATATTCGACTGGAGGAGCTGTATTATGAGGGGACATCATGGGAGAGGACGTGAGTGATAATCATCATCTATTTGGAACAGGGCGCCTATCACGCGAGCGTTTGATTCTTCAAAAAAAGAAATTGGCCGTTTCATTTATGGTACACAAGGAATACATTTACCTATACCCCATTACAATTCTACAACGCTCGTCCGCATAACTGTATAGCCTACAATGCAGAATCTACGCTAGGGAACATACTATCTGATAATGATCTTGATAGCCACTTGTGCAACCAGGCACCCTACGGCCGCAGTATTAGGCAGGTCAGCTGTAGGAAATCGCATACTGCAAAGGACAAGTGTAAGCAGACGAGGCTACAGGGACCCAGACCTGGCTACAGATGTCGAAGTCGCTGCCTCTCCCGTCACGCTATCACTCAGTTTGGCGAGAATGACGTATAGCTTCAGATGCATGGTATTTCCCCATAGATCCTCCAAGAAAAAAGCTATTATCAGCACTGGTGGCACTGGGAAAGGCATCATCGAGAATGATAGAGGCCAGTAGTAGATTCTTCTTCAGGATCATGGCTGATGATGGCAAGACCAAAATTCGCGACTCTTCGAGCAGATTTTGACCAGAACATGCCTGTAACCAGAGCGGGGTGTCACACCGAGTCAGACTGCAGCAAGTCCTCAGCATACAGTGAACCGCGATCCTAAGTCTACTCATCTGGCGTTGTTACTGATATCCCAGACTTCGAGTACTCTGAGAGGCGCGCTCAACGAAAACCACATAAAGGAAAAAGAGGCGACGGTGAGGGAAGGAGATGGGATGGGAACCGACTACTCAAACAGTGCGGTTGCTCTGCCGGCGGCAACATAACCTCTTCGCGCCTACTCAACAGAAATACTTATTCCCCGAGTGCAATACAATAATAGGTATAACTTCCCACTACTATGCTATTTCGATAAAATCATCAGCTACCGTATTTAAATTGTATATTTGCTGAAGGGACGATTAATGGCTGCCAAGCAACAAGAATGAGATTTCCTCGCCGACTGCTACTCTTACATCGAAATTATCCATCCTGCTTTTATTTTAGCCAACGTATTCGGTATTCTAGTATGGCGGGTAGGTGTCCAAGTCTCGCCCCTTTCAATCTATTCGATAAAAGTAACATCTCAGTGAGTCCTGTTGTCTGAGCTATCACTATTCGCTAAAGTAGAGCATTCTTAAAGACAGTGGCAAGGAACTGGCACAAATAATGGTCGCACTCGTTTGGATGAAGCCGTCGTCAGTCAATTTAAGTTCGTGCAATGTGTTAGTTGCCATGCACAACTATCTCATACACTTCCATCAGTCTACATATTGCGAACTACCTTGATACCTTACGCTCTGCCAGAAGGTGTCGAAGAATTGGATGAAATGCACTGGGTGCGGTTTCCGCGTGCTACCAGCGGATGGTCGGGCCCTTTTTCAACCTATCGGCCAATCCACGACGCCAACCTGAACCCGGTTGAAGAAGGCGATCATCGTGTGCTGAACAGGCCCAGACTGAAGATGTTGGAAATGACGAATGCAGATCTCTTTTGCGAGGCAACAAACGATGAGCCTCTTGTTTTGGTTATAAATGAATTGCGGTCAACTCTAGTCAAGTCCCATCTTCAGCATTCACGGTTCACGTCAGGCTCAATCGCTTGCCCAGAACTAGATGTAGTAATGATCAGAGCGATCCTTGGAATATCGTCCTCTAGACCGACAGAGCGCCTCGAAGAACATATCAACGAGATACTCACCAATGTTAAGGTGAGAGCTGTTGCTTGATGCTTCAAGTCAATAATGGTCTACGCTAACTTCATACAGATTCCGCTTCAAACCACCAAGCTCATTTTTCCCGAGGAAATCGTGCTGTCCAGTGTATCTTGTGAAGATCAGATTCGAGAACAGCTATTCAAGTGCATCATCCCTTTGATAAATCACCTCTATGCAGCTGCAAGCTTTCCTTATCGACGGTTCTGCAACAATGACCCGGAGATGCAAGCTGCTTTAATGGATCTCAGGTAGGCATAATTACCAGTCACATCCTTATTGCTGACAATCTACTGTAGGGATTCAGATGGTCACCTTGTCCGCCCTTTATGGTCTAAAGTTGACTGTTTAATAGTCAAATTTGATCTCATTTCCCAAAAAATCGCCAGATCAAAATCGCAGCGTTCACCACACTCAAATTCCCTGGGGACCTGAATTTGGCTGGACATGCCGTTCATGTGGTATGGCCAAGAATGTTTTGCCCTTGAGCGGCGAATGTTTGCGGTGGCACATTCCATGACGTTGATGGGACAACTAACTCAGTCTTTGTCAAGATGACGCGTCTCACCAGGGATGAGGGAGGACTGACTCTAATGGCAGAGGCTATGGAACATGAATTACAGGTATACAAGGCATTACACCATATTCAAGGTTCTATTCCTCGGTTGTATGCCTGTGCCTATGTCTACAGCTGCTACAGTGGGAGATCGATACTTGCCTTGGTCTTAGAGACCGCGGACAAGAATAGTCTCACTTCCCTCGATATCTCGACATCGACAGATGACGAGAAAATTGCCATCAGTAATATCATGTATGCCTTTGTATGTTGTTTTCTTCTTCCCTTTGGTGCCAACAATTATAATCCAACGACGGATGGCTCCACAGTGATATCGTCTACTCAACTGACACTCATGGACGGAAGAACTTTCGTCTTCGTGACCTATCCTTAGCATAGCGATGGCACTGCGAGGATGATAAACGAAAAGATCACATTGAACTAGATAATATGTTGGATCTCTATGACGATGAAGATGACGAAGAAGATGACTGTGAGTTCTGAGTATTTACCATGCCGCTTTGATTAAATCAGCCGCTCTCTCAGCCACGATGTAAACCGCGAATTGTGTATTTGCTGACGGGACAAATGGCTACAGAGAAGTCAGGAGTCAGAAATCATAATCCTAAAAGAAAGAACGTCTCACCAAGATAGATCCATCGACAACGCGAAGTTTTCCGGTCCCTTTCACTCTCAAATCTGGATCAACAACTCCGTGCGTGGCTGCTTTTGGCGACATACTGGCCGTCGCAACGATATGGCCATCTGGAGCAGAGTTAGCATGGATGAAGGCTTCCAGCTCAGCGTCTGTGGAGCTCGTCGTGATGTTGTTCAGCGAGTCAAGAATGTATCCGTCCCACGCGCGTGTACCGAGAAAGCGCTGGGCGCTTCTGATACCTTCTTTGAGGGCGAATATGTCGAAATCAGTGCTGAGGGCCCCAAAATCGATCAGAGGCTGGTCAAATCCATCTGTGGTATTGAGCAGTATACTTCCCCCTGGGTGGAGTGAGCATGATTCAACTGCCAAATGGAACCGACTTACTCGAAGTGGGTGTGTTCAGAGTGACGCTCATGGACATAAAATGACCTTCCGGCGGAGGTGAAATGTTACCGTTCTTGTACAGGTTTAAATCACAAAGTTAAGAACAGAATCAATGCTCACCGATGTGCCAGATTGGATATGAGCCGTATTGGGCCCAGCGGCTGGATCTGGAGAGTTTTCGAATATTGTTGAATTGCTCAGAATCCTCGTGTAGATGTGATGGCTGCCAAAACCATTCCCTAACAGTCCAGCACCACCTGTCTCGGTCCACTGAAGGAGGAGCTCATCCCTTCTCGTCACGTTGCGAATGACATCGTCAAACGTGTCTGTCGAGTTCACAAAATATGCAAGATTGAGCATTATCATAACGGAAAGATTCTTCCCAACGTCTGGTAGATCAACCAGAGTCTCCAAACCCAAAGCCGCGAGGTCGCTTGCATTGCCAATACCGGAATTGAGCAATAGCTTTGGAGTTTCCAAAGAACCGGCAGAAACGATAACTTCTTTGGACGCTGTCACTTGCAGCCGCGGCGCTGGTAGAGGTGTTCACTAAAAGAACTCCAAGAAGTATGAATCATACTCACCATCCCGGCTTTCTGCAAATTCGACGGTGAGAAACTCTGGCGGATCGGAGGCGGTTTGTGATAACCGAGTTACCTGCGCGTTCAGCAGAACATGCAGGTTTGGACGTCCGATAAACTCTGGCCCTAAGTATGAGGTGTAAGAGCTGCTTCGTTTACCATGCTTTATGGTTGATTGCTCCCAGCCTATAATCAAATTACACATCCTGATTCACTGGAATGAGAGAATTCGACACACCGACACCGAGTTGATATCCGGAATTGGAGTCGAGGTTGAAAGGAAATTCTTCGGCCAGCTCCTGAGTCGTCAGTATGACCTGGTTCTGGATCGCAGAAGGGAAGCCTGCTAAGCTAACAGAATTTATACCATGAAAGCCATGAACGGCAGGGTTGAATTGGCCCGTTATATTGTGATGGTCAGTCGGCGGTGTCCAATGTTCATTCTAAGCAATTATCATTTTGCGATGAATAACTCTGAACCGTTTATTAACTTTACGAATATATGGCTGAATTCCGTTCCATCTACAGGACGATCAGCAAGCAGACATGGCAAGGATATGTGGCAAACGGACGACCAGCCCGGGTCTTGGGTCACATCTGCATATCGATCATAATCTTCAGATGAACCGCGAAGGTATTCCATTCCGTCTATAGGGCTATAAGTAAATGCTCCTAGTTTCCTTCCGCCAGAGACCAAAAGCTACTTACTCATAGAGGAGCAGCCACCTAGAATTCTTCCCCTAGGATAATGTAGTGCGCGCCCATTAAACCCCACCTGACTGACGGCCGTATAATTCCAGTCCCAAGGGTTTTCACTTCGGAGGAAGATATTGAAGAACGGCACTGTGTGATTAATCAAACCTTCGGGCCTGTCCGCCACGCCGTTAGGTAGTATCACTAGTTATATGAATACAACACACGACGGTCCAGCCTCCAAGACAAGAACAGAAAACGATGAGTTTTCTGTAAGTCGATTCGCGACAACGTTCCCTGCAGTCCCACCTAAGGGAAGCAAAAGTTACAACTTTACGCACAACAAAATGACCATGTGTACGTACCACCGACAATGACAAAGTCGAACGTTAAGTTCTGCGGTAGTTCTGCGAAGCTATTGTAGATGGCACACAGACTCGGTCTGATAAGATACAAAGCCAAAAGCGCTGCCAAAAATCGCATTGTGAAAAGTTTTCGAGGCAGGCAACCTTGGGGGAAATGATGATACGAATGCATAGACAGGAAATCCTTGTAAGTACGTTTTTAAAGCTTGTGACATGCCCTATGGGAAAGTTAGAAGCGGCGGATCTTGACCGAAGAAACTTGGTGCACCTGACAGGAAAATTCTCAAGTCAGTTCGTTAGAGAAGGCGCCGGAAATGTTGTCCGATATTAGTAGTAATAAGTCAGGACATCCCTTTGATTATAAATCGATACCGTTATTGATGTTTCGACGATATGCCTCTCGAGCCGGTCATAAGAGGAGGAGGGAAAGTAGTTTGGGATATAGTTATCGAAACATCGGATATACACCGATCAATGTGACATGATGAATGCTACAGGTGCTAATGAGCTAGAAACAATGCGATGGTACAAGAATGGATTGTATTGAAACAGGTAAGGCTCATCTGGAACGGAGGTTAGAACATGCATATGCCAGTGAGGTTCAGGAACAAGCCAGGTCACCGCTTCGAGTCAATGTCATGGGACCATCCAATACACCATTTCGTCGACCTTTCACCCAAGCGTAAGGTCAAGTTATAATGAAGCGTCACTTGTACATACCTGCACTTGATGGATGGTCGCCACCTGGGCTTAGAACTCGAAATTTTGCTGTCGGCGTAGTACGGTTAAAGTTAAACTTAAGGAAAGCAATCGGTCGGCTCTTGCCGTTCAAGTTCTTGAGCCTGCTTTGAGAAGCGTTCCTTAGTTCAATCCATGCACGGCCAACATGATCTATAACGGTGGATGTTGGTTACTTAGATTTTCAATATTAGCTTTAATTACTCGAGTCTGCATACTATACACTATACTTACATCATTAGCGGAAGAGGCTAACAGCTCTCCACCGTTATTCGGGGAGGCACCACTCGCTCTCAGGCCATGTGAGGAAGAAGAGATTTCGAGGTACAATTGTGTTGACAAACTATAATCAATCACGTCAATCCATACCATACGGGCTTAAAAGTACCGTGTATTAAAGGTTAGAGTCGCCCATCTATCGCATGGGGAAGAAATAGTTACACGGATTAGGTGTATAAAAAGATCTTCTAGATGAAAAGATGATGACGCAAACAACAGACATTTTTAAGTGATATACCGAGCTTGGTATCTTCGTGCACCTGAATCGCTGTTAAAATTAAATGTACGCCTTAGTTTCTGCAACGACTCGGAGATGACATTCAGTCCAAATCAACGGCAGCGTACACTCTTTCTTTCTATATTTCCTGCCGGGCAACGCAACAAAGAAGAACGATACAACCAGCCATTTGTTTGTTAATGTCTTTGAACTTTGCATCCCTTGGATCTTGAATTGCAATAAATACCATCAGAAGCTCTGCCGATGACTTCAATGCATGTTCCGAAATGTCGTGGCGTACGCAATGTGCCCAGATGCGAATTTCAGTGGAAGCAAAGCCACGCTGGTCGAGAATGGTGCTTCCGAAAGGAGATTTGGGTATTACGAAATGGGAGGCACAGAGGAAACCTGATAAGGCCTCTAGCACCCGTTGTCGGAAATCGAGGCCGTGGTTTGTGGTAGATTCCATTTCCGTGACTTGTACCATGAGCCATGAGGTCCATTGCCGTTGGCCAGTGGCTCATGACGGGGGTAGAAAGTTTCATGCTAGGATCTGTACGAGACAATTCCATTGCACATCGATGCACGTCGATGTAATGTACCATAGTGAGAGCGGTGGATGCGGGGGCTTCAAGAGAAATGCGTTGAAGATGACGGGGAACTTTGAGTATTCTAAAATTCTTGGATGCAGCAGATAACATCGAGGGACAAACGCGGGCATAGATACTTGCGAAAGCTATCAGGTTTCGAGATTTGATGAGCCTGAACTCGAAGACATTTTCCCTGCAAGCCATGATCAATCTTCGGCCTAGGGGAATTGAGGGATGTCACAAACAGGTCAAACTTAGTCCTTCACATTTGTTGTATACCCGCCAATTTTTTGCGCGAAGCCCAAAATTGGCGCCAGCGTCAAGATATCGTTATATCCGGAAAATCTTGTGCCAAACCAGTCTTACAGTGCCACAAGCAAACACTTGTTATTGCACAGGTACGAGACTAGGAAATGATTGACTCAATTATTTGGAGATGTGAGTCCCACTGACAAGAACTCAGTTCTGTGTTGTCTCCCGAAATTCTTGATCGTTCAATCGACATAAGGGCGGCGGGCCAACTACCACGCAGCTTTAATTAAATCCGCACCTCGCTCGCCAACCATATACACCGCAAACTGCGTATTGGCCGAGGGAACAAATGGCTGGAGTTTTCTCATCAGATTTCCCCATCACCGACTCCAAAGTATGTCTCACCAAAATAGACGCATCCACTACACGAAGCCTTGCGATCCCTTTCACCCTCAGATCAGGGTCTACAACTCCATGTTGAGCCCCCTTCGGTGACATACTGGCAGTGGACACAATGTGGCCATTCGGAGAAGTATTGGCCCGAATGAAGGCCTCCAGCTCAGCATCAGTCGAACTGGCGGTGATATTGCTGAGCGGGCCGAGTACGTATCCATCCCATGCGCGCGCGCCAACGAACCGCTGGGCGATCCCAATACCTTCCTTGAGAGCCAAAACGTCGAAATCAGTGGTAAGCAAGCCCAAGTCAATCAGAGGCTGATCAAAAGCGTCAGTTGTATTGAGTTGAATACTTCCTCCTGGATGTGTATGTTAGTTAGTCCAGCGCACGACATGTGCGAAATGCTTACTCGAGGTGGGTGTGTTGAGACTGAGGCTTATGGTCATGAAATGTCCTTCAGGGGGAGGAGAAATATCGCCGTTCTTTAATCGTTATGAGTTAATTGGTATACAGCGGTAGAGTCAGGACCTGCCTGGATACCAGATTGAATATGCGCCGTATTGGGCCCTGCCGCTGGGTCAGGATTTGTTTCTAAGGCGGTGGAGTTTTTCGAAAGACGCGTAAAGACTTGGTGAGTGCCATAGGGTCCGATTCCCAGAGGTCCATCGCCGTCTGTCTCGATCCATTGACGGATAAGCTCGCTTCTGAGAGTTAGATTGCGAATAATGTCATCGAAGGTATTCGTAGAGTTGACAAAATAAGAGAGGGTGAGCATAGGCTGATTAGAGAGATTCTTTCCGACATCAGGAATATTGATAAGGGTCTTAATGCCAAATCGCGAGAGCTGGTTTGGATCTCCGATGCCCGAATTCAACAGAAGCGTTGGTGTCCCGACAGAGCCAGTAGAAATGATGACTTCCTTGGTGGCTGTAACTCTTTGACGGGGGGCTGATATTACAATTTCGTCAGAAACGGTCACAAAATTACTCATTCGTAATAGCTTACCATCTTTGTTCTCAGCAAATTCAACTGTAAGAAATTCCGTAGGGTCGGAATTGGTTTGTAATAGTCTGGTAACTTGCGCGTTAAGCAGTATGTGCAAGTTCTGGCGTCCGACAAACTCTGGTCCCAGGTATGAAGTAAAAGAGCTGCTGCGTTTGCCGTGCTTGATGGTCGACTGTGCCCAACCTATGATCAGATCAGCGACGGACTAAATCTAACAAAAGTTTGACAAACCAACGCCAAGCTGGAATCCCGAATTATAATCCAGGTTGAAAGGGAACTCGTCTGAAAGCTCTTCGGTGACTTGAATCACGCGATCTTGGACAGTGGGCGAAGGAAAACCTGCCAGACTGACGGAATTTATCCCATGAAACCCGTGGACTGCTGGGTTAAACTGGCCAGATGTATTGTGATTGTCAGTGGGAGAAGTCCAACGTTCATTCTAAAACCATATCAGGGCAGCACTATAAAGCCTAGAAATGCGTTACTTTTCGGATATAGGGCTGGATTTCATTCCATCTAACGATCATTGCTTGAAAACATTGCGGCGTACGAAGAAAAATTGGCTTACGACCAGCCATTATCACCTGTGACATTCGCATATCGATCGTAGTCCTCCGACGATCCTCGTACATAGGCCAGGCGGTCTAAACAACATTGAGTTCACGCAGTTTTGAAACCAAGGATATCTTACTCATAGAGGAGCAGCCTCCCAGAATCCTTCCCCTTGGATATTGCAATGCGCTACCATCGAGACCAACTTGAGGTACAGTCGTATAATTCCAGTCCAAAGGGCTCTGTTCTCTAAGAAAAATGCTGAAAAATGGTACCGTGTGATTGAGCTGTCCCTCGGGTCTGCCGGAGCCGTTTATGAGCCAGTCGGGATACTTGTATAAATAGAAATAACGAACGAAGGACCAGCTTCCAACACAAGGACGGAGAAGGAGGGGTTTTCAGTGAGTCGATTAGCGACGACATTCCCAGCAGTTCCACCTAGACAAGGAAAGGGTCATGAGACTGCCTGGTGTGAATCAGGCATACGCACCACCTATTACTATAAAGTCAAAAGTCAAGTTTCGAGGCAGCTCGTCGACATTGTTGTAGATGTCAGCTAGGGCTGTCCCAGCCAACGACAAGAACACAAGAGACAGAAGAAGAAGCATATCTGAAATTTTGCATGCTTGAGTCTCTGAGAAGACGTTTTTATACCTCTGCATTCTTCATTCTGTGCAGAGCCTGTGACAGTTCCATGGGAGAAAGATTCTCTGAAGGTATTCCGACGGAACGTTAAAAATAGGGCGTCGAGTGCACGACCAAAAACAGAGTCTCCCAGTGGAAGAATAATGATCCAGATGAACTTTCTTTAGATTTATTTGACACGACCATCTGTGAAAGAAAAGTCCTTGGGGGCGAGAAGAAACTGGTGACTTGCCAGGGACGCGTCGAGTTTCCGTTATTTGGCAGTCACGGTACCACCACCGTTCACGTGTGCTGCGAACTTCGCGAGAAAATCAGTCCCGCCTTGTTCGTGAACTACCACGAAGGCCCAGAGCACCACCCTGCATGTAAGTTAGCGGTACGGTTCCGAGATTCCATGGATACGGATAGCATCTTGGACAGAATGATTGCCCGTGTTGCGCCGTGGAACCCGACGGGGTTCTCCCCTGTTCAAATATCTCAATATACTTCGTGTTTCATTGTCCCGGAAAAGATTGTTTGTTATCGGGCACTTCAATTCAAATCCGAGGTATTTACAGGTTGTACTTACCTAGTTGGATCTGGGCTCACCCCCCTGCAGGCAGCACTGCTCCCGTCATATCTTACATGAACATGAAACACTTATCAGACGTTAATTCATCCTCCTCAACTTGGGACGGTCGCAGAAAGCAAGCTAGACGGCTTTTCTAATGCTGATGTCCGGGGACGTCCTATTCTCCAAATTTCGTTTGACGTATAATCACGAGGTAAACAGACTTTCATAGAAGTGATGGCCCCAATTTTGACAAAGCAAGGTCTACCTGTCCTAGGGCGCATCGGCTAAACTTGTTACAGCACCGCCTAACCTCCCTTTTCTTCCAAACCCTTTCGTCCTGGCAAGGTCCCTTTGACCCTTTTCACCTTTGCCAGTCTTCGTGATGAAGTGCTCGTCTTTCTTGTCCTTTTCTCTCTGTTTATCTCTTTCATGGGCCCTCACGAATATAACGATCGATGATACTGACATCAGCATGATTAACTACCAAGGAACCTGGGATAATAGCAGCAGCCATACGTCCTCGTTGGACTACGGGGGTAGCCATACATTGAGCAGTGAAAGCTCAGCTTCTGCTACCTTCACATTTACAGGTGCATCACGCTAGTGCCTAATTTTTTCGTCGAGTTCTGACGCGTCTTCTCCCTTTCAAAAGGTGTCGCTGTATATTATCTTTCCCCTTTGTGGCCGTACTGGGTCAACTCAACGATTACGATAGACGGTGGGGATGAGACTACCCTCAACCTCACGGATCCCGTCGCTTCAACGACCGAAGCTGGCGGTTCAGAATCATCGCCGTATGCTGTACGGTGGGGCAAGACTGGGCTGTCAAACTCTTCGCATCAAGTCGTTGTCTCGATGGCGCCGTCAGGTAACTGGATAGTCGTGGATGGATTTATGTGAGCGTACTTGCAGCTTTTTGCCTGAGCCTGTGCTCACCATTCTGATAGTTACACTGTCGATAACGGTTCCGAGACTGCCACGTCTTCTTCTGCTTCCGCTTCTTCTTCCGCTTCTGCTTCTGCAGCAGCAACCAGTAGCTCTGTCAGTGGCAACAGTTCGGGAACCAATGTCTTGGGTATCGCCCTCGGTGCTGCACTTGGTGCCGTCACCCTGTTGGCAGCCATCGGTATCTTCTTCTTCTGTTATCGACGGCGGCAAAACACATCCAACACTCAGGCTACGCTCGACAAGCCATGGGATGATATCGGAGCACAAACATTATCCACTCCATTCTCTCCACCCGCACCGTCTTCAGACTTCAGGTACTCGCACGTCTCTACCAGCAGTGTCAGCGGATTCCTTCCATCTCTTCCCGTGACAGCGGCGTCTTCCACGTTCCCACTAATGGCCGCTGCGAATTCCTCCTACAAAGGACATGCCGGCAGTGGATCCGTCTCTAGCGCGGTGGTGCCGTCTTCACATCCATTGATGGTAGCCAATCCCGGTCATGAGAGCACCCCTTTCACTCCCTATCACGAGTCGCTGTATGCATCATCAACGGGCGATGTCAATTTTGCAGGATTAGGCACTGGAATGGCCACAGAACCTGTTGCCGGTAGCAGTACAATGTCGATGTCCTCGTCGCCGTCACAGCGCTACGCAGATGAGAAGAGAGCGCAGAGCAGGGTCGTTGCGGAAAAGCTGCCTCCACCTGCATATTCTGAAAATTAGGATTGATGCCCTCCCACTGTTTTTCTTCGCCACCACCAGCCACGAACCCATGTTTTACTTCGTGTTCTTCGGGTACCCGCGCTGTCGTACAGCTGTTTATTTTATTTTTTTGGGGTGATTCATTGTCAAAGTGGCTTTCACGTTCATGCCCATTATTTGCATTCATTTATTTGTACGGACATAACTATACCGCACTAAACTATTTATTTGGCATTCGGTACACTCGTCAATTTATGTCACTTATAGAACATTATGATGACGATGATCCGAATTGGTGACCCGCAACACGCCTCGTTTAATGGGCTAATATAGTGCTCTACTATGTACATGTATACTGCTACTCCTTGTAATACAGTTTTACTGTTCAAATATATGGAATGTGTAGCTCTCGGGTAAAATTCAACGTTGCTTCTTGGACTTGTGGAACACAAGAAGAAATGGTGATCCTCATGGATGAAAGCAATTCCTCTACGGAATGATGATTTTCCAGATGCAAAGAGGTATGACAGGCCCAAATCCTTCCTTATGACAGCCCACATCAGAGTCTTGGCCATTAAGTCGGTACACAAGGCTGAGAGAAACGAACATGCACCGCTTCAGGCACCCTTCACCAGTTGAGAAGATACGCCGCCGTCGATGCACCAATCATTTTGTTCTTGAGGGTATAACTACCTATTTTCCTGACATCGCGCCTGCAAAAAAAGTGTTGGGTTCTTTGGCGCATAACCACGCAAGGCTATACTGAATTGGATACTTTAGCATCATCGATACCAGACCAAGCGATCGCCCCGATGTACAAAAGATGAGAGTCGTCATTGCACCCAAGATCTTCCCGGCATTGTTCTTTGCAAAAATAACCAATGGCATCTGCCACATACGCTACGCGAAGCAACGATCGCACTCTCTTAGGGGTCTAGATACGTACTGAGGAGCAAGAGGTGGCATTCTGGCTCGTCGTAGCGAAAACTGGGAGGAGTAAGAATCCACAATTCTGCAAAACTAGCTCAGAAGACAAGACTTCGTAGTGAAGATGGCTACTCACCTGAAATTACAAGGGTAAGGGTAATCGAGCCCTGACAAGTTCTTGTGTATTGGAATGACAGTCCGCATACTATCCAGACTAGAAGAGAGGGATCGGCATCTCAAAACGGCCGTTTTCTATAAAACCATGACGATGCAAAGATAGGCTCGTGACCGGGACACGCACAAAAAGATGTATATAGAGTATGCACGAGGATCGTTGACAACGATTAAGGAATCACACAAAGACAGACCAAGATACGAGGCAAGTATGATGAGTTGGGCTACATTTATAGTACAACGTGTATCTGTTGAATATGTATGAGTAAAAGAGATGGAAAGATAGACGGAAATATTACAATACATGAAAGGTTTGCATTGAACATGGCTATATTGATCGGGATGAAGAGGAAGTGTCTAATGCAGGTCTTTTTTCAGAGCCTCCGTCGATATCACGACATGCTGCAGGTCCCGCCTTGCCCCCCCATCCAAACATACCACCGAGATTGGACCTTAACGTGTCATATACGGCGAGATGAGGAGAAGGTTCGATCGAATTGATGGAATGAATGTGAATCAAGCCGGACAGTGGTGAAAACGTGTATGTCGAGTGCCTAGCTGGGATATCAACCACGCGTCACAGCAGGCGAAGTGGAAGCGGCTCACACATCCCACACGCCCTCGCTCCCACTGACTCTCGCTATTCCATTTACGCGAAACAGGACGGTAAGGCGTTTGTCGCGACTCTTCTCGACTTGACTAGAGGGTTCGGCGTCAGACAAGCTGGCGCGCGAACCGTCAACGGAGAACTTTTGCAAAGTGAGCTGGAGATCCGAGTATAATGCACTGAGCGTGTGTCGAACGAAGGCCGACGAAGCGAGGTAGAGAGGAAGACCTAAGAAGAATTGGCATATATTAAGTTGGGCTGCACGGCGACGAACCTTCTATATGAAGAGTCTGTGGAAAGGGCGAAGGCAGCTGCACCGGTGGAGTGTACGACAGCCGTATCTTTGGACTGTATATATGCTGCATCCCCAAGAGTACAGAGGACGAATTCAGCTGTCCTGTGGCCTCGTCGATAGACGTGACGAGTCCAGTCTTGAAGAAATCTGGCAAAGTCTGGTGGATAATGTCGATGGCACGACCTGTTCTGAAGGTAGCATCAGTGTCGGCTACAGACGAGTGCAGGCGACGCACCTGTCCGCAAATCCCATTCGTGGTCAGACATTTCTTCCTTCTGGGGTTGCGGCCCAGGACTAGAATCTGGCGGCGAAGCTTGTCGAAGGCCTAGTTCCGTCGACGCATTACGAATCTGAGAAACGAATACTGGACGTTGGAAAAGAAAGAGTCTTGATGGTGCAACAAGTCTCAATGACATGTATTAGGTGGAATGAGAGAAATGAAGAGGGTGCGTGGAATTTCTGCATTACGTAATTTCTCCCGGTGTTCCGTTGCTTCCACCCGGTCGAAACAACAGCTGTCAACTTGGATATTATAATGATTTTGCCCACTTTTTTGAATTTTAACCAACTTGGCACCGCTCTACTAACGCTTTACGTGGAACGCCGCCAGCCCCCCCGAATGACGGAACAAGCCACAGAATAGCAGAATAGTGTATTGACGCTCAGCACCCTCTCCAGAATTACCAGCAATTAATCCCTTTTTTTTTTGCTTCTACGCCACAGTTCATCATGCAAAGAGATATCATGATGTAGGAGGTTCAACGTTTATACCCCTTGATGATGATACATAGCCGCGTCATCTCCAGTTCAAACAGCCCCCTTAAAGTCACTATTGTAAACGATGAATATCAAGTCCAGGTACCCGCAGATTATTGTGCATACAGTAGCCTACAGTTTTCAGCCGTCTTTCTAAAAATCAGAAAAAGGCCTGAATAAAACGGCGCAGGACACCAATTTTATGTGCTCGAATCGCCGAATTTGACGTGCTCCGCGATTGATCTTGGCGTTGAGCGAATATCGCAATGGCGTCGCCTAGTCAACGGCCCGTAACATGACCAAGTCGGGAAATTGCCGAGCAGACCTCTGGCACTTTCTGGGCAACAAAAATTCTCACCCATCAAGGTTTCTTCCTTACCACCACCACGTTCACTTGTCTTTCTTTTTTTCCCTCCCGTTCTTTACAAATAATAGCCATGTTCTCTTCCAAGGCGCTCTCGTTCGCCATCGTCGCCCTTCCTTTTGTTGCACGGTGTGAGTTGATTTTCATGCTCAATTTGATGTTCGTCTTGAATGCTGATCCTTTTTTGCCTTGCAAAATAGCTGTCGTTGCTCAATGTACCCGCAACTATACCATCCAGGATGGTGATATTTGTGACAGCATTTCTGCGGCAAACAATGTCTCTACGTGAGCTCCTCACTCCCTAGTCATCGATCTCCGGGCTGACATCGCCGTATTCAGATACCAGCTGGCCACGATCAACGCAGGCTACATCAACAGCGCGTGTTCAAATCTTGAAATCGGTGCAAACATCTGCCTTGGTTATTCAGGCGAAGATTGTACAGAGACATATGTCGTCGAAGCTGACGATACATGTGAGGGCATCACGACCAAGTTCACCGTCGATGAGGCGACGTTTTACAACAACAACCCCAACATCAATGACCAATGTACTAACATTTACATTGGCGAGGTGATTTGTCTTTTACCCACGATGTCACCTCGTTTTAACGGACCCAATTACACCAGGTTCTTTGTGTGGCCTCTACGATTGCAGTTCCTCCTGCAGGATCGTCCGTCGCGGCTACAGCCATCCCGTCCACCGCCACTGCCGCGATGTCCGCCTCGACTTCATCCACAGTTTCTACCGCAACACCCATTACGCCTTCTACCATCACTCCCGTTACATCTTCTACCATCACTCCCGTTACATCTTCTACCATCACTCCCGTTACATCTTCTACCATCACTCCTGTTACATCTTCTACCGTAATCCCTGTTACAACTTCTGCTGCTGTTGCTCCCGTTACAACTCTAACTTACGCGACAACCTCTTCCTCAACGGCGGCTTCTGCTGCATCTTCCGCCGCTTCCACTGACGGTGGGGATGACGGTGATGACGATGACGGCGACGACGACGACCTCCCCTGGTGCGATGAGCTCTAATTCCGATCCGTCTTCGTGTTTTCCGAGGCATGATTTGCGGGTCGTCTCATCGCCTCATGTCATAACCATTGTTACCACCACCCTGCACTATACCACTTTCTTCACTTGTCTTGCTCTTCATCAGTTGTTTTGTAACTTTTGACAAGGTCTTCAATTTACTACTGGTGACTGGGTCCAGCGGTCCCAGAAAAAGTTGTACTTCATGATTAGCTAAAATGCACTTTGAGAATGTTTACAGCTAAAAGCGGTACCGGAGGCGCCGATCGAAAGTTTCCGAAGACTTCCGCACTGGATCAGCTATATCTCCCACAATTCTTCACAGAGGATTGAGGAGAATCTGATATGAGAATTCTTGTTTTGTACTGCTCGAGGGCATGGCGTACTCAGATTATAATTGATGCAAGTTTCAAATAGGTTCTTGAGTTAGGCGCTCTCTTGACTCTCAAGATCTCTGAGGCTGCATGTTCAAAGGTACGATCGGATGCCTAACATCTATGCGCTCGTAGGCTTCAACGTTACTTTGTCGTGACGGGGGCTAAAGTACATGGATGTCCGCAACATTTCATTTAATTTAAGTACCGACACTAGGAGAGCGCAACAATTTTTCCTTGCCTATGATTTAAACGGGCTTAGGTTTGGCGTCACCGGGTAACTAATATTGCTCACTCAGCAATGATGATGGAGGGAGGCGGGAAGAGAAGAGAAGAACGTTCACTAATACGTCGCCTGACCATTCCGCTCTAAGGAAGACTACCGCACGCGTTCCAAATTTACGTCATTGCGCGCCTCGTCCCTTCGTCCCCGAGGTCCGATTGTGATAACTTTGCGAATTTAGTGATTATTCCGGTTGGGGGATATCAAGTGGAAAGTGCAATATAACTTCGAGAGCTGAGCTTCGCGTCGATTGGTGATGATACATGCAATGGACAGTACTTGATACAGAGCCATTGAACTGTAGTTGAACAAGGAGGACTGGTGAGACGAAGGCATCCAACTCAATATAGAATATGTATCGAAAATGTTCCGAGAAGACATGAGTTAGCATCCACCACTGGCGGATGTCCCTAAATTGACGGAAACAGCCACGAAGAGAATGTCCAGTCCTATACCATCCCAGTTGCCCTCAACTACCGACAAGCGACTTGACGAAGATGAACAGGACGTCTGGGTGACAATAACCGCAGAGTCGGTCTTCCTTCGGGCTAGGCGCTGTCGGGAGTGAGGGGTTGTAGGAGTAGCCGTAGAAGTCAACATCCATCTAAGATGAAATCCAGAATAGACCGTGGCCCTGAACTTATGTAGAGCCTAAGGGGAGGAAAGAAAGCACCTGGAGCTTTGCAGGGTTTCTTTCAGTCTTTTTATACCGCGGGAGACATACGCCGAAACGATATTTACCGATTCTGTAGGGATATAATCTTATAGTCCAAGTTCAGCCCTGCTGCTCCCAGGGACGACATAGAAAATTTGATATACGACATGGAATGAAGCGACCAGAATCCGAACAGCACGGTGTTTACAGCAGCCAAATATCCCAGAAAAGACCAAAAAAGCACGCGAAATACAAAGGAAAACATGGTTTCTGGCTAGGGTGAGAGAGCTGTGACTCGGATCGTGTACCTTGAGATGAGCTATCCACGGAGGTTTAGATAAGCTCATCTCCGCTAACATGATGATGGCTTCCAGGCTACAAGAGGTCCTGTGGTTCGAGAAGAGCACCAAGAGAACAACCGAGCGTGGTTCTCGCGAGTCCGAGGCAAAAGAATGCAAGGCCTTAATAATGCAGGTTTCATAGGCGTAGGCCATGAGCGCCTCACCACAGTTCGCGTGATTGACGCGCCCAACTTGATAATATCAGCGATCAAATCCGAGAGAAGGGATGAGTGCTCACCTACGGATATGCTTTTATACCACGAGGACCATGGCCGTTCAAAGACGTGATGCACCATCCTCAAGACGACATTGGGATGGTTGACAAAGACTCAGCATTGAGATCCCGGTTTCAGATTAGGGTTCACGGTAAATACGTATTTTTTTTAATATCATCAACCCCATTTTCTGGTAGCAGCAGCAGTCGACGATAAAAGACCATATGGATATACCTCTTTCAACCCTTGAATAAGCGACTGCTGATCCGCCAGAGGGATTCTTCCCGAAGGGGGCTGTTAATCGAAAGATGTCAGCCAATGTGGAGAGATGTACGAAGCGACAGGAAATACTCACTCGAATCCATCTCTCGGTCTGCCCTGGCAGGTGTGTAGACCAAGGAAGACAAAAGAGGGATATTTTATCCGATATTCGGGAAAGCACGTACAATGCGGATGGATTATGGACGCTGGAAACACCTCAGGAAGACCAAGAACGGCGGACGAACAATGCGTACCGAGGTCACGTAAGTATAAATTCGCTGCTTGCCGTGTATAAGGTCCTTGAGACTTCCCAGTACCGTGGAAGTATGATGAGTACATGAAGCCCTATCGCGGACGCAGACGATATCCCCCCCCTGGATATCTCGTACCAGGAAGCGTATCTTGGGTGTTCAGATGCCTGACACTATTACCGCCGCCGCCGCGATGACGGGTCTTGTTATTCCAATGAGACTGATCATCGAGCCCATGTCCTAGGACCACTTATCGCCAGAGACAGCAGTCGGAATTTCTTGACTGTAGTCACATATATAGAAACGATACCAACGCAGAACCCATGATGGCAGGACCTTCTGGTAGGGTATAGGACTGTGATTAATTTGGTAGAGCGTTACGAATGCATACTCACGAGAAATCATAAGATCAGGCATGATATCATCTTCGAGTGGCGTATATCTTACGAACAAGGACAGGGCTGCAAACCGCGGGGCAGTAGGCCAGAGAGGAAGTACAACAATAGGGTACGATGAAGGCGGACATCGCTTGTGGCCGGTGTACCCATGGATACATCGATTACCCAAGATTGTCCAACAAAACGTAAATGTCAGAGCCGTTATACCATTGAAAGACAACTCGGCGTATCATGATATCTTGATTATGGATCATCGTCCATCGCAGATTTACAACAACAGATGGTTGATGGATCGATCTATGTGTTCGTACGTTGACGAACATAGTAGGATGTATGTCAAGGTACCCGAATGAAAAGCTGTAGACAATGATGTCATCATGATTTCATAGGAATGATTTGTTACTCACTAACTGTTTTCGGGGAGGACAAACGTCATGGTGCACCCATTTTTTTTTTTACCACATCATCAACTGGACAGATGCTTTGACGGAGAGTTGCATGGAATCGAACAAAATTGCACAGACTTGTCAGGCTGCATAGATGTAGGCAAGTAGCTCAATGATACACTTGTGGTATATTGGGGCATACTGTTCCTATCAGTAGAAAGAGATTTTGTCTTCATAGTGGACGTGAGCCTTCGCCGCGACATCAGATTGAGCTTAGTGCTGAGGCCGAGGGCTTACTCAAGTTGAAGACCTGACAAATTGTCAGTCACTTAACAACAGCTAGAAGGATATATAACAACAGTGCGCTTTAATCGCATTGTACAAGTATTTTCCGGTGGTGGAACTTGGAAAAAGGAGACCGTCACACAGATGTGATATGATACATCACATGTCTGTTACAGTTTTCGCGACGCGCCTTCACGTGATAACAGACAATAAAATACATTCTCTGGAATTTGGCCATCCCCTTTATGATTCTCTCTGCTGACGTTTCTACACTCTGGCGCCGAATGGCTCGAATTATGGTGAAGCGTGTCAAGTATGTCAACGGGATTCCTTGCGCCAACTTAGACGAGCTTCTAGCGATCTTCGAGAAGGATAAACGGTTGCCGTCCGTAATGTGTCGAAGGGCATGGTGCAAGGCTAGGAAGCTTGACTGCGCATTTATCAACAGGTGGTAGTGGTGGAGAAGAAGACCTGCAGCCAGAAATCGTGGAGGAAGACGAGGAAATAGAAGTCGAAAGCGAGGAAGAAGACATCCGGGCGGTCGAACCCCCTGCTCCAGCAACACCTCTTCTGAGCAACCGCAGGATCATCTCTCCCGAGCCCGACTCGTTCGACATTCCTTCATCACTTCTGGTTCGAGGAGGCGATAAGTCGTCTTCTCGCGCCCTTCAAAACTCATTGCCTCACAGTAAAGACGCATATATCTCTGCTCAGAAATTACCGCTACGAATGTCAGCGCAACACTGCTGTGCTTGCTTCTTACAACCAAGCCGTCACTTCTTTTCCGAATTCTACAGCTCAAGTTTTTTATCCTTGGCTACACGGCGTTCCCTACGCTGGATCTGATATGACGCGAGCTTTTTACATGTCAATGTTTCTATGGCTTTTGCGTCGAATCCTCCATTTGTCTTTCATCCCCCTGCTTTCCCGTACAACGCGAATCCGTCTCCATACACTCTCTTATGCCTCAGATGTCTGGCGCAGGTATGCTTATCGACGGCAATGCATTTGTGCAGCGTGGATTTTCCTACTACAGCCTGCGCTCGAAGACTCGAGTCGAGTCTACCGTGCTGATATGGACTCGTCTCGATCTCTTCATTGGAACTTGTAACCTATGCTTTGATGAATGTTTCTGAATTGCTGCATCTACGCATAGAAACGGGTGAGAGATTGTACCATAAAGGTGATGCGTTTCCTCGTGCTATGTCTTCAGGTCTGTCTCACACCCTGACTCAGATATCCGTTGCTTATATGCAGAATATGGTATTAGTATAGTATACAATATTGTTGAACCGGTGCCTCCCTGCTGCGGATGGAACGCTTTGAGCATGATCTTTACTTGGGCCGAACATTGCCATAACAGGGTGAAGACCAAACAACAAACAATATTTGTCTTGCCCTCTGACCTTCAAATCCAATGGATGGTGCAGAGTCGTCTCCTCCTCCACCGCCGCCTGGAGAACAATCACCACCACCGGTACCACCACCGACTCACACCGGATCTCCTACTGAATTTCTGAAAGGCGTCGTAGGGAAACGAGTGATTGTCCGGCTAACATCTGGAGTCGATTACCGCGGTGGGTCGCATCTCTTGGCCTTGCGGTGTTATTTCTGATCAATTTTCTCCCACTGCAGGTGTTCTGTCGTGTCTAGATGGATACATGAATATTGCACTGGAGCAGACGGAGGAGCACGCTAACGGACGCGTGACAAATCGCTACGGGGATGCTTTTATTCGAGGGAACAACGGTAAGTGTCTGTTCATGTTTCCTGGATGTGCTTTTTGATTGTCTGGTAGTCCTGTATATCTCTGCTGCGGAAGTGCTGTAATGCACACGAGAAGGAACCACGTTGACTGAACTCGTTAATTTGGCTGCCGACGAAATTCCGGATATGTAGATGCTGCAGTTGTCTGTCGACGAGACATGTTACCATTTTCATGACTAGCTACGGTACCTACGTTGGCTTTGCCAAGAGTAAATGTTCATGTTTCTTCGCCGAGGAGTGTGCTGGATGTTGTGTAATTTTTTTTGGGCCGATGTCACGCCTAAAAAAATATGTAGGCATGGTAGAAAACAGTTGTAGAATACTCGAAAACACGACGTTGCCGATTGGCCCGGTAGTAGAAAATCAGTAACCCTAACCCCATGTGGTAAGCTCTGGCCTCTTTCACTTGCGTAAAGACGCAGCCGCAGCTGCAGCTTCGACGAGGTTGGCTTTATATTTTGATGCATTTTCTGTTGCTCATGGACAATCAAACTTAAAAGGCTGCTTCTTCTCTTCTTTCTCTACTGCCATGTCGGAGAGCACCAACGCAGCAGAAGGATGCCTCCAGGTTGCAATCCAATCCTTCGTCATGATCATCGTCTCGGAAATTGGAGACAAAACCTTCTTCATTGCTGCTATTCTCGCCATGCGCCATCCACGGCTCGTCGTTTTCGCAGGTGCATTTGGCTCCCTCGTCGTCATGTCCATCCTCTCCGCCGCAATGGGCCACGTCTTACCCCATCTAATCCCAAAACGCTGGACACAAATAGCCGCAGGCGTGCTGTTTCTAGTATTCGGCACCAAAATGTTTATGGAAGCGAGGAGAATGAAATCGGGAGGCGAGAAGGTCAGTGAAGAGATGCGGGAAGCTGAGGAGGAGATTGAGGACGATGAGGCTGCTCATGATGGGACGGGCACGACGCTTGCAGATGGACATGTAATACCTTTGGAGGAGATGGAGGCTGGCGGCAGGGTGGCCTCCACGTCACGGCCGCCAAAACGGTCGGCACTGGTCGAGGGAGCCCGGAATTTCTGCAGTTTCTTTCTCGGCCCTGTGTTCGTACAGGCGTTTGCCCTGACATTCCTTGGCGAATGGGGAGATCGCAGTCAAATTGCGACGATTGCATTGGGCGCAGCACATGTATGTTCCATTTTACATTCTACGTTGCAGAACTGATATGTTCTTGATAGAATGTATGGCTTGTTGCTTTGGGAACTGTTATCGGTCACTCTTGCTGCACCGCTCTCGCTGTTGTTGGTGGTCGATACGTATCGAATAAATTATCTGTGAAGCACAGTATGTGGATCTCTTTCATTGCGTTTCTTGGCTTAATGGTGCTATGCAGTTACGCTCGGCGGGGCGTGTCTGTTCCTACTGTTCGGTGTCATTTACCTATATGAATCCTTATTTATGCCTACAGATACACTGTTGCATTCTGAGCAATAGAATGCATGTATTATATTTGACGCGGTGATTTGTGGGTTAGCTCTCGACAAATAACGTCAAGGTTATTGGCAGTACGCGTTTCAACTGGGAAACATTTCTTCTACGAGTCTGTCGTGATAAGTCTCTTTCCACGATAATTGGTTGGGATATGGAGGAGACTACTACTATCATGAGGCGTACATTTTTGGAAATGCATTTCCAATTTTAGTTCCCCCACAATGAATCATCGGAACGATCATGTCCGGTTTTCCACTTCCTTCCTATCGACGTCCATCCTCATTTTGCTATGACAAGGTATCCTTGATCCATTTACAACCAGCTAGCTGTCCTCCGAAGTACCTCCTTTCCGTCTTATGGAGTCGCCTACGGACATGCCCCGTTCAAGAGGCAGAGACCTACGGATAAAAATTGAGCCAGAACACCTAGGCGAGGCCGATTCTTCACCTTCATGTTTGGAAAAAGCGCCAGTCGAGAAGAAGCAGGAAAAGAAGCAGTTCGAGTTCAATCTACCTTCCAATCTGCAATGGATTCCGGCCAATTGGAACTGGCCCAAAGTCAAGCCTGTAATTCGATGTGCAGTAGCTGCATGGATCTCAACGGTTCTGTTCGTTCTTCCGGCGGTGGAAAGATTCATGGGACAAGTAAGTTGTTCATATCTCCTTTCTAGCATGTCTCTGAATTCCTTCCAGGCCAACTTTCTCATCCTCATCTGCAAGTTCTTCCTTCTGGCATCATGCATTAACTTATCGCGCACTCAGCTGCTTTCATGTCGCCTCCCAGTGACCCATTCATGGCCGTCCTCGAACGGGAGATACTAATCATCACTTTAGTTTCAACATCCTGGGCGTAAGCTTTGCCATCTATCTTCTTTCCCCTGACCATAATATTTACAGCTGGTCATGTCTTGGTATCAAGCTAGCAAGCTTAGCTCGCGCTAAGATCATTCCGAATGCTACATTTGCAAGTGCGGTTACAGGGCAGTATATCGAAGCTGCTCCTACCGTCATTATTGCCGTTTTTATCTTCTTCGGCAGTGTATTCTTCCTCTATATCCGTGTACGTCAAGGTCCGGGTCCTTACCTCTTTGCATGCATCCTCTCCTGCATATGCCTTGATATCACCCTGACCACCAGCGTTCTGTTTCCATACCCCTATTACCGAGTAAGTCCGTCCGTTTAGTCACTTTGCGAGCTGACTGCAATTATCAATCCTGTGTAGATTGGCCAAGCCGTCCTTATCCCATTGGCCTTCCACTCTTGCATTGCGTTGCTCACATCCATCGTCGTGTTTCCACAGACGGTATCCGCCCAATTCACAACCCGTCTGCAAGGTGTCCTTACCCCCCTGATCAAATCACTGGAACTTCACCGTTCGCTAAAGGATCTTCCTCCTAATTCCCCAGAGTTCGCGTCTGCATCACAGTCTATTAAAGCTGCCGTCAACCAAGCTGAAGGCGGTCTAATTCCCCTCGCCGTATCTGCCCGTCTGCTCCCCAGTGATCTCATTTATGCTCGGTTTGCTCCCACCGATTTCAAGGCCTTACAGGCCATCGCGAGACGGATGGCGGTCCGAGCTAATGGACTTACCATCTACTTCTCTTTAATCGACCCAATGCGAGAAAGATTTCCAGCAACGCCAGGCCCATCCCGGCCTGGTACTCCCGGGACTATGACACCCGTGCGTCCATCGAGACAATCATCGCCTGAACGAGGCAGTCGCGAAACAGATACAGAAGATGGTGCGGAGCCGATTACAGAACCCGGAACACCCACAGGGTCTATTTTCACTCGACGAAGTCCCGATCCTAGCAGAACACACTCTCGTTCTCGCTCCCATCATCACCATCATCACGGTTTCCATAATTTGCTGCGCGACTCACTTCTACATCTTACGCTGCCCAGGGTACAGAAGAATGAGCAAGCTGTAGGAGTATTCGAATCTCACAGGTACATGGACCTTGAAGCGACCTTATTTCACGATCCTGCAACCGATGCCTACACCCAGCGAACGACTGAACTGCTTTTGCAAAGCGCGGATGAGTTACTTGATGGGTGTCGGGGAGCCGTGACAGCAGTGTCTGATTGGCTGGGCACCGTGCGCCGGGGTCGATTGGCGTTCTGGGTCGGCAAGAGTGAGAAGAAAAGAAGAAAGGAAGTGAAACTAGAAGAGCTTCAACAATTGAGAGACTCTCTGGGCGCGTCTCTTGAGTTGTACCAGTCGAAAAAAAGGCATGCGGTTCTAGAACCATTCCGTCCTGTCTTTGAAGGGAATGGGGAGCAAGAGGTACCCTCGCATCGATACTTGTTCCACTGTTATGTGTATCAGTATCATTTAATGCGATTTTCGACGCAAATAGTAGAAATGGTGAGTGAATATCTCACTGTATACATCCCGCTTATCGTTTGTGAACGGATGTAGCTCGACGAAATTATCCGCCTTGAAAAAGCGCGCCCGGAAAATCGTATCTGGACACCCGTTCAGAAAATCTTCAGCTGGAGTAACTGGAACTTGTCCGATGTCCACGATGATGAAGAAGATCCTGAAACCGTGCAAGGACTGGAGCCGGCTATCATGAATGACCTTGGTATAGCGCGGAAGCGGGATCCCGATCGACTACCGCCTCATAATGCTTTTGAATGGGCGATCAATAAGATTTATGGGTTTGTAACGGGTCTGGGAGGCGGAAATGTACTCTATGCCATAAAGGCTGGTATTTTTACGAGTGAGTTGTATGAAATTGATCTCACAGGCGCATATACTGATGGGATCTCGCAGTTATTTTATGTTTACCGGGGTTCTTGACTTCTTCTGCGCAATTTGCTTATTGTAGGGCTCTTTCATCTATTCTACGACCTATCTGACAAATGGCCTTCTAGCTAACAGATTTGTCTGGGGGGTGTATGTGATTTTGCCTGAACCGTCCATCTCGCTCTGATTGTTTCTCCAGTATCATGGGGCAGGTAACCCTGGCACGCTTCAGAGGAGATACAACATTTGGCCTGGTTGCGCGTATAATCAGTACTTTCTTTGGTGGATTAGCAGGGGCCGTTATCTGGTAAGTCAGTCACAGGCTGTTTGCATATGGATGCCGATCTATCAGGTACATATCGACTGGTAACGGGCATGGTAATGCCTACGGGCTGGCCGCAGTACTAGGATTTTGTTTTCCTTTCTTCTTCTACGCGAGGCTGTATTGGCCCGTCCCGCCAATGACGAATATCATCTTCTTTGTTACTACGATGTTGGTACGCAGCCGTGCAGCTTTGTTGACAGCCTTGTTTTGACCTTGGTGATAGGTCGTGGGATATTCGTACCAAGATACAGTTCTCTTACTTCCTGCCAATCCTGGATACGGTATTAATGTTGCATGGGTTTGTTTTGATTTCTTGTTCCTTTAATACGCTTTGTTTCATTGCAAATTTTAGCGCCGATTTGTGCTCGTTACAGCCGGCGTTACAGCGGCCTTGTAAGTCTTCTTTTCTTGCATGAGACGAGGTCTTCTAATGTCCATAGCTTGTTTTCCTTTCTTCCTCCATCAACGACCATCCGCCGGTACCAGCGGACGACACTGGCGACGACTTCTTCGGAACTCGGAGCTATCTATTGCTGTATAGTCTCCTATGCCAGTACACGGAGATATGCAGATAGCCAACAGGTTATAACGAGCTTGATTGCTATCCGGAGCAAGTTAAACAGATCAGCTGTTCTAAAGACCAACGTCATCTATGAAGTACGTGTACATGCTCAAAATTAAGGCAATCCTTATCGATGTCGCTTAGTATTCTTTGAGGGGCCGGTGGCCGGCGCAGAGGTATCACAAGATTCTGGAGTTACAACTGTAAGCCCATAAGGTTTTGTATGTTGGCTTTCAGTTGACTCTCAGGTCTGTAGACAGACTGCTTACTGCCTTTCGCATCTAATGTCGGTCATTTCGCACATGGATCCTGCCTGGACACGGGCGTTCTTGGCTCGGACACGGTTCCTGGACCCCAATTTCCAGGGCGACGTGTTAGCTGTTATTAGTGCGTTCCCTCGAGTATCGTTGTTACACTGTCTTATAATGTGATGATATAGGCATGATAGCTACGTCGCTCTGTACAGGAGAGCCTTTGCCCCAGATTACGCCCTGTCCGTTATTAGATCGGTTCATGCTGAAGTTCCACGGCTTCAGTGTAATACACAAAGAAGCTGAAGAGGACTTTGGCTTGCCGAGAACGCTTACAATGGAGACCCTGCAAAACGAGCAGTACCTGTGAGTCTCGTGTTGATCTAAACTGATTGGAACTGAGTTGTAGCGGTCAGGATGTTTTCGGTAGGGGTGTCGACGGCTTTTGGCATTGTGTCGAGGTTGGATAGGTTGATGGTGGCTGTAAAGGAAATCGTGGGAGAGCAATATCATGTTCATGGGGTAAGCACGATGCTTATGAAGTCTGGTGTTGAAATGGGGTCAAGGACCAACACCCTGCAAATGAGATCACCGGTATGAAATTGTAATAATTTTTTATCAATGGATATACATGCACCAATCATGTTGCTCCGATCGATTGTCATCGACAAGGCAACCATAGGATCAAAAGACTCAGGCGTGGCAAGGTGCCCTACGTGTCGTCGTCGAAACAGGATCAAGAAGTTTGATACCGGATATCGGACCGGTGCTTTATACCTATTTGAAACCAAAGACAATCGCCTCGTGGTTGTCTCGTGGTCAGTATTACACGGTTTTCCTCTTACTTTCACTATATCTTCCTCATTTCCTTGTATTATTAACTTCTTATACCACTCGTATAATGTTCCAGACTAGCTCTGACACTAGTGTCAACTCTCCAACTCCAATCAGTCTTTTCTCTAACGATTCCGTGCCTTCGGAGCCTACTTCAGATGGTGAGTAGTAATTGACTAGATTACTTACATTAATTCACTTATTACCTCTTCTCTTCTCCGCAGAACAGCCTAATCTTGGCGCTTTTACGACAGTATTCCGCGAGTGGAACTACCTTCAACCTCCGAGGAGAATGAATGTAGTTACCACTGTACGTCAACCGTCCTCGTTTACCACGTCGACGACCACCTCGCAAACACAATCTTCTATCACTCCTTCCGACTACTCTCATTCAGAACTCGGGTACGACAGCGATATCAGACCCGAAGGCTCTACCGTATGGTCTCACAAACCTATAGCATCCTATCTCAAACTCGAAGAAACAGCGACAGAGACCGACCAGGATTTCGATGAATACTATGTCATGGACTCAGAATATCTCAGTGCACAATCTACTGCCTTCTCGTATCCACCACACCGCTCTGTGCATACCCTTTCGCCGCATACGAGCTCACTTGCGCCTACCGACTCCGAAGCGAAACCATATTCAGATGCATCTGATGAACAGGACTATTATTCGTCGGACACCGAAGGTGATCCCCAATCTAGGACCGTATACATCGAGGATGGCTCAGACTTGGATCTGGAATCCACAAACGATGGCGACGGTGCCAATATGACCAAGGACGCGGATGAGGAGGAAGTGATGCCCACTTTGGGTTTCCAAGAGACGCTCGACTTCTTGGCTGATGAACGGGAGAAGCTGACTGCCCAGCGTGACGCAGGAGGCGCTGGTCAATACAACGGGAGACTGGTGTCTCTGGCCGCTGCAGCAGGTGCGTGCTTTGTATTACTATTGTTGTCGAGCCACATATGACTTGTTGCAGAACCTCGCCGGAAGCGTCGTCGCAGGAGAACGAAAACGCCTCGCGCCCAATCCACAGGGCCTTCCACTCTTTCTACCACCGTTACCAGCGCGACACCGAATGAATCAATGACTACGACTGCGGATCACGATCCAGATCAGGACGCGGACGAGTCGTCTTCCTCTTATGATCGATACTACAGCACCACAAGCAATCCTAATGACAACGCTTACAAGTCTACTCCCGGAACGCCTGCTCGTCGGGGACGACAGCGGCAGAGCCGTCTGCGAAGCACCAAATCGACGCCTCAGTTGCGGATCCCTGCTGAGAGACCGGATGATATGAGGTTAGGGACGCATAGACTCTTCGATGAGCATGATGTGCCTCGTGTGAGACAGATGAAAAGTTTGATGAAGAAGTTGTGCCAGTTATTTCCTGAGGACCGGGAGTACTTGAAGCAAGTGAGCTTAAAGACAATGGAATCACCGGAGATCATTTCTCCCGGACCAATAGATCATGATGGCGTCGAAGATCTTCTTGGAGGATTTGTTGATACGCGGGGACCTCCACCCCAACAAACCAATGAACGATTAATTCATGTATTTGTAGATCAGTGAGTTGTTTTGGCGGCATCCATTACTGTGCTTCACTTACGTATCGATAGTTCGAACATTCTCATAGGATTGTTAAGTTTCCTGAAACGTTACCCAAACCGACACCCCCAAGCCCGACTTACATCTTCAATAACTAAGCTCCGTCGACATCTCTCGCACTCGGCCCTATCCCTTATACTTGAACGTGGGCGTCCAGTATCTCGCCGTGTGCTCGTTGCATCCTCCCCTCTGTATCAGCGCTTAGAAGGTGCTAATCAACTGGGTTATGAGGTTAGAACACTCGCTCGGGTACCTGACATGGGTGACGGAGCGGACAAGAACTCAGATTCGCGGGCAAAGTCCGGGCACATACGAAGCCAGAGCGGTGGTTCTGGCATTGTTGTCGGTGGAACGCCGGCTTCTGCGCCCAATGCCGGGATCATTATTGGTCAGGGTGCGTCATCAAGGCCGTCGAGGTTGAGATCTGGGAGTGTGAACGCAGGTCCGACAGGAGGAAGGAAGATGGAACATCTGAGGAGGATTTCAGGGAGTACGTCAACTGAAAGCGAGCAAGGTGGTGGGGGAAGTGGTTCGGGTAGCGCAGGCGCGTTATCGCAGGTTTTGTTGAGAAGCCTTGGACCAACTGGCCTGTCCATCTCGCCGCCTGGCCAGTTGTCTCTGGTTATTCCAAATTCGCAGGGAAATACGCCTCCCGCACGGATTCGCTATCGAGAACAGGGAGTTGATGAGTTGCTGCAGCTTAAGTTGCACCAAGCGCTGGCGTCGATCGATGGTCCGCCCCCGCCCGGAAGCACGATTATTCTGGCCACTGGAGATGGCAATGCAGGGCAGTTCAACGAAGATGGGTTCCTAGGTACAGTGCGAACTGCGCTGAAGAAGGGCTGGAGAGTTGAGCTGTATGCCTGGGAAGGCGGTATGAGTAAGGCGTGGAAGAGGGAATTTGGCGAGGGTAGCGAATGGGGGAGCGGTCAGATGTTTAAGATCGTGGGAATGGAGCAGTTCGGAGGTGAATTGGTAGAGGTTTATACGTATGCTGCCGGTGGCAATGGTGAGTGAGTACTGACAAGGAAGAGAAGAAAGGCAGTTCAGCTGTGTTACAACTCGGTGTCTATAGTTGACGCGTCGGTCGCTTTGCTCAGCGACAGTCTTTCCTCCATAAAATTTATATATCTGATGGTCGCCCTTGCCTTTATATTCTTTATAACATCCGCGACAGTCAGTCGGTGTGCCACTGTCAGCTTACTAAGTGATTTCGTTTCTGGCGTACTTTCCAATGCATTGAAATAAGGACTTTGTCTTTGTCAGTATGTCGGTGTATGAGAAACAGACATACTACTATCCTAAGTCGTGATGATATATGAAAGTAGAGGTCGATGTCAGTTGACTTGGTTCCAACTTGTCAGTGAACTCTTTAAGAGCCTGAAAGGCATGTCACCGGATAAAAATTCACCCCGTGGGATGCCGCATGTCTTTCAGCCTTGATCACCTTCGAATGGTGACGCAGTTCGAACTCGAACTCGGATGATGGCCTCGAATATGCCTCCATCGATGCTCAAAATATCGAGACTTCAGCATTCGAAACCTAGCCCCGCCCGAACTCCGAAGAACACTAGGCTATGGAGCAATTTTACACAAGTTTAAGAAATTTGCATCTGATGGGGCAAAGCAACAAGCGCCGACCGGTGACCACTCGATTCTTCGTGGGTTCGGGATCAAAAACTGAATCACGATCCCTGGCAGTGGGATGGTCCCGTGTGATGGATGCATATGCTCTTTTGAATGTCCATGGATAAGGTCCCGACGCCCATAGAGTCATCACTAGGAACAAAGAAGAAGCACAGCTTTTCATTAGAGAAGTTGCGTATAGAAGTCTCCGAGCAGACGAAGCTGGCATAGTCCAATCTTGAGAAAGTTCCGTTCCGCGCCACATTTCTGTGTACGTCCGACTTGACCAGATAGATAATAGCGATAATTGACCGGGGCAGGTACTAGACAGGAAGAGACTGCAGGATAAGAATGAGTCTAGACGTCGGTTTCTATCGAGGGTATCAGCTTCTCTGAAACTTGTTAGACATCCGTATCTGCAGGCTGCTATTGGGCTGCCAGTGAACACCAGGAAGACATTAGCATCAGAGAAAAGACGGCCATAAAGTCAGGCAGTAGAACTGTGAATACTCCAGTGTCAAGTACACCTTTGCATTCATGGCACAAATAATGATTTGATGCAATTGCCATCATTCTTTCACTGTTAGGCCGGGCCGCCGATCACCGCAACTATGATTTCAAAATTTGATCGCTCGACTTGGATGGGGTTAGCTACTAAAAAAACTCCATTTACATGCGGGCGCCTCAGGGCCAAAAGTATGCCGTGACTCTTACTACGTCCCATGATCTTTGTTTTCACACGAAATAAATTCTTTAAAGTCCCATGGGCTCACAATTACCGTCTTTTCCCAGCCCTCTTTTTCTTTAGCTCTAATCGGGGCTCTGAAGTTTCACCATGGGGAAGGGAGTGAGTGTTTTTCTTTTGTCCGTAGTCCAATGAGTCTCTAACGCCTTCCGTATAGTATAATGCTCGTATTGCTTCAAACCCGGTACGTCGAGTCCGTTGATTTTTGTCCTCAGATGAATTAACTTGAAAACGTCGTTAGTATATTGTAGGTTCTTTCGCATGCATCGGCGGTGGCCTTTTCGGTCTGGACATCTCGTCGATGTCTGGGGTACTGAGTGTAAGCCATGTCTACTGCTGTCCTGCGTCTCGTAAAGTTGAACCCCTGGACAGAACGATTCATACAAGAGCACATTCTCTAATGTACGTACCTTTTGATAGTCGTTCGTCCATGGAGTATTATAATAACACTATCATAGCCTGGATCTAATGCTCAAGGTGCAATCGTGGCATCCATGCCTGCTGGCTCTTTTTTGGGTGCACTGCTAGTCACCCAACTTGCGGACCGTTATGGGCGCAAGAACACCGTCATCCTTTCTGGTTTGGTATGGATCATTGGGTCTATTCTACAATGTGCATCTGTCGTAAGTGATTAGAGTCTTCTCAATTCATTCGGTAATTGACTCGGAATCACATGTGACAGAACCGAGGAATGCTTGTAGTGGGCCGTATTATTTCTGGCATCTCTGTGGGTATTGCCAGTGCTGTGGTCCCCATCTATCAATCAGAGATTACGGAACCCCGCATTCGTGGGCGTCTTGTCTCCCTCCAGCAATGGTCCATAACTTGGGGTATCCTTATCCAATACTTCGTGCAATTCGGCTGCTCCTACATCAACGGTGTCGCGTCGTTCCGCATTCCATGGGGTCTCCAGATGATTCCAGCCATAGTTCTATGTGTGGGCATGCTTGTTTTCCCCGAAAGTCCTCGGTGGTTGTTCGATCATAACAGGTATATCATCTCGTATTATCGATGACTTCATTCTGGCCTGCTGAATTTATCTACCTAGAGAACAGGAAGCTTTGACAGTTCTCGCCGATTTGCATGGTGGTGGTGACCCCAACAATGAGCTTGTTATGCTAGAGTACGAAGAAATTAAGCAGCAGGTTCTCTTTGAGAGAACCGAGGGCGCTAAATCATACCTTGATCTGCTTAAACCGGGCATGCCTCGGCGTGTTGGTCTTGGAATGGCTCTCCAAATGTGGTCTCAACTTACCGGCATGAACGTCATGATGTGTGTCGCTCAGCACTGCCATGTAATGGATCTATAACGAGAATTCCAACAGGTACTATATCGTCTATGTCTTCGAAGGCGCTGGTATCACTGGTCGTCGCGGAAATCTCATCTCAGCGGTATGTTATGTCGCTTCTTGACCTGTGTGTGGTTCTTACCGATCTCTTAGTCTGTTCAATACGTTCTCAATGTGGCCCTCACTGTCCCGGCCATCATATATATTGACAAGTGGGGCCGCCGCCCAATGCTTCTCTTCGGAACATTGTTCATGGGCTTCTTCCTCTTCCTCGTCGGCGGTCTGCAGGGACATTTTGGTCATTGGGGTGTAGTTGATGGTGACCGTGAGCGATACTCTTCGTCCCTTCTATTTTATGTGTGCAGACTTCGTCTTTGTAGGTGTCTGGGTCATTGAAAACCATAGTTCGGTCACTAATGGAGTAATTGTATGCTCTTACTTCTTTGTGTGCAGCTTTGCTATCACAATGGGTCCTGTTTCATGGACTTATCCCGCTGAACTGGTGGGTCAACCCTGAAATCGTATCTTCGTCTTATCTCATTCCTTCATATAGTTTCCGCTCAAAGTGCGCGCCAAGGCCGTTTCTCTCGCCACGGCGACTAACTGGGCATTCAATTTCGCTCTTGCCTGGGCCGTACCTCCGGGTCTGAGCAATATCGCGTGGAAGACATATTTCATCTTCGGAACGTTCAACTTTGCCGCGTTCATACATATCTTCTTTATGTACCCGGAGACTGTTGGTCGTTCGCTTGAAGAAGTCGAGGAAATCTTCGAACAAGGACACACATTCGCTGCTTGGAAGATCAAGAAAGATGTCGGGAAAAAGACACTGGCGGAGGTGGTGGAAAAGGGGAAAGAAATCGAGGCAAGTTCGTTCCATCATTTGATAAGAAGATTACTCAAGTGTTATTGTAGCCAACAGAGAAGCATTCTGTGGACATCAAGGCCTCGGCTTAATGTCATTTTATGGGTTATTTCTATTTCTTACGAATATGTCTACCTTGACGACTTTATCCTGATGAGCTTCCTTATAATATTCCTAGCTATTTGTGCCAGGATCTCATTCTGTGACTTCAGAATGTCTGCCAGCTATCGAAGACCGAAAACTTGTCACATTTCTTCTGATGACTGCTCATATAAATCGTCGTAGCCAGGAAATCCGCTGGCAACGGGTACAGACTGTGTATTAGTATGCGCTGGATGTTCCCCTTCAGCATTAATCCCTGCTATTCGGTGCGCTATTTCTCCCCACGCACAGCACATCCCAGCTACTCCCTCGTAAAGACTGCCTGGTCGATCAGGTACCCCCATCTTCCCATTCTCGGTCAGCTTTTCGTATGATGTAGCAAGATGGGCAAGATGAACAGCTCGCTGGAAATAATACTTAGAATTATGCCTGTGATCGCTATCTCCTTGTAACAAAGCCAATGCATCCGAGACAGAAAGCAACGCGTAAATGGAGCCACCAACTCCATGACAAAGACCGACACCTTTTCGAAGGAATCCATGACGATAGACAAGAGAGGCGCCTTTGTGAATAGATGCTATGGCCTTGTTAAGAAGATGGGTATGAGCGTGGAATACCTGTCGTTTTTTCGACGACATTTTCAAAAGCGTAGACAGTAAGATCACGATTCCGGTTGCACCATGGCACCACCTACAGGACGTCCTTTGGCGGGAAGAGACGGTTGCAAAAGTTAATTACTCACTGGACCAATTCATTGCTTTCGTCCCCTGATATTTGACTATGCCGAGGTGCTTTCGCAGGCCAATTGCCCTCCTCATCTTGACAATCAACTAGCCATTCTATCGTGTTCAGGACGTCAGAAATGTATGGATTCAACACGTCCAGAGGGCAAGATAATATGATCTGCAGAATTCCAGCTAGGATTGTAAATGTCAGGATTGTTACGATTGGATGACTTGTTGGACTTACCGACACCATGAGCAGCACCTAAATATCGCTTTCCATGCCATGACCACATAAGTGCCGGAGATTTCTGCCGATTCGGTATGCTATCTCGATAAACGGATGCTCCGAACCTGCCTCTACTCATGATGGAAGAGACAACGAGCTCAATGTCTCTAACGGAGACCAACTCGTTCTTTCGTAGGCATAAAAGGCCATACAAGAGTCCAGCACGACCATAAAGAACTTCACAACCATCATCGTCCCAGGTATCACGGGAAGATTCTTTCGTGACAGACTGGATGGCGCTCCGTATGATTGTGCTGCAGGACGCCATGGCAATCTTGTCTTGGGAGCTCGATGTGAGAATCAGACAAGCTATGCCGACAGGAGTCTCGAGAAATGAAGCTCTCGATGGCGAGGTGATAGCGGGGATACTGGACTCGGATAATGAAAGAAGGGTTCTGTCGGAATTTGTTCGACGAGCCTTTTCAAGAAGAGAATCTCCAAGATTCAACGAAGACAGATGTGAAAACATCATGGAAATCCCTGTTGTTGATATGTTAGCCGGCTAATGCAATCAAACTGGATATATTACCAGCTAAACCAACATATACGGTATGATATGGCCTGGAGCCAGAGTGAGCCATTTCCTCAACCTTGGCTACATTGCGTTCGAGGGCGCAGTGTACCTCTTTCTGTATAACAGAAAAATCTTTGCATTCCGGAACTCTACCATTGTGTCGACTATATCGTGAAGGCATGACTGCAACGAGTGAGATGCGAGAGAATGTTCCACTCGTGATCACCTTGTGATCAGTTGGGCCGATGACTCCGTGACATAAAAGGCTTCATAATTTGTAGTCTATTTATTCCATGTCAAATACCTGCTCAGAAACCAGCCGGGCTGGACCCAGTCTTTGCCTGTGATATTCCCTATAATCATCTGAACAACAGCTTCAGAACTGAACGAGATGAACACAACGACATAAGTGAAGGTGCTCAAGCAAAAGAAGAGGACATACCATGCGACAGTGCGCGGCATTCCATGACCATTATAACCAGCTGGAATATACTGGTTCGTATATTTGACGTTATTAACGTTGTCAATAATAGGCCCGACCTTTTCAACGGCGAACGCGAGAAAAGACCATCCAAGAAGACTTACGAAGGGATCGCCGGTGGCCGTGTAACCCATGATACCCGTCTAATGGAAGAAATGCTACGTGAAATACACTTATTCTGATATCACATAGGACCTACCCAAGCGTATTCAGCTGGACTTCCTTTGGCGTATAGTTTAGGCTGAAGCTGTGGAAGATATGCGACTTCCAGTGCAAGGGTGCTCTCAACCACTGTCGAATCATCTGTGGTATTATGAACGTGTCCCGTATCGTTGAAGGCACTGCTATCAGCACCGAAAAATACGATAGGAAGCTTGTTGCCGTCCGTCTGTGAAATCCAATATCCCGTATCAGTCGACCATCCATCCACGCTTAGTTCCTTGAGGTCTACACCAGCACGAATAGCAATCATCTGTCCGCGCTCAGGCATTATGCACCCATATCACCACATATACGAGATGAGGCTCGCTGCATATACATTCGTAGCATGGATGACGTACTTGCATTCGACGGATCCACGAGGCGTAACCAGTGATCAGGTGTTACGACCGGTGTCGTTGACAGAAAGGACAGGTGAATGAGGGTGAATGAGGGTGAATGAGTGTGAAGAGAAAGGTCACGTTTGCTTGAAATCCATGGGAGTGCGTGCTGGCACCAGGACGTCGAGTCTTTGAGATTCCCTGGCCAGGTAGCCATGGGGGCGGGGTCGATGGCTTGCACTGGCTAAGCTGTTCATATCTAAAACGCTTATAGCTTCGATTTCTTGAGCATTCTATTTTTTTTAATTCTTGCAAAATCAACAGGAAATCGGTATTTTCTGCGGTAGGCATGCAGTCATCGCTGTACTGCATTGGTTACAGATCTGGAAGATATGAGATATTTACGCTAAGTAAAAAAAAGATAAACTTGCTTTCTGTGTTCCTTTAGCCATTTTGCTTCAGTACATATTCTGACATTATTTGAATTTTGAGTTGAGTGGTAGTCATTATTAAAAGAGAAGGGCAAAAACTGTCACAATCACGAGATCTGTGACCTTCGCGAATAGGACTTCGGATATATTTCGGCCGGGACAGCCTTGAAGGCCTGCTGATAAATAGGACCTACTCGACGGAAAGACAGTAGCTGTCTCCTCCAGAAGAGTAATATTTGCCAGCCCCGAGCCTTCCTTCAATAATACTGATCTATTCTACCAGTGTCTCCTCGGACGCAATGTGCTTCTCAGTAGCATCCATCCAGACCTGACGCTCCGTAGGCCTAATTTCCCATGCATTACCCACCGAAACATTTCCTCCATCTTTGAATATCAAAATCTCCCCACCAGTCATCGTGAACATGGGCCAATCTCTCCCTACAAATCGTTTTAATTTGGCAGGCGGAGAATCGAGTGCTGCAACGTACCTGGAGTTCCTGAAGTGGCAAACGACGACCAAAATTCGCCAAAAGTGTCAGAAGCTTGTGCATCCTTTCCCTCATCCAAGTCCTCCCACTATAGATTACAATGGTTATACATGACTGGACGCAGCGTTGTTAGGCGCAGCAAAATACGTACCATAGAGCAATGATTGAAAATAAAGGGAATTTCCCCTGTATGTCTTCATGATGTTAGTGGCGGACACCTTGGTAAAAAGCAACGTTCCTCACAATACACCAAAGTGTTCGTACCCTTCTAATAGACGTGATGGAAGTGTACAGCATAAATACATGTATACTCGGGCTAGTTTACCGGTTCGTGAGTTTGGAACCGTGGTGAGTTTGCTTCCTGCATGGAGCATAGGTGTCAAGTAGCAGCAGTCAGCTGGAAGTCATGGGTTGGTGAATGTGAGTGAAGATCAGTCAAATATGGTAGTTTAACTGCACGTACAGTAGACCACAGTTGATGGTAATGTTCGAAGGTCGGAAAGATCAGGAGCAGGGTACTGTGGGGAATACATGCCCAATAATCGTGTGCACGTTTCATTATCAAAGCCCCTTCTGTCTTTGATCATCCTCATCGCATTTTCATAAATCCAGAACTACGTCTATATCAACGTTGACATGATGTAAGTAGAAAATGGGACGTACTTGGCTACGGTAATTGAAAAATGTGCCTTCGTCGCGGTTAATGCCGATGATGATACTTTCTATCCAAGGATCATAATCACCTAACTCAAGATCAGCAGTAAGAAGGATGCTGGAAATATCGAGATATGCCTTTGCTGACAAGATCCCATACTGGATTCGCCCAACCAGGCTCATTAGGATCATGAGTCAGACACCATATACCGGGACGATAGAAAGCTTGCGTGATTTCAAGAAATTCGGCCATAGGTATGGTCTTCAATCGGTTGATTCGATCTTCCGCAGAAAGTGACGTCGACTTGAGGTTGAATTGGGCAAGGAGCTTGTCATACGGGACGAAGTCTGGCTTCTGGTTGACACCCTGTCATTCTGTAAGAGAAAGTGTGACAGTAGGCGTAAGGATACTACGTGCCATTAGTCCATAAGTACCGGACTGAAGAATTAAGCGACTGAATAGTCGTCTTCCAGATTTGAGCAAAGTCCCAAGGAGAAATGCGCCAGCCGACTCCCCAAAGGCAGTCACGTTGTTAGGGTCCCCCCCAAACTCCATTATGTTTGTCCGTACCCATTCCAAGATCTCAATAACATCATAAAGACCTTAGATCATTCAGCTATATGGTAAGTGTATAACGTTTTGGCTCATACCAAAATTTCCGACGTGTCCATTGACTGCGGCCAGCTCGTCAGTCGCTAACCAGCCAAAGGCGTTCACTCTGATATATACATCAGTGAGGGTACAGACTATATAATGAATACTACAACCTATAGTTTCCTGTAACAACGATGCAAGGCGTCTCACTTGAAGATCGCGCGCGGACGAATTGCGAAGGGTCATAAATGGCCATACTGGACGATCCGGTATTGAGATTTCCTCCATGCACCCATACCTTCAAACAACTGATAAGCATCAAATGATTCCAATAAGAACGCTAGGGTCATTCACCATGACTGGCAATTTAGCAGGTCGTTCGAGTGCTGGAGCGAATACATTAAGCGAAAATGCGTCCTCAGATTGACCCAGAAAATCTCTAGTGAACCACCCTTTCCTTCCAGCGTACATCTCATCGAATGGAGATATCGGCTGAGGAAAAGAAGGCCCAAATTCGAAACACTGGAGAGGCTCGGTCCACGACGTAGGAGGTTGAGCACGCTGCCATCGTTGGGCTTGGGCATAGGGAATCCCAAGCCATTTCTTGATTGGACTGAGGGGGCCTAAAGGGATACAGCAGTAAGGAAGGATCTTTCGCTCAGCTAGACTGAGGTGACATACCAAGGTTCCGAGTCGCAGATGAAAATTCAGAGATGGGATGAGTGTCAATGAATCCCTCCACGGGTCCGCTGCTCGTGTGAGAAATAAGACTAGCGACCATCTCTGCAAGAAGTGCTCAGATGATGAGAATGGCATTCTTATACAGATAAAAATATGACAGTCAAGCCACAACATCTGCTGCTTTCGTACAGAGGCACGCCGTGCGGCGCTAGAAGAGATTATGACCGGCAGTGATCGATACCACAGGCCTGCCGCAACGTTGTTTTTCAAACCAGTATATAATGTAGGCGTCCCGGAAGGTAGCAGTGGTGTCGACGGCCGAGAGCCGAAGGGATATTTCCCATGGATCCAGGGAAAGAAGGGGTTTTGAATATTGTGGTTGGCTGCTAGGCTGAGAATTATGCATAGTGTGGGCGGTATTGTTTGACTAAAGTACGATTCTAGTTCTTAGCAGGAGAAGACTGAGGCTGGTAGCTACCGCGTAAGATGGTAGTATTTTTCTACATCCATGATATGTTCGGATGCAAGCGGTGGAAGCACGAGACGAAAACACTGCAGGGGGCAACGGACCGGACTTGTGCGTGACCACGTAGTACAACCCGTATCTTTCGGACCGTTCTTCGCGGTTCACACAGTCCCTCGACCATTCGCTCAGTGTCCATCATAAACACCTCTTCCTTCCAGTCTGATACTCAGCTTCAAGGAGACGAATACGGGGTATATTGCGCCAGATGGGTGTCTCCAAAGGAATGCAAATATCCGATTTCCTGGCTCTCAATCACCGCAGTAAAACTCATGTGTTCGTCAATGTCCTCCCCTCTGATTCCCCAACAAAATAACCGAGACTTTCAACATTAACGAAAGTCTCTGTTCTCATGTACGTCAAAATGTATCATAATCTCGAAGAACTTCTTTCCCTGCATCTTCGCGCTGAGCGTGCCCTGGTCCTCGCTCGAACACAAGAGATAGAGAGCTTGCATCATACACACGATGCGGAAGAAGAATCTAAGGTTTATGATCAGGATCCTCGTTCTCTCGTCAGAGCTGTTCACGGTGAACCAGAATTCTGGGAAGTCTACCCTCGCATCTAAGATGCCGTACACTGCGTTGGCTATATGATACATCAAATATTCACCTAGAACCAACCGGGCGAAGGAAAAAAAACTTGGCCGCATTTGCAGGCATATTATCTCAGAGTTTACGAGCGCGGAATGTGCGAAGAGAGCTCAGCCAAAAGGTTAGAATGCTCCTGGGTGAGCCAATATCCGCCGAACGTGATTGCAATCAGATTTAATATTCTAGTTGTATTCTGTTCGATTCTCAGATACACAATCACTAGTCTTTCCTGGAATATTCAGTAAAAATCTCCGTATAATCAGGCATCTTATCCTTGCCGTCCAAGAGGCCATAATACCAAGAGTTGTCTCTTCCATCGAATTCGCGCTGAGCAAATCCGTTCCCCCAGAACCGAAAACGATTTCCTGATGCGTAGATATATTTCCAATCTTCCGGACGGAATGAGAGGGCTTCTTCCATGAAATGTACTCGTGAGCCAGGATACTGGTGCGGAATGCCTAGTAGGTATGAAGGTGTTTAACGCACTCCAATTACTTCGCAGGAAGACGTACCACTCAGACCCTTCTTAAACCATGAATTGCATTTGCCGGTCCACACAGTTCGCTGCAGATACAATGCTGCATGCTCCATGTAATCCCTCGCCGCCTCCTCGGTTGGTTCCATGGAAATTATATGTTCCTCTCCCATCTTCCGAACCTACAAGAAATCAGAGGCTAGGAAAGAAGATGGAATCTGTCTACATACGATCTTCAAGAAAGTATCAATCATGATTTCAGTGATGGGCACAGCAGATCCATGACCAGTAGCGCCAAAGGGACCTGCAGCGATGAGGAAATTGGGGTAATTGGGAACAGCATATGAGATGTAAGAGTCAGGCTCCACTGCCCAGCGATCCTGGAGATTTTCGTCCCGAGAAATGATAGGAAAATGAGGTTTCCACGATGTATCAAAGCCCGTAGCCTAAGAATCATTGATCATAGTCCGACGGATAAATACCAGACTCACGCAGATGAATGCATCTACCTCGTGCTCGACCCCTTCGGCATCTATGAACCCTTTATCCGTCATTTCCCCGAGTTCCTCAGTAAAAACTGTCATCTTGGGGTTGGACAATGCTTCGAGATAGCCTGGACCTGGAGTAGGTCGACGACATCCCACGTCAAAATCTGTTGGGATGATTTTCTTTGCGATGTGTGGTACGGTGGCAAGTTTCTTTCGCATCGTCTCTTCACAGTTGGCGCGTGCAGCCTTCGATTCCTCTGAGCCTGAGATTACGAATCGGAAGCGCTTGCTGATGAAACAGCTCAATGACAACTCTGCTAGGAAAGAAAGGCTTACTTAAGTTCGCTCTCCATAGCCTTGCGATACAAGAGGTAATGCTTTGGATCTCGAGAGAATTGTTCTTTCTTTTCCTCTGTATCTGCTCCAAGAGGTCTGCGTAAGATGAACTGAGATGCGGTACAAACGTACAAACGTACAGTCGAAGTTAGTACCTCCAGGCCCAGCGAACATTGCGCCGACGCTGAAATCACGTAAGCACTTAATGAACTAATGGTGTTGAAGCAACAGACCTCGGGACTATCCACGTTGGAGATCGAATCCAATGGTATAGGTGACTCTATGAGAATCAACGACTAGGCAGAGTCTAATTGTGTTAGATGAATCTGAACACACCACATTATCGAGAATGGAGGGAACTATCTGTAGTCCTGGAAGTAGCGATTTAGTAGGATGTTGACGAGCACCGAAAATAGTGAGCGCTCACCGGATGACCCTGATCCCAGAACCGCGACGCGTTTTCCTGTCAAGTCGAGCCCTTCGGGATACCTTGCGCTATGCACCAAAACGCCTGAACATCCATGAACGATGATTTCAGAGTTGGAGTCGGAGTCATTTACCTTTGTACAGCGGCAATCCCTTCAAGTCTGGCCATTTGGGGTGATGCAAACTTCCCCTCATGGAAATGAGGACGTTACAAGTGTCGAGTATTTCCTTCCCGGATGGATCTCGTGTGGTGACCGACCATTCTCCAGTCTCGTCACTCCACCTCGCGCCAATGACTTCGTGGTTGTAAACAATATACTTGTTAAGATCATGCTTCTCGGCATGGTCCTGATAGTATAGTCGAATTTCGGCACCCGATGCTTTATAAAGTAGATGTCAGCAAATATTTCTTTAAGCTGCCAAAGCGCGTACCATAAAAACTCTTCCAATCTGGCATTGTCCCAAAATATAGAGTGCTAGTCCTGACAATGATTGAATGACGCACCGGTCTTTGGTTCCTTGATGTACTGATAGTTGGATCCTGGCACATCCTGTCGCACAGCCGTGATTTTGCTGTTCATGCATATGAGATCAAACCTACACAAGCGACACCAGGGTATCTATCGATTTTGGCGTAACCAGATGAGCATCCAAGAAATTTGAAAGGACCCACCTATTCCAATGCCAACAGCCTCCAGCCTGATCTGCTTGCTCATAGATTACGAGGTCCACCAAGTCACTGTGGTGTGTTTTAACTTGTTGGGCAAGACGAATTCCACTGTGGATTTAGTTAGTCTTATTCGAAGTCAAGTTTGATAAGACAATCACGTTAGGCCAGCACCGATGCCAATGATTTTAAGACGTCTCTCCGGTGTCCGAGCAGGATGCTCGTCGACTGAGTATCCTCTGGGATTCGAAGTCCAATCTTCCGGTGCGAGAACGGCGCTTGTATCTTCGGCTTCGTTTCTAACCACCATGTGGTTTACTTTGCAGGTCCTTACGACAAGTCATGATACGGCTTAAATAATGTCAAGAAGCGGCACGATGTAAGAGACATCCAGGCTCAGAGGCTGCGGCTGGCCGATGATAGCCGCCTACTTATTTTTACGTCTTGTACCCATGGATGGCGCGGCGATGCTTTTTATACCTGGAGATTTTTGGGCAGTGGTGTCCCTCAGGCTCGCAGCCTTGATTATCCATCTTTGTTTCTCCTCCCTTGACGGCCTTTGACAATGACTTGGCCAGCAAGAGGAAAGAAGTATACTTTGTTGCTACAGATCGCATCCATTTCTGCTCTTGCTCTCTATGGCTGGTAATTCCATAGTCACTTTTTCTGACTTCCTTTCTAATCATTGCAACGTGTTTGTTTTTTGCAGGGATGCCGGTATAATGGGAGGGTAAGATGACGAGCGTGAATACTCATGTTACTCACCTCGCTTTTTTTATAGGATCTTAAATACGTGAGGCTTAGTATTTCTACCTCCTTGACGTATTTTATCCATTGGATAGTCCTCAATTCGATGGCCAAATCTATGCTGCCAACACGGAGGTGACCAGCTTCATCTCCAGTGGCATTTTATTAGGTTCATCGCCCTGTCGCCACTAAAGCTGCATGATGTTGACCATTGTGATCATGTAGGCGATATCTTTGGGAGCGCTGCCATTGCACCCTTATCGTAAGCCACTCAAACCTCCTTTCCGTTTATGTTGGCTCATAGGTTGCAGTTGGTCGGTCGGTCGTCGGGTATCAATTTTGCTTTCGGTGCGTCTAGTTTATTTCTTTCTCGCTGCTCGAAGTGTCTCCTAAGATGTTCATAACAGTGCTGGGTTGCTCTCATTGGAATTATTATCCAAACTGCCTCTGTGAACTCCACAATGATGATAGTCGGCCGTACTATTCTTGTCAGTCCGTTAACTCCATATGAAGAAAATTTGCTTAAGGGCTGTCAGGGTTTCGGAAACGGTGCTATTTCGGCTGCTGTCCCTGTATTTGTTCACGAAAGCTCAGTGGGAAAAAACGCACGCAATGCGGTAAGTTGATCGGCGTCTGTACTTCACGATAATCTCGCCATTGACACCGCCGCGCAGGATGAACGAACCACCCAGGTTATGTGGAATATAGGACTATGTGTGTCTGAACGCTAAACAGCATATTTTGAGTTTGACATCTCTGAAGCCGTCGCGGCTATCTCTGTGGTAGCCTGGCTTGGATTGGGTGTTTACAAGAGCCGTGAGTGCTTCCTAGGCACAACTTTCCGATCTCACCTTGTTATTTCTAGCATTCTACAATGGATGGAGAGTTTTACTGTCATCTCAAGCTATCTTTGTTTTGGTACCCATTATCATTTTCCACGGTAAGATTGATTCGCTGTCTGATGATACATTTAAACAATGTCATCCAGGTGTTCTCGAAAGTCCCCGTTGGTTGTACGCAAAAGGCCGAATTCATGATGGCGACGTGTCCCTGGAACGTCTATGTGGGAAGTCCGTTTCGGATCCTACTGTCAAGGCACAACGGGACGAGATCCTAGCTGCCGTACGCTTGGAAGATGCAGATACCCGTAAGATCACAATGGCTTCCTTCTTTCGAAAAGATGAAACCGAGGTTTGTTGCCATCAACTTTCAGCCTTTTCAATCCATCTTCTCCGCTCACACAGTTCTAGACCAAGGTTGTCAAACGCATCTGGATTTCTTGGCTGCTTCAGGTTGGAAAGCCTTTCTTTGGAGGAAATCTGATTGTAAGCATTCCCCTACCCTACTTTTCACTCGAATTTGTACCAATGAACCCATGTACAGACCTACTGTGAGTCTTATGCAGAAATGTTTCAACTATAGCTTGTCAAATATGTCACAGATGGAAAGTCTATCATATCGACCTTACACTTTTCGGCAGACATAACTGCGATTGTAACGGCGGCCCTTAACTCAAGTAAGTTCCGCGACATTTTCGTGCGAATTTCGTCTCAGGTGTACATTTCTCTCGAAGTGGTTACCCTGGGTGTCAGTGAGTACAAACTCTCTCCAACATATCCTGCCCAATTGCTAACTGTATACTCAGTTATAAGCTTTTGGACAGTCCAAAGATTCGGCCGGAAACATATACTTCTTTTTGGCTCCTTTGTTCAGGTCTCTGCCATTCTTGTTTTTACTGTACTTGGTAGTACGTGTTCTCTCTCTCTACAATAACTCGAGCTAAGGTTTCAGATCTTCCCGATCGCATGACAACAAATGCAACTCGTTGGGCTCAAATTGCCATGCTGTTCTGGTGAGGCTTCCGTTTTTGTGCGAGAAGATGTACTCAAGGACCCTTCCTTTAGGTTTGAAGCGGGTTCTGGGTTGTCATGGAGTGAGTCACTGTTCCATCTTTTCGTAATGATCATACCTGATTCCATTCCCCGCATCTAGTTTGGATGGTAATACTGAGCTTACTGTTATTCTTATTCCTCCAGTTTACTGAGATCTTCCCGCAGGTATACCTGTATGCCATCGAGATCGTTCCGACATGTTATAGAGGTCAAGCCGGTGGAATAGGTAAAGGGGAATTGTCGGCCTTTTTCTTACCAGATATTCACGCACGGTGTTCATAGGCAACGTTGGCGTTTGGACAATGGCCTGTGAGACCGTCTCTCTTTTATAATTTTCTAGCATACCTGACCAGTCGGACGTCGATTCAGTTGTATTCGTTTACAGCGGTCCCATCGCTATCCAAAGAGTCGGAATCAAGTTCTTTATTTTATTCATCTTTGGTATTTGTCAGTTTCTTCCGCAGATATTCTTACGAATATGCACCCAGGCGGATCGATTGTTACGGTACTCGTCGCCATATGTGAGTGCTTTTTACTGGGTTTGGAGTTTCTGAGGAACCTGAATGTCTGCCCTAGTCGTTAAGGAAACCAAAGGTCTAACGCTAGAAGAAATCGATCTTCTATGGACATCTGAAGAGTATCGCATTCGTAACAAGGATGCCCAGTTTATTGAGGACAACATCAGCACTGATTCGGAACACAAATCTATTGTTGGTAGTGAAGGTATAAATTGTGCAACTGAAAAGGTAGTATAAATGTTCCGATCTACTTATTAGAAAGCTGTTGGCGAATTTGATGCCGCTCAGTCGGCGATTTCACTATGAAAAACAATTTTTTTGGAAGTTCAGTGGCTATCCAACGAGCTATCCTGTCCCTTCAACCCAACATCGGTTTTTTTTTGATAATTACACTCCAGGCCGCTCAGGGTCGTAAAAATAAGATAACACTGCCCGAAAGTGGCCCTGATTTGGGCGCTTAATGGATTCCGTCATCCTCAAACACATGTTGCCAGAGTACAAACTACAATGTTTGATCCCCAAGGTGAACAGCCTGAAACAGAGGATACCTTTGTCGTTCGAATGAAGGCTGCAAGAGCGTGTGATTTGTAAGCATTTGTTATCTATTAACCCCATGTCAAGGGGACTGACGACGGACTCTCGCTGTAGGTGTAGACGTAAGCGGCGCCGGTACGGGATTTTTTTTCGTGGCGGGGAGTTTGACTGAAAACCTTTGGATTGGGTTGTAGATGTGAACCTCTTCCAAAACAGAACGTATGCAAACAGGTTTGTGTGTCTTCAGACACTTATTACATGGAACTCACCCTTCCGCTGGATTCGCAGTGTCTACAAGGAAAAACGGAATGCACTTGGGTATATTCACCACTATCCTTTGTGAATAGGCTTAGTAAATGGTCTGATTTAGGTGCTACCCATCTCTGAGACGCGTCATAAGTGTGTTCTTGCCTTTCGCGCGGCATAATTGGTCCTAACGTTGGCTGCAGACGGCGAGCACACATTCAAAATTCTCCGCCTGTTGACGACTCTGATAGTCCATGGAGCTCCAAACGGCCGCGTCATCCTCTCATGCGGCAAGATTCTCCTGGTATTCTTGGCGACAGTCTCTTTTCTATGGCTTCTTCCATATCACCGCCAAAGCCTTCTTTTGGCTATGCTCTCAGCGAAACAAAACTTCGAGGACCCACTACGATAACCCATATGATGCACTCGACTTCCACTTTTCGTAAGTGGACGCTATCGCACAACCAGGACAACGGCACTGATACGATATAGCGACTGAATTACTGGAGGCCCATGACAAGAAACACCGTACTTATACTGAGATGCAGCAGCATGCTGGGGACGCCATAATCCGAGTCGCAAGTCTAGATCTCAACGATAAATTCCATCCTTCTTCTCCGAGCCTCCGCGAAATAGACTCTGTCTCTAGATTACCTACACCGGTGTACATGGAACCGACACTCATAGACCGTCTTATCCGGTTCTATCTTGACGTTCATGCCTCGACTTTTCCTGTCGTCTCTAAGGACGTCTTCATATCCTCCGTGCCGCTGTCTCCGGTGCTCGTGTATGCCATGGTCGGGATATCTGCGATGACACTTTCTTCGCATGCGCCTAAAGGCACTCTTGAAGCGGTTCAAACGAACATGTCTGCTCTTCGGCGGACGGAGGTACTTTCTCCATTATCCAATCTCTCTCGCTTGCCAGCTCAATCAGAGAAGGATTTTCTCAGCAGGTGTACGTTGCACGAGCTCCAGGGCCATCTCCTGTTCGCCTTAACAATGGAGATGGAGCAGGGTAGTGTTGGTTCAGCTGTATGGAACTCGCTGGGCTTAGTAAGTCGCTGGCTATACGGAGCCTGCATGATTCCGCTGATGTTGCGTTTCTTCTAGGCAATCAGACAAGCCCAAGATCTAGGCCTGCATCGCGAAACCGTATCAGATGACGCAGGCGACCATGTAGAGACCCGACGAAATGTTTGGGGAGGTCTCATTGTTGCTGACCGCTGGGTATCCGCTTTTTGTCTGTAAATTTCAGAACGCAGAATGTAGGATCATGTGCTCATTGCTCATTCTTATTCAGATGGTCTTCCGATGATGATAGATTTGAGTGACTGCGACAGAATCTTCCCGAAGGACGAAGGTTTCAAGGCGCTCATAGAGCTGTCAATCCTCCTGGGACGTGTAGTCAAGATGTGCTATACACCGACAGGCGTTATCAATGTGAAGGATGAACAAGCCCAGGATCTGGCGAACGAAATCCAGAGCTGGTTATTTGCTCTGCCGCCGACTTTATCTTGTGTCAATCATCCCCCGGAGCACGCCCCGATATCTGCAGGATTATTGAACCTCTGCTACGTTGCTGTTCAGGTAATGTTTAGTCAGACTTCTAGCCTTATGCTGAGCCAACGAGTTGCTGTAGTTCTTCTTTGTTCGTCCGTTCATGCGATTGAGCCATACAGCAGATACCCTCAGCTTTGCAATCACTGTCGCTGACTGGCAGGCTCTTGCAGCTCGAGCAAGATATGGTGTACGTCTAGCATATTTTGATTTGATTTGATTTAGTCCTGAAACAAGTTCTATTGTAGATTCTCTGGAGCGAACATCACCTTGACCAACTTCAGACCTGGAGCTTTTCGCTCTATTGCTTATTCATCTGCTGCCTGATTTTGGTACGAGAGTTTACAAGCGGTCCTGTCGAAGACTGATGCGCATTAGTACCACACTTACTACCGGTCGCGGCGCCCGGACGTTCTCGCTGCGATCCTCAAAGGCAAAGATATCATGGATAGAATCCATCATCCGGCCTGTCATGCTAGGTCAAAGATAGCCGAAGTTATTAACCTGCTGAGCGAAGCAGCTACTAATCCTCGTGAAGATGCTGCCAAGAAGCGAACTAGCATCAACCCTACCCGAGGGGTTCGGCTACGGAAACGTGAACCTAATCTGCGTTGGAAAGCCGATACCAATTCCTTTGCAGGTGACCCTGACGTTGAAGACGGCGAGAGGCCTGTTCCTTCACATTTAGTTGCATCGCCTGCTGCCGATACCCCGAGTACTCCGATCTATTCTGGAGATCCTCAGTCTTACCCCGTTCAAATAAATGTCAACCCCTTGATGCATGGACTCGCAGCAGCCACAAATCTGTACGAGCCAGAGTTAACCTTTCCAGACAGTACCACGGATTCTTCGCAACAGTCTCAGAAGTCAACAGATTTCGGTACGCATCCTCTTCTCCACGAGAGATAGTTGCCTTTAGAAGGCTTTGCAGATTCTTGGGAAACATTGATGAACGGAGGCGATTGTCCTAGCGTTTGAGTCCCATCGCATTCGTTGTATATATACGCCTTTCGTTCCTCATAGCATCCATCTTGTACAGTATTGTTGTTGGTGGCTGAACTAATTTTTATCGTTCATAGATGAGCGTTTCGTCTCGTACAACAAAGGACCGTAAACATCAATAGACGGAGGGCAATAAACCACAGGTCATCTTCCGATTTTGTGAGAGTAGTGCATGGTCACGGTCTTCTACTTCTGGCTCTCCGAGACTTAGGGAGTGTACCAAGGTGGATAACAAGCTCAGGTCGTCCTCTGGGAGTGTCTGAACAGCGTCAAGCTCCGCCTTCAAATGCTTCCGGAGGAAGAATCTGCAAGAGTCGGTTGGTATCTGGAGGTACGTCGGAACGTGTCTTGGGAAGAAGCTTCTTTCCATGTTATTCTCCAAAAGTCCTGACATATCTGAACGGCGAAAGCTATGGGCAATGTTAGAGAATGTCGAGGCAACCAAATGATCTGCTTCAAGCGCCCTACGTTGCAATGTTGGGGGGAAATGGAGTCTCCAAGCTGGCGCCGCACTTGACTTTATAGACTCTACGTACGTACATGGCAGTCCAACTTGCTTGTTCAACCTGCTCACGAGTCACGACGCACGTTGAACATCGCTTACCCGATGTCCAAGTGCCGTCACCTGGTAATACGACTCAGGTCTGCATAGATACGGTCGGGAATGTAGAGGTGACTGACATTGTCCTCTCGAATATCACCTAGTACAACTTGACATGCAATGATAGCATTAATTCTCTGAAACAGCGGGATATACTAGTTGCATATACATGAATGCCACAGCCAACAATGTCTAGATGTAACTCACGACTTCCTTTGCTTTCTGCAGCTAGTTGTCAAAGGCATCTTGTGGTAAAGAACTTAAGGATCATGATTCCCTACTTGTCGCAAATCTCGGCCAGAATTGTCCCTTTGATGTACTCTGGGAAGAGAGCTCGAGTGGACTCGCTATTTGGCATCATAAACTACGTACATAGTGAGTTCTATATTCACATAAAACCAGCAACGGATATTTACCTTAATTTCAGGAGACGTATCCTAGAGACGACTCTGCATGTCAGTCATCTAGACCTGGGACAGTGGATTCGGTTCTACTGTTCCACAGAACAAGGTGGAGTTTTCCCCCTTTCAAAGCAAAGAAAGATAGCGGACGGCAGTCAGGATGAGGGGATTCTTTCCGAGAACAGGGTATACAGAGCTCGGCAGAGTTGGAAGGCGCTGCTGCGACCATGCCAGAGCCACCAGGTCAAAAGAACGAGCATCCGATCCGGTACAGGTGGCCTTGACAACGTCACGACATGGCGGAGGGGTCAGTGGTGGTGACGGTGCAGCTACGGTCGCGTATTTGACGTTTATTTGCGAGGGCCGGCAGGTCAAGCAACCGAATTCGATACAGATGGCCTCAACGACGGCAAGCCATTCGGTTTAACAGCAATGTCCCCAACGACATTCTTCACGGTATCATGTGATCTAAGCAAAGAAAAAGTGAAAATTCCGGCGAGTGTCTGATGTCCAGTGGTGGGATATTATTTATGGTTATGCACTTTCTCTCGCTTCAAAGGGGGATAGAGCGGGATTCCTATATGTGGGTTCTCCTTGGTTTCGGAATTTGTTTCTAGCAATCAGAAATGCATCGGATATTTCACTTTTTCCGATGTGAGTGACATTCTTTCAACAATTTCCTGTTAATGCTTTCATCTTTCTTAGTCTTTCTTAGGTGAATCTGAATCGGCATTGCTGGCAAGCTCCTACTTGATTGAAGAACGAGTATCTCACGTCTGTCCCTGAAATCTGATGAATAGCTTCTGTTTGTGGCTGGGTCCGGGTATCCTATCGGTATCGTTTCAATTCACCTCCTGCTGACGCCGTACCATGACCGACCTGGACGATACATTCGAACTCTATGACCTTCGAATCGAGGTCATCTGTCCCCCAGGCGAACCCATTCTTTGTGGTGCGAAGGAGGGCGATTACCTTACGCTTGAAGGCGAGCTTCTCCGCTTGCCTCCTGGTCAAGGGTTCTCCATATATTCACCTTGGTATGTCAGAAAGTTTCAGGTTTCGATTTAGTGTTAACAGGCACCGGAACTAATTAGGTGCCCTGTTGCCATTACTGGCGGCTAAGCAGCGCATCACGCATCCAAATGACTGGATGTCAACTGATGCTGTGGTGCCTGCTCCGATCCTAATTGCAGGTCGCAGTTAAAATTTGTCAGAACCGGGGTCAGAAAATTCCGTCACGCCGATACAACTGTGGTACCCCTTGAGAAGTCGATTTACTAAACTATTTAATGGCTAATCTGTGTTAGCAGTGATTCTTCGCCACTTAAGCCGGGCCGTGTAGATTGAATTACAAGTGCTATGGGACATGCTCGATGCCTATTCCTCCCATGGTAACCGTCTCGCTGATAGTTGCTTGCAATGATGCGCTTATAGTGGAAGGCATTTCCCTGCCACAGACAAGCGTGACATTCCTCCCAAGACGCCCAGGTATTCAACAAAGGAGTTGAAGTTCTCCCGACTAAATTCTACCCTTTTTTTGTCTAATGTTGCCAAAGCAAAGAAACTCCTTCCCGAGTATGTCTCCTGCTTTCCGGCGAGTTCTAAGAGTTGACTAACGCAGCAACACCTAGTACGTAGTTTGATACCTATGGAGGTTGCACCTCATATGATACCTATGCTAGTTAGCAAACCTGACCCTGACCCTTCGCACGTATAACTATGTCTGTTAAGCCGTCAAATCCTTCTGCTGACTCCTAGCTCATGGATATTGACTCGTGGGGAAACGACCTCACAGCCGTGCTTCAGTACAATAAGGGCGGCGGTGTTGCTGGGCTTGTTCAATGAGTGACAAGTTTACTCAAAAGATTCGGCCAGGCAGATGGGATGAGGGTCTGTATAGGCACAGGAAGCTAGGATCACACCGCAACAATGTTTTACTAGATCAAAACGAAGCTCCTGTTATCAAGTAATGCGAGGTACGAGACGGGTAGTGGGGACCTGGCGGTGTTCATAGAGCATAACGTCAAATACTAAAGACTATTGATGCTCCCAGAAGAGTCCGCGCATCATGATGGACGAAAGACGTGATATGTGAGAATTTGGTTCAGCACGCTGATCGATGAGGATGCGGACGGGGTTCTAAGAAGGTTTGCGATTGCGCTATGTGGGTGGCCAGCCGAGATGTATTAGATGCAAAGCTTATCGACACAATAATGGTCCTAGGCGTGCCTATATTTGTCGCATGAGGCCACTGCTATCGCAGAGCGCGCCGACAAGATTCTCTTAACTACTTTTCGGCGTTTGACGTCGTCCTTCCTGGGAGACGGTGTTATGTAGGCAATACATGAGTCTAAATTGAATCTTAAGGACAAGGGCGATAAGGGTTATGATTTTCGTTTTACTACGCGTCCAGTTAGAGCTTCGAGTGCTCCTTTGGCATCGCTGTCGGGTAGGGGCACAAGAACGTCTCGGGCTTGTTCGGCATATGCAAGGGCAAGATCGCGAGTACGTTCTACGCCTGACGATTTCCGGACGTAGTCTCTGGCCTGCTTTCATGAGAAGAGTGTTTGAGTAAAAAAGAAAGTAAGGCTCACCAGCTCGACATCGCCTGGCTGGTTAAACTTCCTCTCGATGAGAGGTCCAATTTCGGGATGTTCCTCCCAAGCGAATAAGGCAGGGCCCGTAGCGAGTCCAAGTTGCAGATCAGCACCTCCAGGCTTTCCGAGGGTTGCCTCTCCAGCTTCATAATCCAGGATATCATCGACGAGCTAACAAGTAATCAGCGAAAGAAGAAATAATACCGAGAATTACCGCACCTGAAACGCGATGCCCAAATTCCGCCCGTAAGCGTATGCTACCTCTCTATATATCTCTCCTTCCGTGCAACCCCCAAGCACCACGGCACCCCTTGCACCCTTCGCCATCAGACTCGCAGTCTTCATGTATGTCTTCTGCAGGTACACCCTCCAAGCATTCGCTGGGGCCGGCGCCTCCTTCATTTGTAAAATCTCTCCCTCGACAAGGTTGGATATGATACTCGCGATGAGCTCGACGACCTCGGGGTCACCCAGGCGTGCAAGAGCAGCGCTAGCACGTCCAAGGATAAAGTTCCCTCCCAGCACTGCAAGCTTGCTTCCATATGCCTGGGGAGCGGAGACGGCGCCGCGACGAAGGGGTGATTCATCAATAACGTCGTCGTGGAGCAGGGAGGCGGCATGGATCATCTCCACGATTTGGGCGAGGCGAGTTTGAGTGGGAAGGATACCGTTCCATTCCTTCTGCGATGTCGGATTAGCTGCTGTCGTGGAGTGTATATCCCACTTTTCTGAGAATGACGCGGTTTTGGTTGGGATGCTCGGGTTGAAATCGTTGAGCACGTCGGCGCGCGACAGCGGCAAATCCAGGTCCTGAACACCCTCCAACCGCCTCTTTTCCCAGTTCTTTCCTAGCCCGTTTGTGGCCTGGGCGAGTAGAAGGATGATGAGCGGTCGTAGTTGCTTCGAAGGCTGCAGGAAGTAGTATTTCGCTATTTCATCCAAGGTTGGGCTTGAAGAGCCCAGGAGATCAAAGAGGGCACCGCGAACTTGGGCGAGGTGGTCGGCAAGAAGGATGAATGGATCCGGACGCGTAGATGTCGAGATTCCTGCGGTGAATGCTCGCTTGAGGGCGCCGTTATTGCGTGGCGATGTCGTGAAGGGAATGGTTGAGCGAACAATGCTACCTCGCCATCCTCGCATCTAAAAATATAAGAATAAATTATAACAATCTGTATTCGCGCAATTGCGCCTCACCGAGTAAATTGATATGGTTCGGATGCCGCCGCTTATCTCATCACATTTTATGTTGAAAATATCATTATATTAGATAGAGAGTCACCCGTAAATATTGTCAGTCGAGTAACGAATCTATATCAATCTCTTCTTTTATCTCACGACTAGGATCATTGCCACCCGTCGTTTCTGATGGTCCGCGGGGAGCTGGAGAACGCTAGAAATAAGAGGCCAATTACTCGACAACACTGAATGCAAAAAGCAAAGCCGACCCACGAAATAATTTCCCTTAGATGGACGTGTTGACGGGTCCCTTTCAACGACCAGTCTTGATACCGCATACGGCCCCGTAAGGGCTTTTCTAGCCAAAGACTCGTACAACCGCGACGCTCGATCATGTCTATGCCCCTGTAAAAAATATCAGTGTCTCAGCCGACGAAATCCAGAGCATGCTTACTACTGTTGTACCGATTACCTGTTCCCAAAGAGATGTCAGAATGTGAATGATAATGCACCAGAGGAAACAATATACCATCGCCTTATCAAACGATTGCCCAGGCCTGGTGTTGTCTTCTACAGTGTCAATCGGAGGAGGCAGTATATCCTGTTGAATGGATTATAACTGAAGATTATAGTTCAGAAGAATCGTACCTCTGGAAGGTCTCGTTCCCAACGCTCAGGTCCAGGTTCCTTTGAAGCGGGCTCGGTAAACGTGAGAATCGACATCAGGAAGAATGATTTACCTTGCGTGGTGCTCGGGGTTTCCCCGATCTCTTATAAGCAAGTGCAAAATTTTGCTCTCCAGATCTTACGAAATGAATATCTGCACCCTCATCCCTTGAAGTCGAAGTCGCTCGATCGTCCTGTGACAATCGTTCAAATTTCTGAAACGCTTCGACAAAAGATAGAACATGCATACTGTTGTTGACCAACCCTCCTGTTTCGCAGGGATCAGGTTGTGAATGACAGAGTATGATCGGAAACGACATACCAATTTTACATCAGACATCGACTCCTTGGAAATTTCTTGCCAAGGGTCAATTTGTGGAGGTTGTATATCCTTTTAAGCGAATCCGTCAGCGATCGAAGACCAAGAAAGGCAGGCGATGTACCTCCGGAAGGTCTCGTTCCCAGCGCTCGGGTTCAGGTTTCTTTCGCAGAAAACGTGATGAACACGAGAATTGACATCAGCAAGGATGACCCGACCCACCTTGGGGGGCGCTCGAGGCTTACTCGGCCTCACATAGACTGATGAATGTATTCCATGTTTAAGGAAATTTATCTGTGGGCCTCCGTCCTCAGACGGTTTGTTTTCCGAAGAGTCTTGTGGAAGAGTGTCTTGATTTTCCAGTATTTTAATCATGAGATTCGCAGGAGCCTCCTGTTTCATCCTTTGGATTTTTCCCTGGGACAAATAGTCATTGACATGATAGAGAGCCTAAAAATATGCTTCAAACCTCCACCCCATCACGAAAAACTTCTCGCCATAACTGCAGTCGTTTTCTCTCTTTTTCAATGAGATCAGGGCCTTCAGGCTCGTTGAATTTTGGGAAAGGCGGTACACTAAGACTTTCTCGTGTGTCCGGTGCCCTTTCTGACTTCGTTACGGTGGAGGGATGAGTATCCAGGTCCGCGTCAGGGGCCGTTGCATTAGCGTTCTGGATAAAGTGTAAGACAAACAGAAGACGACGGCGTATGACGAGACTTGCCTGCCCAGCGAAGACAGAAAATTCGCGACGGTGATTCAGGCTACCCTCATTTCGACCACTAGACCTGCGATAAGGTTTGATGGTGCTTGTGAAGTCATCTCCTTCTTCATCTTCGATCGTGTCAACATTCGAGTCTGATGGCGCAAAGAGTGCATCGTACACCGCCTGTTCCCCGGTTTCGGTGGCATCTCTGACATCCTAGAAAGCAGAATGAGGGCTTTGGCACCCGACACCAAAGATAGAACGTACCGAAGCAGGTTCAGGGTCGATGTCCTCAAACCCGGCGAATTCGCCATCTTCGTATATATCACCATCTTGGTTGTTTGAAGAGTTTTGCCACGAAGGCGACTTTTCATCGTAGTTTCCTGTGAGTCGACAAGGCAACTATGGCAAGAAGAGGACTCACGCTGAAGGCGTTCCGTCCGTCAGTATCATACCCGACTCCTTCTGTATCGTCGTAGGATTTTGGGGGCTGCCTTGGAGTTTCGGACCTGGAGTATCCGCTCTGAAGACTTGTCAACGATTCCATATCTCTGTGATGAAGAAAAGACACACCCTGGCGATAGTGTTCTGTCTGCTGTCATCGTACTACAGCACAAAACGCGTAAAATTGGGTTAGACGACGAAAATAATGCAAACACACCGAGAACGGGTCGTACTCAAATCCCTAGATAGCGTGTTAATATTATTGTGGTGCGAGAAAGATTGATGGGAAATAGACCTTCTCTCGCGCTTCTTTCTCGCGCTGCCATATAACACGTTTTGGAGGCTGAGGCGGCAGTCAATACATATTCAAGTCGACACTGTATATAGGACTCACAGGTGGATGCGCAGTTGACATCCTCTGGAATAGAGGTAGCAACTTATTCCTCTCCCGCACCTTTTTCTTCCACGCTTCTACGCGTTTTGTTTCAAACATTTCTTTTGGATCAGGGTCAGGTTCATCCGAAGGTTCCGACCCAGGTACGACCCGCCATCGATAGATCTGCTCGGCACCAACAGGTTCTGAATGGTTAACGTAGAGTGCCTTCCTTCTCGTTCTCCTCGAATCCTTATCTTTGGCGTCTTTAGTGACAATGACTCTTTCGACTTCGTTAAGACGAAGCATGTCCTCCAGGATAACCTTTTTCAAGTACCTGATACACGATGTAGCCGGGTAGAATGACAAGAGACGAATGAACGTACCTCATCGACCGTACGGGATGGTCTCCCAGCGCGGGTGCTGGCTTCACAAACGCTCCGCCACGAGCTGGAGGTGTCCGCGGAATCTCGGCCTGCACAGGCACAAGGTGCTTAGGGAGTTTTTCGGTCGGGTACTGCTTTACAATTTCGTCGAACAGCTGTTGATGGTGCATGCCAATTTTCGGTTCCTTCAGCAAGACATTTCTGACAATCTGACGAGCCTGTGCCGTGCTCCAGAAGACATAGGATTGGATACGACTAGCCGCGCTCATGGTTGCTGGTGGGCAGTCGAAACAAAGTCGCACAAGACTTTCGACGCGACAGCCGGAAAACTTCCGAGTTTGTGGATACTTTGAGATGATTCCAAGTCAAAACGAATGCGGGAGGGATTACAGTTGAGAATGAGGAATAGGATGGGCGGCCATGGAAGAGACAGAAAATAAGTGGCTGTGCATTTTTTTTCGGGCCGAGTCTCTTTCAAACGAAAAACATCACCACCATGATATCGTGTCGACGGCTATTCAGCAATTCTGCCATACATTTACATGAAAATCCTCTAGTGAGAAATTTCCGCACTGAACTGTATATATCTCGACTGATTTAAAAGGGTCTTCCCAGACAGAAAACTGTGCCTCCGCAAATTCCACGGAGAACGGGTCCCCCAGCGAAGAGAGGTATACCCAATGTCAAAAAGGTCCTTGCAGTTGCTAGCGGAAAGGGAGGTGTAGGGAAGAGCACAGTCACTGGTACGTTAGATTCGTCAATAGTTGTAACAAGCAGTGTCTCATGTCCTCATAGTAAACCTCGCATTCGCACTGGCAATGCTTCCATCGCGTCTACGAGTCGGTATTCTTGATCTGGACATATTCGGACCGTCAATACCCACACTTATGGGTCTAGTTCATGCGGGAGAGCCTCATCTCACTGAATGTGCGTGTATAAGCCTTCAACGCTTCTTTATCTTTATATGGTACCGCAGCTGGTGCACTCCTGCCTGTAACCAACCACGGACTATCCACGATGTCAATGGGGTACCTCTTACCAAAAGGCATCGATACAGCAGTAGTATGGCGGGGGCTGATGGTGCAGAAAGCTGTACAGCAGCTGTTATTCGACGTGGATTGGACTGGGGGAAGTGGTGGACACGGACTGGACATTCTGGTGGTAGATATGCCGCCTGGAACTGGCGATGTCCCATTAACACTCGGACAGCTGGTTAATGTTGATGGCGAGTAGTAGCACTTATCGTTCGAGTCTAAAGCAAGGAAACTGATGTGAAAGTAGGTTCCGTTATCGTATCGACGCCGCAAGACGTCGCTCTAACAGACGTGAAGAAGGGGATTTCAATGTTTCGCAAAGTTTCAGTACCTGTTAGTGGTTTCTTCGTGCAGGCGGCGGCATTTACTTACGACGTTTGCAGGTGACCGGTCTCATACTGAATCAGTCTCATTTCATCTGCGGAAACTGCTCGACACCTCATTACCTCTTTGGTTCGCCGGACAGATTTCATGAAGCTGCAAAGCAGATGGAGGTGGATGTACTCGCCGAGCTCCCTTTAGTTCCGGGTGTGAGCAAAGATGGAGATTCAGGAATACCGTATGCATTGAGTGGGTGGAATGAGAATGAAGTGGGAGGAAAGATTTGGAATGAGGCGATGAAAGGTGTAGCAGAAAAAGTCTGGGCGACATTGCAGCGACCCCCATCACATGTTACACTTTGAGGAGCAATTTCCGTGCTTGATGGACAGTTATGGACAGTTGGATTTGTGAGAATATTCTTGATTTTTTTGCTCGACAATATACACATTTCACGCAAGGTAATTATCCCCTCGCGTCGGCCTGGTATCATCAATAAGTAATCTATATATTAGTAAAGTTATTACTGCTCCTTTTTGTTGCCCTTTAACTGGACCTCCAGTAGCGGGTCAAGGCTCTTTTCCGGCTGTCGGTAAGAATTGCCGACCCTGTCTGCCCAGGTAAAGTATTGGCCATAGTTGACCGTAAAGTATATATGGTGGAGAGTGTGATGCGCAGGACCGTTAATGACGGTCTCGAGCGGGTGGCCGGTGACCATGTCGGAGTCATGAATAAAGATGGACCAAAAGTTGACGAACACGAAGAGGCAGAGGTAGACCATGCGGTGGAGAGGGAAGAGGAATACGAATAGATGGTACGGGACAGACTGGAGATAGCCATCGACTGGATGGAAGGCATGTGATGACCACGGAGATGGAACTGATAACTGTCATTAGCAAATCGGATTTCGGTTGGCAATAAAAGGACGCACTGATCCATTTATGGTGAGGTTTGTGGAGAACCTTGTAGATGAAAGGGATATGCAACCATCGATGCACCCAGTAAATGCAGTAATCAGTGAACAAGAGGAATCTATCTGTCCATCAGTACCAGGCGGGATGTTAACACTGAAACTTACAAAGGAACACTGGCGAACAAGTATGGCCAGCCATAAGTATCGAGACCATCGTAAAGCTTGCTGTAGCCCATAACTTCAGCTTGGAACCATGGAAGGGTAAGGAGGGTCATGACGGGGAATGCCCGCACACTGGTCATTATTTCGAGATGGACTTGATTGGGCAGGAATTTTGGATGGCGCATCATGTCATGGTTGAAGATGAACGTGTATGAAAGCCACGCAAAGATGAAATACAATGCATGGATACCAATCAACGTGAGTACGGAGAGAGAGATAATTTGACGCGGTATGTAGTCGCGAGGCCATGATGAAGTTTCGGGCAATAAGACTGTCGGTTCCCATTGTTCGTAGGAAAGACCGGATGAATTTGTATGGAGAGGGAGGATGCGAGCCCAGACCTTGTCGAGCAAAAGGTCGTCAGCAGTGCTCAGTACGAAATCCATGCTAGATGCTCGTTCCCAAACTCGTTTTTTTTCAACTTTTATTATTATATATTATTTTTGTGTGTCGCACCACTTTTCCATCACGTGATTTAACCGGAAAAACGGACTGTTTTCTCTTTGTCTGGGCCAGCCATCGTCGTACGACATCTCCAGTTCTTTATATCGTGCAGTTGCAAGTATTTTCTCAGACAAGGCTAGGCTCGACTAGGCTTGTATCCATCCTCAGGTCCATCCACCGCGTTTGATCACCGCGTCAGCTCTAAGTTCGTCTAAATGCCGGTGCGCAGTACTCTGACATCCAGCTGGGAAGAAATTCATTGTATTTACAGCGGTGATTGCCGAATTTAGGTTGACTATTGCGTGTCGCGGTGGTCTTCGGCTCCTTCACCGTGTCTGCCTTGGTTCATTACTTCGGCGTGTGGGTATGGGTCATCGTGCCCAATTTTGGGACTCTGGATGTTTGTTCCTAGTCAGTGCGATTGGCGCTCTTGCCGAGGATGCGTTTCGTCACGTTTTTGGACTCAAGGTTGGAGGTGGACATGGACCATGACCTGGCTGCTATTCTGGTCAAACTATCTCGTAGATGCGTGGGCACAAGCTGCTCCCCGTTTCCTAAAACAATGAGGCCGGTAGATACTTTGGGGTTGACATACAATTGGTATCAATTTAAATTTAACTATTGTATGTTTCCCTTTTATATATATTACATTGAGGATGAATGAGTTACAGAGTTTTTGATAGATGTAAATCTGTCCATTGCATCACCTATGAAGAGTAAGAATCTCTTCAACTTTGTGCCAATGTAATAGAAAGGCTTTTATTGACCATCAGCCTTTCTTTATGATAATCCAAGGGTTGATACTGAGTAGTAAGAGGTGTACCTATTTATTTGGTAAATGGCTAATAAAGGCAGAGAGAACTGGGAGATAAGCCTTCTCTGTATAGTAAATGAAGCACAGATGTTGCAATGTACTATACATGGAGCTTGCTTCTTTGTATTTGATGGGTATAGAGCAAGTTGGAGAAAGTTGGTTACTTTGAAAAGATACTTTTTGTCATGATTTTAGCCTCTAATCATAATCTGCTGATGCTTAGTATGCTGTCAGTAATGATCAAACAATCACAAATGTTTGGCATGAGGGCCTCAGAGACTGCCCTCAAATTAATTGCAACATGTGAATGGCTATCTAGTAATACAAGAGAGAGGTGGATAGGGGACAAAAAACTCAATGACTTGTACAATAATGGTCCAGTAATACTGAATGAGGATTGGTTAAGTCTGGTGAAGCCAAGACTACTTGAGTGAGCCAATTGTGAGATAAATGAAGAGGTGGAGCCTCACCAGGCAACAGGAGCTACTGATAGGTGAAGAAGGAGGTGAAGCCTTGAAGCCTGGGATTGATGGTCAGAAAAGATTGACAGTGAGAAAGTGGAGCTCATCTCACTTAGGAATGTAGGATGAAAGTGGGAATGAAGAAGAGACATCTGGCACTGATGTCTCTCATGAATCAGCATCAGCTGAGACTTAGCACTGAGACAGAGATGGCACTGGCAATCCCTCTTCATGGATGAGTGGAGCTCTGTATCTCTGTGTTGACAGAGATTGTGACAACCTCAAGAGTCACACAGAGGCCTGCAAAAATGCTCTCTACCCTTGGAATCTGTCTTTACAACAGGTAATGACCAAACAATCACAAATGTTTAGCACTGTGATCACCAGAGTCTGACACTAACTGAAGTCTGTGAAGCAAGATGATGATGAGGATAATGAGATAAAGGATGATGATAGGTGGTATGAGATAGAGAAGTTGATAGACTATGCTGTAACCACTAGCATGAATACTAACAGTGGTAGTTGCACCAAGTAGTCAAGGAGTTTAGTCAGTATATTAACCTTAGCTCAAGACCAGAGTATATTGTCATATACTACTGTCTTAAATACTGTCTAAGAAACCCTGCACTGTACAGGTGACTATTGTCCCATTGTTGTGTCTACTACTCATTGTCTTTATAATAATAATCCTGCTATCAGATACTTATGCTACTATTGTTTTACAATACCATTATTATAACAAGTTTCCCATAAGCTATAGCATCTATTATGAAAAGGGCATGGGGATGTAGTGGTCAGCATGCTGATACCAGCTGCTTATTGTATGTTAATAAGTAAGGTGTAGCTATAGTATCATTATAGCATTATTATCTGTGGTTTCATGTGGCTGTTGTGAGGTTTCTCTGTGGCCAAGGCTGAACTGCACTTGGGGTTTGTCAGAATATATCAGGCTTTTATAAGTGTCAGCTTATCAAGTGTTGGTGAGTGCAAACAGGGGCTGAAGGTTATGATTAGAGATAAAAATCATAATATTACTCTCTCCTCAAGGCAATCATCTCTGATTGCTTAGAGCAGCCTAGAGAATAAGGTATGAGCCTCATCCTGCCTGCTAATCTCCACAGAGGTGTTGCAAGTCCTCTAAGGGATATTTTTAAATAGTGAAGGTCTCTGCCTTGACATCATCAATATCCTTTTGTATATAGAGCTTTTTGTGTTCAAACAGTTGACATTTAAGCTTAAAAAGGAGCTTCTGGATTCTGATAAAGTCTATTTTGTCAAACATCAGTCATTCTAGCTTAGCAAAATTGACTGCTGCAAGTGAGTTCTATACTGCACAATACTTCACTATAAGCCTCTTGGCATATGAAAGGTTCTTTTTTGCATACCACTGGTTCTTCTCATTGCCATAGCCCTTGAAATAAACCAAAAACCATTGTTTTTAGTAACAGATTTTGTCATCAAGAATCACATTTATCTTATACTCATCTTTATTATCAATAACCACTGGTTTAGATGATGGTGGCATCTGCTGATTAGAGAACTCTGCTGGTTGGAATAGCTTGAGTAGACTTTTGTTGAAGACTGGATGAATTTTCTAAGTCTTTGGAAAAGACAATTTATATGCTCTGTCATCTACTTTCTTTGCAATCTTGAAGAGGTCTCTGAATTTGTTGTTCAGTTTCTTTATTGTTCTGTCCATCTTCAAGTTCTTTATATTTAGCATAACCAAGTCATTCAGCTAGTAGTCTTTTGCTGGCAACCTCTCTTTATTGTACTGTCTTTTTATTGACTCTGCTGCCTTACACAGTGCACATTTAGTCTCATCATAAATTTCCTTCATCTCTGCCATAAAGTCTTTTGCCCAGAGTACTTGGCTTTCCTTTCATAAGAGGTTCATCTCAGTATTCAGATGTGTTTCAGTATTCAAGAATGGGCTGAAGCCTATTGCCAAGTTTTCATAGTTATTACAAGTGAATTCTGCTAAAGAGAGCTATTCTATCCAGTCATTCTGTCTGTGATTTATGAATATCTTGAGATACTTTTCAATCTTCTGATTGATCTGCTTTATCTGCCTGTCTAGAGATGATATATGGTGGAGGGATTTCCTATAATTCTCAGCAACTTGTATAATTTATTGATAAAAAATGAGATGAATTGAGGGCTGCAATCTGAAATGATCTTGTTAGAAAGCTCATAATGAGTATATACATGATTTTAAAAAAGGCATGCCCATTCTTCTGCATTCAAGTTCATGTTTGTCACAATAAGAATAAGCCTCTTAGAAAATCAGTCTATCACAGCTAAAATAGCATCATGCTCCTTGGACTTGGAAAAGAATCCTATCATGTCAATAGAGATCATCCTTTATTTATCAGAAGAGATCTCATTGGAGCATATGGATGCTGCTCAATTCTGAGTGCTTGCTTTTGTTAAACCTGCTCAGCATATGATTCAAGCACATAATAAACTAGCACTGTATCAAGTTTATACAGTCATGCTAGAGTCTACTTAGTGTGCTTGAAGTATATGCATTCAAGGTCTGTTGCAAGCTAGGCTTGAGAGAAGAAGTGGTATAAATGAACTTTAGCTTGAAGCTAATCTACTATAGTGAGAGCTATACTATTTATATACATTTTGAAGAATGATAAATATAGTCCTACTTATTGTATTCTCTTAGAATACAGTACTATTGGGCATAGTAGTTGTGCATAAAATAATAGGTATTGTCTGTTGTCAAGGCATTTGACATATATCATAGTATAATAGTGTGAGTTATCTGATATAATCATAGCAACTGGTCTGTGATTATGAAGTGCCTGAGATAAGATAGACACTGATATAATAAGATAAGTGAGATAAGATGAGATAAGATAAAAGATAAGCAGAAAAGTTATAACATTACCCTCCTGTTAAGACTATCATTCTAATAGTGATATTAAGAGGAGAGATTGCAATAGCAGTCATGATATATAGTGATCATATCATCAGCAGTCATGCATTTTTCATTGACCCACTCATTTGATTTAGAATCATACCTCTTCTATTTGACAAGATAGTCCATTGTTGTTGAGCATCCAGCCCTGCAATGCTCTTAAACTGGATGGAGGCAAGAGTTGAAGATTGTTTCAACCTCATAAAATTCTTCTCTGTCAATAAGGTCTGGAGGTAGCAGAGAAGCTGTTTTTGGTTTGAGAAGATGAGAGCATAATAGAGAGTAAGAAGTATCTCATTGAAGATCAGATAGATCTTCCAGATTGCTAGAAGCATTAAATGACAAGAGAATGCTCTAACTTTTATTGTGATAGCAAAAGGTTCAATGCACTTGTTGGTGAGCTTTCTTTTTGAGATTGATGGTGTTGAGTCAGACTCTATCACCAATGGTATACTCAACAGTGGAGTGTCAGTGTGCATTATACTGCCTTTTTATAGTGGTGGCTGCTTTTTCTAGTATGGTTTTAGTTTCATTGTGAATTTTAGTCATATAGTTTATAAAGTTCAAAGAGGCCAGGATTGAGGTTGAGTGTCTCAAGAAGTTAATAATATGGGGATGTCATCTATAGTTAATGAAAAATAGGGTTTTCCCTGTTGCTGAGTGGACACAGTTATTGTATTGAAAGGCTGCTAATGTCAATCATTTGGTCCAATCATCCTGTTGATGGTTAATAAATATCTGAAGGTATTTTTCTATCTCCTAATTAACATGCTCTGTTTGCTCATATGTTTATGGATGGTAAGTGATAGAGGCATTACTCCAGATCTGTAGGAGATAGTATAGGTCTGTCATGAATTTTGAGATAAACTGTGATCCTCAGTCCAAAATAATGATCTGAGGCATGCTGTACTTCATATACATCTCATCTCATAGGATCTTTGCTCACCCCTCTGATGACAGTTCTATTGAGCAAGCAAATGAGATTATCACTTTTAAAAATCAGTTGACTATAATGATGATTGTGTCATAGCCTTGACATTCTGGTAGGCTAGTGATCATGTCTACTGATATGTGTATCTATAGCTTTACTAGTATTTCATTTGGGTGCAGTGAGACCACTTTGGCTTAGGTACTGGCCTTCATATATTGACAGATTTCACATATCTGACATATTTTTCTATGTCTCCCTTCAGTTTTAGCTACCAGTATTTATGCAAGATAATTTCTGCAGTCTTTAGGATCTCTGGATATTCTACAGTGATATGATTATGAGAGCAGACAATGATCTCACCTCAGAGGACCTGATCTTGGAGTATGTAGATTTGGTTGTTATAATAGATGAGATCACCATTTTTCATTATTCCTCAGCTGTGGTTGATTGACAGAGTGATTTTCTGATCCTACAATTCTGTTTGCCTAGTAGCACTTTTAATATGCTTATATGCTTTCTTCTTGGTTGACATGATTATGGCTCTGAAATGCTTGGCCTTTAGGACCACCATCTTCCTATTATTGTCTTTTTTTTAGTCATAGTCTGCTTATTGACTGAATAAGTTGGTCTTTCAATTTGCAGTTTCCACTTTGTGTTAGAGCAGAAAATCATATTTTGCCAACTCAGTGATCTATCATACTTGTCATTGGTTCAGCTTTTGAAGGAGTCAGAAGTACTGAAGATTTTGATGATCAATCCATATTTTGAATCATTGAGTGGCACTCATAAAATAGTGCCACCACTTGGCTAGGATGAGCATAATGGCTAGTATTTTCTTGTTATAGATTTTATAATTCTGCTTGGTGATTGTGAGCACCTTTGAAAGGAATGTGATCAGTCTTCACTTTCTATTCTGCTCTTGAGAGAGGACCACTTTAATAATGCTGTTACTAGAGTCTACCTTTATCTGGAACTTTCTGTTAGCTATCAGGATAGATAGTATTATATCTTCAGCCAGTTGCTTCTTCAGATAGGTGAATGCATCAATTTAAGTTGTCTCTCAGGACCAGAGGATGTTATCCATTAATTGAGTCATTGAACATATAATTTTACTGTAGTTCTTGATGAAGTATTGGTAAAAGTTGGTGAACCTCAAGAATGACTGTAATTCCTTCTTTTTAGTGGGTTTAGGCCATTCAGCAATGTTTTGGACTTTAATAGGATCCATCCAAATACTTTCTTTACTGATGATTATATCCAGATACTCTGTCTCAAGCATCTCAAACTTGCACTTCTCCACCTTGAGGTATAGTCTGTGTTTTCTCATTAATGTGAGGACCTGTTGAACCAGTCACC